AACTGAATTGTATTGAAATGATTGAATCGCAACTGTATTCATTTATCTATGTACATTAATACATCATTATTTGACTTTTTTTAATAGTTGTTAAACGACTAAAACATTTCATCCATCTTAGTCAAGTGTACTTCTTTTTTATCGAAATTCAAAAAAGTACACCAACCTATATAGGTACTGTTATTAAATGTAAAATTTTACTGCTACTTATGAACCATATTTTTTTCACGACACTCAACGTAAACTCGTTTACGACTTATTTTTGGGGCAAGCTGATTTATATGTAGGTGTCGTTCGAAGGGGCAAAGACAAAAGATATTTTTCCAGAATACGTCCACTCATATGTCGCTGTTGCTATTAAACTATATTCATATATTTTCGTGACCACATCTAATATATAGCTTAGTGACACATATATTTCGCCCGGGACAGATAAATGGGTGTTTCTTTCATATTTATTTTGCGAGAATATTTTATTGGACGGCTTTCCTGAAGTTATGAGAATGCTTTGTTTATTTTAGATGGTTCGAAAAGAAATTATAATAATTTTAAATACAGGCGTACCTTATATTATATTATTTTTACCGGTGTTTTCGCAAAATGTTATAGGCTAAAGCTAATTAAAGACATACGATATTAACTCCGGTAGCTCTACCCCAATTGATGTTTGAAAAAAGAAATAAGTATGTAGGTAAGTACTTGCTGTAGTTTATGCGAAGAGTAGACAAACGAAAACAACTTTAAACATTTAAAAGGCGACATCCTGAACATTATTTAGTTATCTAATTTACTATAACTACTTTACACTGACGCGATACTTTACGCTTCGCAATTTATATCGTTAAGGTTTTTAAAAAATAACTTTGTAAGGTTTCAAAGGTAATGCAATTCGTTATTACTTGGTGGGCTAAAAAGGTTTCAATTAAATTAATACTACTACATATCTTCATGCCTATTGTAAAATATGTTTATTTTTAATATATTTAAATATGACATGTCGTCGGCAGTACATAATAATAACTTTTACCTTTAGAGGCTTCATAGTGGTTTTTTGGCCATCCCTACCACTAATCCAACGCGCATAGAATCAGTAATATATTATCAGCTCAAGATGCCGGGGCAGCTAACTCGGTCATAATCTCCAAGTAACACGCAACGACACAAAAGGACCGCTCAAAGGATGCCGAAGACTAAAATAGACTTATCCTTAACTGGACTTCATCTAAGCTGTAGCTGGCTTCAGCTTGTTGATTTATCCCAACGTGTACCTCCCTTATACATGAACTCAACTTTTAAAAGAATTCAAGAACCGGTTGTGTTCTTTTGAAATTATTTATAAAGTAAATTATCTCAGAATTTATAGAAATGTATTATTAATTTAAAATATTGATATAGACGAATATTAACTTCACTTTCATGGAAGGTAAAATACCCCACCCATATTAAATCTCAACAAGATGTGCTGACGACCCATTACGGCTTTGGATACTCGGAAAACCACAACCTAAAATGGTAACACGATTAAACTTCACTCCTGTTTCATCTGTAGACAATGTTTGGTGAGCCGGACGGAATTTTAGATATTCCTACTACGCATTGAATATCCAGATTTCCAAGCGAAGTTCAACATGTTTTAGAAAATTTTTAATTTGATTACAAACATGTGATCAACCAAGGATCTCTTCAGAAATAAGAGACAAATATTGCCAATTAATATATATTTGTATGAATAAGCTGTTAAACTCATAAGAAGAGCTTAGGAGAACTAATTGTAACGTATCGAAAGTCCAAAATCCTTTTCGAAAATAAAACAAGTTTCAAAATCGGTTTCACATCCTTTATATACAATACAGCAAAATACATTAATAGTTCTTAAAAATAATTAACATTTACCACATTTACATATTTATTGAACATATAGCGAGGCTATATTAAAATAACTTACATGAGACTTACACGAAAAACAACAATTCTACATTTTCAAAGGGTTCCACAAAATAGCGAGATATATATATCCAGCAATTAATAATTATGAAAACAAAATGTTTATAACAAATGTGAATGTTCAGAATGTATTAAACAAAAGTAACCAGTGTTCTTCGTTTTCCTAAGCACTAGGCGATCTACTTTTTCTTTTTTGTATAAAAATATTGTGATAATCTTCATGGCAAACTAAGTAGGTTACGACATCGTATCAATTGAGGACATACACCTACGGACTACATATTTCTGCGTAATTTTCACATAATTGCCAATGATTAAGCTTTAGTATTTTTTAAATGTAGTATAATAAAAGTATAATACAACATTCCTAATAAAAATACATTGATATTTTACGAAACCGAAAGTAAATTAAAGCCGACTTCAAGTTTTATTCGAATTTCGAAATACGAATATGGAAGTGAAATTACGCTACAATAAATACTTATTTAACACAAACACGTAATATAAAAGTTAGCGCTCTGGTAACTAAAATAAAACTACGCTTAGGTAATAGTCTAAAATTATCGTATCAATAATTACAACATAGTAAAACGTATTGTTATCGTCATAAATAAAAAATGAGAAGCTTAAAAGATGATTTAAAATAATGAGAACCACTTAACATTTTTCACAATGGCCATGTTTTGTGCGATCAACTGGACTTTTTTATTTCATCCACTTATTCGAGTATTGGATTGTGATGAATCAAACGGTTTCGTTTTGCTGTGTTATTTTATTCCTGATATATCTTTATAATTTTGCATGCACTCCCTAAACAGAAAAAGAACTAAACAATTGGTTATTAATTATTCTCACGGTATATACATCTCTCCCTTTTCAATTTCCCATCCATCCATTGACGTTTCTTCATAATAATTATCTCCTAATCAGAATCTCAATAATTTATTCTTTCAGCTATATACAGCATCAACTTGGCAGTGACCCGCTGGTCCGTTCCGTATATACAATCTCTTACAGATTAAAAACGCTCCCCAACTCGCAATACATGGCAACATTTTAATAATTACGCGTCTATACAAAAACGTTATTTCAAATTCAATTCAAACGGCGTGATCCTATTTCAAACATGTGTATTCGAAATGTCATTTACAAAACTGACATTTTGGAATGTATGCTGGAGACATTTGCGAATTCGAAGTTCAAAGTAGATTAATGCGGTCTAATCCAACGGCCCTCTTGTGCTTACAAGTTTAAAATCTGGTCTTACTGTGCCTATTTCTACTATGGATCTGATACACCATCTTCTGTTACGGTTTATTGCTAAAAAAACGTACTTTTTAACAGATCAATCGTGAAACTATCTCAAACCATCCTTAGTATAACTACAATTTACACCAATTTTAAATAAGGCATGTTTTTCAGCGTATGCGAGAGACACTCTTTTTTTAGACACGCGTCGAACGGTGAAAATGTTGTGATTAATATCTAAGGGACAATTCTTAAAGTGATGTATGATTTTGCTCTGATCACTAATTTCATACAAATTTAACATAGTTCGTGACTTACATTGGCCTACATTATAGAGTCCATTTCCATAGTTTCATTCCATTCTAAATTGTTATTTATTTATTAAAATTGTCACATTGTAAATACTATAAATAAGACGTGTGCTACCGTAAAACGTAGCTATATTCCAACCGAGTTTCATCAAAACTGTAGCAAAACTCTAAAAATCCTACAAATATCACCTAAATTAAATTGTGGTGCTAAATTACTTAGTCTTTTATCGGCATAAATATTTCATATGATTATTAAAATAAATTAAAGCTTAAATTAATTATTGTAGACATTGTAGTTAATCACAAGCACAAATTTAACTTCATATTTAAACCTTTATATAGTCGTCAGAAATACGTTAATTTAAATAAAGTAAGTCACGCCTGCGTATGCCTTAATCTTAAAAACTACGCAACGAATTCTCTAGAGTTTTTTTTAAAGAGATAGAATGAATTAAGAGGAAGTTATCTTCCTTAATATTTTAGAGAAACACTGATACGTTAAGAGGTTTCTAATAAGTTTTATTTTATGTTTCAGGAGGACAGCTTGTTTGTCCTCCTAAACATTCACATTACCAACCTTCACCTATTTTGCTAGGATATCCGGAAATGATGGCGTAAATCTTATTTATTTGCGTTTACACTCAAACACAGACCCCACGCGATCATAATGTCTACCATTAAAAATCTGAGATGGTCATACCATTTTTGCTTTTTTTTATTGAAAATAAATATATCCTTTTTTACGAAGTGTTTAAAAGCTTGTGTCTAATTAAGTGTGTTAAATACATTATCCACTTGATATAGACCAAACTACCCTTTATAGCATAAATTTAAATAAATATTTCTGCAGATATTAGAGATTTTAATTTTTTACGAATTAATGCATATATTTGCCCGGAGCCTCCAAAACTAGCTGGACATTTTGAAGCTAGACCGAGGGTGCCCCGAGGAGGGCATTGGCCTTAACTTGGACCACCGCAATGTGGGTGGGGGCTTGGGAAGCTCACCCGAGTGAGACGTACGCGGAACAAGGGAATGTAAAAGCTGTTTGATACTATATCGGCATTATACACGTGCAAAGCCGGATGGGTCGCTAGTGTAGTATAAATGTCGAATACTATGAAAACGACACATCTCTACAATTCACCACCTACATAGAAAGTCTATTAAGGTATTATATCAATGAAGTTTGGACAATAAAATTTAAATATGCAAATATTGCTCTACATACCATCGATCGACAGTTACAAAACAATATTGCCAACTGCTATTCAATACGTATACCTGACGACGTCATACAAAAAGGTATTTTACCTACAATTTCATACTCTTTGGCGATTCTCTGTGCTTGTGAGGGCTACAACGTAAAGTCATATTATGTTTTGCATTTCGTAACCCTACCTTAATTGTTCTCACTCTCAATCTTCGTCTCTTCCTAGTCGCCTAAGGGTCTGTATAAAATGCAAAACACTTGCCTTAGAGATAATTTAAACGAGATCACGGCCGTGCATCGTTGGATGATTCGACGTCGCTCGAACTGCTGGAAACTGACTTCTTAGGTTTATACTCTGTTATAACCACTGTCACCCCGCTTACGGTTACCTGCGAGGGAAAAGCGTATGAAAATCTGCACTTATACGTATTTATACATATATTTGAGGCTGCTAGAAGCAGAGTGGCCTAATAACAAAAAACATGAGTTTCAATAACGAGTAAAGTAAAAATGTACAATTGACTTAGGCAAAAATGAATTTGTACTATTATTGGTGTAAGAAATATGTTAACAATTTTCGGTCACTGCGTTTTGGGAGATTATCATTTTTAGACTCTAAATAACTGAAGTCAAAAAATTGTAGTTAGGCTACTCTGCCTCTAGCGGCCTTATTTGTGACAGACGTTTTCATTTTCCGTAATTGGAACCTGCGTGAACCTGTAACGAGTTAAACGTAAAAAAATATAATATGCTTAAAAAGGTAGATTTTTTTGTCAATATAGAAACAGGCCTTACAATAGGTAATTTTGCAGTGAAAAAAAAACAACAAAATATTTATGTTGCTACCAACACATCACGCGAAATAAAAATGCAAGCCATTTATATTTAAGTCACCCAAGTAATAAATTAAATCAGTATTTCGTTCGGGACTAGAATAAAATATTATAGACAAATTCAAATGTAATTCGTTAGCTTAAACATTAAAATAAACTTCACGTAGTAATTACTATAAGAATTCGGTTATTGTTATCATATCAATTCCTCACCTCCCGCGTCTGCGCAGAACTCCTATCGACGTTGTTGAGTCTGGGTTGCCGCCTTTTCTTCTTGAGTGAATTGGCAGACCTGGGTCTTTTTTGGGAGCTAGTCGGCGCAGTGCCCGCTGCTTGAGCAGCAACGAGCGCCGGGTTAATACGGGGCTTTCGAGTGGACGTCCCTTTGACAAACCACACTTACATTATTTATCACAAATCAGCTGGTCTAGCATCGCGCCTAGACATAATTTTGTCGGTTTTTTACTATTCTCATTAGAATAAATTAAAAGTATTTAATTTATTATACACAATATTTCATACAAAGTCTAATCTAAAATACAAATCTAGAAAGACAATTCCCATTAAGGATTTTTAAGACCCAACTTATGATCTGCAGAGACCACCTTGAAAGATGACGAAAATAAATAATATAAAACCGTATACAAATAGAAAAAATAAATAATTCAAGCATTTTTTATGACCTGAGTAACATTGCGTTAAGCATGAGAGGTCCTTGGTTCCGAACCAGTAAGTAAGTATAGTGTAGTAGTAAACTATAGTGTTTCGGTTGGACAGAGCAAATTCTGTTTAACTACATGCTTGCAAATAAAAAGGAATAAGTTAAACAATCTGATGTCGCAAATAAAAACATGCTTCTGTCCTCGGAACTATTTCAGGGACAAAATGATTTCTTTCGGTTTGAATTCAATTCGGTTCTTAAAATAGCGGGCCTCCGTTCCAATTAATATAGTCTATACTCCATAAACATAGTTATATAACCAAGACAAGTTCGTGGGTTAATGCGAAAACTGTGTAGCCGAACCGAGGTCTCGGCAAATTGAATTGTAAGATGTTTCAGATTGCCTCCAGCCAGGTCTGAGTGGCAATTTCTCTGAATTTACAGCTGTGTTACGTATATAGCCTCGTCAACAAGCCCAAAGCGGCTTAATGGGAAATGCGGATATCTCAACAATTTCGTACTATACAAGTTGTATTTGAGTGTTAATTAGGTGTCGCTTAATTAACGATAGTAGTGTATTTATTTTGAGAGTTTGTGTCAAGAAACCCATTTCTGATTATAAAGGATAATTGAATAATAAGTATTATTCACCTCAAAGGCGTAAGCGGCGTAAACTAAAACAACAAACATGACTTTGATATGAAGATTTATTTAATGGTTTAAAATAATTAAGACATGTCACATTGTTTATCTTCATAACATTTCAACTTAACATTGTTGCTTATGCAAACAAACAATGATAGTGACTTGTGAATAGCCAAAAACTATTCTTTGCATCGGTAACTTTTATGACCAAAGACTCTTATTAGATTAAATGTAATCTTTATACGTATTGAGAGCGCAAAGGAAGCAGTTTCAAGCTGGGCTCTAAAAAAAGAATAATATCGGAAGGGTCAATGATATTAAACCGAACAAATCTAGATGTATACGTTAGTCAATGGCTTTGTAATAATGTGCAATATTCGTATTTCGTCGGGTTATACATGCGACACTAGCGCCAAACGGAGAGCGAGAGAAATATGAATTAAGCTAGGTATGTAAATAATGACAAAAATATGTACCGTTTTCGTTTATAGGAACTAATTAATTAACACCAAGTACTGTAAATGCCATTACAAAACGGTTAATAATCGCTATTAACAAGCGATTATTTTATTAAGCAAATTATTTGCAAATAAAAACTTAACTTTATTTTGAACACAGGTTTGATTATTTCGTCTTTAAATAATAATATGTATTATTCGGTTTTAATAATTAGTTAAAAACACAAAGATAGTGAACAAATGTTAAACTGCAGACTTATGTTGGATCAATAATTTTAGTCTAGCCAATTTTGAAGGTTATAACTAAACTTTGATAGGGAACCATAAAGTAATGAATACAGGGAGTGTTATATATTATAACTTATCTGTCTGTAGAAGAAAGTTGTATGTTATCAGATTTAAAGACGTGCAAAAGATGTGCATTCGTCGTTAATGTGTTTGAGTAAAAGTTGATGACCTATTTTCCGATTGAAAAAGAACCTGTACTTACAGTTACTTTATAAGATAAATACCTTTTCTAACATCACACATTGAACATTTGAAGGCTTCAGCATTATTCCTGTATGTGCATACACTACAATCCCAATAATTTTCTTCGAGCACTTTAGAGGGACGTTTGCCTCTACGAATTGCATTTTTCTTGTCCATTTTAATGCTGACGAAGTTTTGATTGTATGTCACACATTAATCATGATATTTTCGAAGAAACACAATGATTTATATTGTCTTTTAATCGTTTATTCCTTTTTATAATCATTATTTTTGTTAAAATAAACACAGTACAGTGCAATACTTTACGCCATGACAGAAACCCGATGAAACGTCGGTAAAACAGAGTCGAAGCGGTTGCCTTGCTACAGACTAGCAGTGCGCATAAAAGCGTTATCGACATTTGTCACAGATACAAAATGATATAGTTAAGTGTTTTAAAAAGGATAATTCTGTGTTATGTATATCATGTAAGTTTATTATATTACACAAGAACTACGTAATTATTAAAGAAAAAGTATCCCTTCGTATAAAATAATACATAGTCATGTCATATAAGCAACTTAAGTATGAACTTTAAAAATTTAAATTAAATAATACTTAAAACACATGCAACACATTTTTTGCTTTAATATTATATAGTTAACCTTTATCAAACTGGATCAACAATGCGAATTATATTTTTCGGATACTTTTCGCGAATGAAGTGAAAGGTGTTGTTACTAGTACCTTGGCATTTAAAAGAAATATCAGCAGGCGTTGTATTAAAAGTAGGTATTATTTTAATTACAATAATATAAACGGAAATAATGAAGTTAACAACAAATATTAACATCATTTTATTAAATCGTTATTGAATCTTCAAAATTAAAGCTAAATATTCCAAAAAAAGGTTTTATTACTAAAATTGTATGTAGATTGACGTTTCAAAGAATATTCCTAATCCATCATTGCATGTCTTTATCTGAATTGAAACATCGTCCTTTTTATCCCTTTATGTACTTACATGTCGTTTGTTGTAAGTAATATTTGCCCATACCGTAATTCTACGGAAACGACAGTTAAAAAGAATTCATCTCTTTCGACTTACAATTTTGTTATAGTTACGAAAAGCACGAAACAGCCTAGAATTATAAAAAAAAATACAAAAGGGTCTTTTAATAAAAGGTTTACAAATTCGAAGAAAAGAATCGATGTGAAATTTTAGTCTCTACCTGCTTCGTTTTTGTGATGCCCTATGCGTTGTGAGAGTTTATTTCCAGAAGAACGCTGCTTGAAGCTACTAAATTATATACCCGTCTATGCCCTTAATTTGTAAAAATTCAGGAATTTTGTGTATTATAACCCCTGTATACAACCTTTTAAAATTAATTTAATTGAATTGGCTTTAAACGTGACAATGGAAGTTAATTTATTGCTTGATTTAATTTGGCTGGTGTTCATGGCACGACTAGAAGATTTCGCGTTTTATACCGTTAAAAGCGTTTCATTCATTATTTACCACATGCATAACAATCTCTATCTGCCATCTTATACATACCACCCATTTAATCCAGATTTCTTCAGAAAAATAACACACTGATTAGAAAAATATTGGATCCCGTGGGGATCGACGCCATAACCTATTGATTATTATTATTAGCCATACATTGCTAGCATTACGCCAACGAGCTCATCGACAAAAATTTAGCTTAATAGTTTATATCTATATATAATATATATCTTTATATAATATATATTATTTTATATATATTTATTTTATTAAATTGACTTTTCCCTCAATTTCTACGATAACAATACGTTTAAATAATGCGTAAGCTATACACAATACGTAATAACAATACGATCGAAATATGTATTGTCATAAAATCGATGTGACACTTTATTTATACGTTATATCTGTGGTCGGCCCATATTAAAGTTCAAATAAGAATGGCGTCGTGTCGTGTTGCTTTTCCCGCGCTTTCCCGACCGCGCGAAACTGCCAGTTTTTGTTTTGTCGCACTGCCATGAATCTTGTTGGGAGGTACAATTCGAGCCTTGCATTTTTCTCGGAAGCTATCAAGATGTTTTTTTGCTTCGCTTTCCATAAAGTATCGTAATATAAAGAAATGTATGTGAGCGCGGTACTAATAATATAATTGCGTAATTTATTTTAAAACGTATTTACTTTAATAAATGGACTTATTGTTAATGTTAAACAACATAAAATAGCATCAGTCTTTGTTTTATTTTATTTTTCATTTAAATTTAAATGAAGGAGAAAAAACCATGACAAGTCTTCAGTTAATATCGTGTTTGTAAACAACAGAATCTTGATGAATACTTGTTTTCTAATCAAAAGTCAGTCAAATTAATTTTAATTTATCAATAAAAGTTAAATGTCTATTGTGTGAGTATTGTTTCGTTAGCAAGTCTGAGGAACATACAGTACCAATTATAAAGATTCATAGATGTCGTAATTCAAGCAATAATTCGTTAACACAAAGCACGCATAAAACTCTCGGGTCACAGTTGAACATCCCTCGCACCCTTACCACCTGTTGCGCGGAGACATTGTGGTTTTATTGTGGGGATAGTGACTCCCGACTTACTGGCACAGATAATAAATGTATCTCGCTTTTCGAAACGAATCCGGGGATCAGAGATCTCGATTTTTCGTTAATATTTTATAATCTACATTGCTGTGACTTTAAATTAGGAATAATATATTCGATACGCGGATTATAAAATAATATACTTAAACAGTTATTTAGTAGTTCCGGGATACATTATATCACCATTTTTAACTAAAATGGAAAAAATATATCCTTATATATAAACAATAATAAGTACAATAAACTATCTTAGCCACTGTTGTAAGGTATGCGCAATATTGTCCAACTTCTTTGCAAATTATAATGAGTATTATATATACATACATACCTACATGTTTAATCTTCACGAGTTTTTTTGTCATATTTAAAAATATACATAGATAGAGTTTTAAATATAGATAGATAATTTTTTTAGCGTTATAACGCTAAAAAAATTATCTGCCGAATAAAAATACCTATAGGTATTTTTATGATAGAGGAGGGCATGGAGTTCATTTGATGGTAGATGAAATACCCCAGCCACATGACATATAAACGAGTTGCGCTGGCGACCTATTTTAGCTTTGGATTTTCAGAAATGTACAGACTGAAACTGGATGGAATTTCGATATTCCTACCACCCATTTAATATCCAGATTGTAAATTATTGCAAGAATTACAAATTGATTATAAAAATGTTGGACCCAGTGGAAATCGACCTCCGACTCCTTGATTATTCGCCATACATTGCTATCATTAGACCAATAAGCCCGAGGTACATCTAAATGTCATAATATCATACGTCATGAGTAAAAGCTTAATTTACCTAACGCTAAATAGTGAAAACAGAAAATTAGTCACACTTTCTATACGAATAGAGTGTCAAAATATTTATCAACTTGGACCGCTTCATATTTCAAACTGCGCCGTGTGAAATTCTAAAAGCACGTTAGACAATGTTGCCACAACAAAAAAGTTGCACTGAATCATACAGGCCACAGCGTCCAACTTGTTGCGCGCAATAAAAGAAAAAGAATAGGGTTGCCAGCCCGGAAATGCCGACCACCGATGGCCGTGAACAACCGAAAAAAGACACTGGCTGATTTATTTCCTATAGGTGGAATTAAAAAGAATCGGTGTTCAGAGAGATAGCTTACTTTTGCATACGCATTAAATATCTTGCAAAATTATAGCGATAGTTTGTTTTATTGCTATTACAGCTTTAATTTGCAAGCTGGAACAAAGTGGTTATGGGAATTTCGTAAAATAAAATTCGTTGTTAATGTGACAGCAAAGTTCTTGCCAGATCTTTTTCTTCCTTCTATAATCCAACGAGCTTTTGTTTTACAGTGTATCAACGCTCACAAGTATACTCAAATATACTATTAATAAAAAATTGTAGTTACAACTATTTTTCTTAATAGGCTTATATTTTATCTGCAGAGGCTTCTATAGTCTAACCATGTTACTTATAACGACGATAGTGCAGCATTCTTTTATTTTGACTAAAAAAACTAGTTTAAAATGTAATTATTTAATTTATCCAACACTACCAACAGTGTAATACACACATTCTATTAGTTGTGTCGAGTACGATTTAAATATTTAAATTACATTTAATTAGTACGAGGTGAACTGTAGATTGTTTTCAGTAGGGCAAAGTACGACCAAGCTGTGCTGAGAATCTGGAATAACAAGAAAAAACTGATATCTCGTTTTTCTTCACATTACATAACGCTAAAATTATTTATGTTTTTGTTTAATTGATCGATTTCTTTCGATATCTGATGAACCTTTGCTGCTCTGCTCAACCTAAAAATCAAGTTTCCCGTTACGGTTTTCCGGGTTTTAAACCAAGGACCTCCCCGTCGGTACTAAGCTTTCATAGAGGAAACAACAATCACGAAATCTTCAGACACTTAAAATCATGTTTTAACAATCAAGATCTTATTCGTGTTTAAAGATTTTTTTAGAAATTTTCTACTTAGTAGGATAAGTAGGTGTCTCATGTTATTTTTCGTCCATGTACTTAAATATAAATTAAAGCTACATTACAATTCTAAGTTAAAGCAAATCCTAATTAGTACTTACGCTCATAAAAGCTCCCAAATTCACGTCAGTAAATCCAAACGCTGTTAGCTTGCAAGGCTTTTGAGCTCTACAATAAAATATTAAAACCTTTAATGAACTTATAAATTGCAAACGTAATTATAATTTAAATATTTTTTTTCGTATAATGCTAAATAAGACATAATATTATGTAAGTGTAGGGCAAAATGATTTACTAAATTATAGATTATTTTAAAATAAAATATAATACGGGCGGGGCTCGAACCCCCGAACCAAGCTATGTGGCCATTAGTCATGGTCGCATTTCTTCAATCTTTTTATACTTGCACCTCTCGCGAGCTTGTGGTTCAATATTTTCCAGAGTAAGTAATATTTAAAGAACCAGTCTTTAAAAAAATTTAAAGAAAATTGTAATAACTTCACTTTACTTGTTGTTGTTGTTAACTTGTATTAATGTTTGCTATTTACTAAAATACAAAATAGTGTTTTTATATGTAAAATATATTTTAAACTTTTATAAAGCCATCACGAGCAATTACATCTAAAATAATATTTCAAGTTAAACAATCTGTGCAAAGGTGCTGTGCCTTGCGGCGGATCTGTGGCGAGTCTTGTCATACTGCGCTTTCAAGATACTAAGATGTCTTACCTCATCTGAACAATATGCAAATTCTTTCCCGCGCCGGGAGCGTGGTACCATTTGCTCGCGTATATAGCGTCGCTAACACCGGAACTCTGTAGAAATTATACTTATTTATATTAGGTTAGAATTATGTTTCTAACTCTTCTGGGGTATTCTATATTAATTACATTTTAGCTTTAATCTAGGTACTAAACGAATTGTCAAATTTTTTGCGCGGGTATTATAAAAGATTTTATAAAAATACTCATACAGACTATGCCATGTAAATATGATTAAACGAAAAAAAAAACACATTTTAAATAAGCATAATAAATTACAGCATTATTTTAGGAATATATCAAAACTAAGTGACCCGAAAAATTTTGTTTTGCCATATACCTTATTTGTAGATAATAATGTGTATAGGAAACATAGCAAGGGCGTGGTACATAATATAATATGAGTGCAAGATCCATGGAGCGTTGACGGAAAATAAAATTATATATATATTTTTTTTAATTTATGCTCCTTTCATTGTGAAAATAATATTTTATATAAGTAATTTATTTACCGACTGCATTAACAAATCTCCAAAGAAACACAAGAAGAATATTTGCACCAAAGTCGACGACAAGAAGATCACGAACATGTTGGAAAACGCCTTGTTTTCTATAGCCTAAATAAGTAATTAATATGTATTAACACCTACACAATAAAATAAATTGTTATATCTACATTCATTTGTTTATAGATTAGTAATAATTTTACGTTATTAAGTAAATAATATTAAGAGATTTTGCAGTTCATTGATGATAAGATAATCTTTCTTACTGTAACGTTAAATCCAGTGAGGCAAATTAATATTGAACTAGATATGAAGTTGTAGAGTGTTGACTTTGAGTAGACCTGCTCAAGAAGATTAGAAGCCCTGTAAGGGGGATAACCATAAACACCCTTCTTATAAATTCTTGATAATATTTATATATACTGTCTATAGTTTACGCGAGTAGTACACATTTAAATAAAACACTTTAACGGTTTAAAACGCGATATATTAGTTAAACTTATTTGAAAATGATTTTTAACTTCGGCCCGACGTTTCGGATGCTTTGCAGCATTTGGAATCATTTTCAAATAAGTTTAACTAATATATCGCGTTTTAAACCGTTAAAATGTTTTATTTTAATATTTATATAGCTACGGAGTTTAATTATATAACATATTAACTATGTATTTAAAATTTGACGGATACCTAAGTCTAATGGTAGTAATGTAGGTATAGCTAATAAGGGGTCATCCATAAAGTACGTCACACGTAAAGGGGGACAAATTGTGATATGTTTGTCCCCGATTACGGATAATATACTATTACCGTATCAACTCCTGATGCCATTTTACTAATTGTGTGAAGTCTCGTTCAAACATTTCTCCATTGGACAACGAATCCAGCTTCGCAAACTCACATTGTATCAGACGAAACTGTATACGAATAAATGTACAACAGATGTACAAGAGAAAGTCTATGAAACATATTTCAAGACACACAATGGTTTCTGAAAAATCAAAATTAATTTTATTCGATGTTACTTATTTTTTTTAGAACTCGTAAATTTATTTTACGTTTAGTCTTAGTAAAGGGGGGCGGATAGGTATTTCTCTGTGTCGTCATTCTGATTTATTAACAGCTGAGTAGTTTACATTTGACTGCCATAAAACGGTTCTTGCTAGTTAATCGTAAGATAGAAAGGTGACATTCTTTCTTACTATATTTATGATTTCTTGATCTATGCATAAATAGTCAATCTACCTCACGAAAAATTCTTCAAAAAAAGATCAGCGCATCCAGGTAAACAAACTCTTTACGAGTATACAGTTTGTTCCTGTCCACTTTATATAAAACGAAAATATTACCTTTATTTTTATGAGTGTTAAACATCTAAATGATGTTTAACACTCATAAAAATATAGGTAGTGATAGATGTTTTTACCAGTTTTAATGTTTCACATTTTCTATAACAATTTTCATCACATATAAATATCTTACCCGACCAGAACTGATGCAAATACACAAACGGCCAGTACTTTATGTCGTGCGAATCAAACGGATAAATAATCAGGAACGGCAATATAAGATCCAATTTCTTCGTCCTAAAATATTTGTACACAATAAAAACTAACGGACTTATGAGAAACGTTAAGATGAGTATGACATTTTGAATCTTAGTCACGCGTATGACTCTGTGCAGGAACTTCGTCTCTTTCCTGTATATTTTTAATCTATCTTCAGCCTGTGTTATAGATTTTGTATTCTCTTCCAGCCGTTTTAAAGACCTAATTAAATCGCTCATCTGCTCCTCGTAATGGATCAATGCATACGATCGCGTATTCGCCAAAAAGCTAAACGCAATGCACGGAGCTATGTACGTTAGTTCTACGAACGGAGTCCCGTTTTCGATTCCATTGAAGAACCAAACGATCGCTCCTAAGACATCTGTGTTAAGCCATAGACAATTAATAATATAAACGCAACGTCTTTGTAGTTTCTCTCGTCTAGTCAAATCATTAATATCATAGGATACACCCAAAATCATGTACACAGTACTTAACTTTTGCAGAGAACGATTGATATAGGAATCGGCCATTTTGTTTTTGATTCGGTAAGGTCTGGCTGAGGTGCTTAAATACTTGTATTAATTACGGGTTTACGTTGTGCATATTAAGCGTTATACAGGCTGTGTAAATTTTGAAAACATCTTAAACCTAAACTAATGTACATCTAAAACTATCTAAAATCTTACACGTCTATCAAAAGAAGGTATCAATAATATTATTTTCAAAATATCGATTACTGGTAATGTTACAAGACATGTCTATCGGTTATAATGTAATTGGTAATCTTTAAAAACTGTGTCACTAAATGAATCACTCTGTATGTAGATAGAAAACTGTTGTTTCTATTTTATTTTTTAATCATAGCACTTAAAGAAAATAAGAAACACGTTATTAAATTTACATAGATTTAAAAGTAGTTGGTTTAGAACAGACTTTGTGGTTCCTTACTATTAAACCGTGGGTAGAGAACAAAGGAATGTATTCAGTAGCTGGATTTGTCTATATTAAGAAAAAAGATAAAACAGATAATATATAATATCTATAGATAAACCACGACAAAAGTTTTCTCACCTCAGCATAAACTGATAAGTGTTCTTGCACGGAGAAGGCAACTCTTCAAATATGTTTTTAATGAATAATAATACAAAAAATAACCTAAGCTTAAATAAAACAATTAAACGGTTTAAAACGCGAAAATGAGAAATATATTCGCTCAAATTATTTGAATAATTAATATATCAAATTAAATTACATCAAATACAGTTGCTGTGGTTACGGGGCTGGTGCGAAGCATCCGCAACGTAGACAGTAGTTAAAATATTTTTTTTTGTTTAACAAATATTCGTCGTGTTTTAAACCGTTAAAGTGGTTTATTTAAATATGTACTACGCGGGTAACTACAGTCTGCCAAATTTTGCCGAAATCAAGTTGGCAGTGACGTACTAAAAAGCCAGATATTATGTACTTTCTATGAATGGCTTTCATTACGGAACCCTAAATATTATGCTAAGAAGCTATCGCTTATATAATTACGCGGCAACTAACATGAATTTAGTTTTCATGAATTATTAAAAAGTGCTGTTTATTTTTTATTCAAAGTTTCTTAGATAACACACAGTTTATTTATTAAAATGCCTCTTTAATATTATACATATAATTCAAGGCGAAACTGCTTATTTTAAAGAAAGTATAAAACTTTACTTTACTTAACGGTTACATATTTGCTAATTCCATTATTTAACACTACAATTACGATTAATTCAGTTTCTGTATATTTCTGTAAATATGAATTCACTATATGTAGGTACTAGAACTCTTTAATGTCGGTTGTCCTTGGTGTGCATTGTGGGGAAAATAAAAATCGACCATCGAGCAGGTCTGTTTGAAGTGTGTGTTTAAAATCCCGTTCGCGGGGGGCATGGGGCGAACACATTTCTGTGTCTGTTTCACTGATCCCTTCTTTTAACGGGCAAGTAGTTGATCCGACTTCTGTGCCCTGCCCGACCGAAACAATTTTTTGTTTCCCTGGGATTCGAACCTAGGAACTCTCGCGCTCAACGCAATGCTAGACAATACGTTTAACCATTTGGCTACAGAGGCGGTCTGTTTGAAGTAGGTATTCTATATTTGCCCAAAATTGCCAAATTATAAAGACTAGACTAGACTGAAACCTGACTATAGCGCATAATTACACACACACTATCGTACCTACATTAAAGCTTGGATGTGTGCGTGTGGGGTGTCGTATGAAATGCCCCGCTGTGCCAGACGGTAGACGGGTGTATAGCTATTTCGTGTTAGGGCTGTCACTTTCACGGGTATATTAGATGTCCCGCAACCCTTACAAGCGGCAGGCATTACTAAACCTTTGCTTGAATTATTGTTCAGTTGTTCCACAATCTTGATTGCCCTAATAATAATATAAAGAAGACAACTCAGGAGGTGGCATGATCGAAAATAAGATTTTTTTTACAGGTGTAATACTATGTAGTTAATAATCTCAGCTTAAGCTAATCTTATAAGTAGCCACTGTGTGATTTAAAATTCTCATTTTTGTTATGTTTCCATTATTTAAAAAAAACGTACAGTTACTGCTTTTTAGCATTCTTATGATTATACTAGTGAGGAACGAATAAAAAATGCAATTAGTAAGTAATACCTTCGTAATAGCAGTATAAGATATTATCTCAATTTAATAAGTATAAAATTACATGTTGGCAACCCTTTTAATTTTCTATCCCACCCCTCGCATAGCCCCCGTTGTGTTTGGCAAGTGCACACGCGGGTACATGTAAAAAATGACAGGCAATAAATTTGAAAAAAGAACCTGTTCTATGCCACTCTATGGGCATGGCATTGTCACAGACTCATTTATTATTTTCACTACTGGAATTTGAAATTAGAATCTGGGAAACTAAATCATATGTGATTCAAATTTCAAAATGGTGAAGAAATATGTATTGTTTTAGACTTACGTTCAATTATCTTCAAATATTACTTACTTTTTTAATTTGAAGTTCGCTGTGCGAACTGTAATATGTAGTACGTACCTAAACCGCCTTAAACGCTTAATTACCTAATCGTCAATCCACCGGAAAAATAAGTAGATAGATCCATTAAAAATGAATAATATCGGATCAATGATACATTACCATTTTGATTTTGTAAGATTTGTTTATTTTCATGCAAAAGGCGACATAAGACACTCCCGTGTATGTATTTAGATTAAGTATCCTTGTTAGTGGCCATATTGTACAGTTTACTTTATATATTTACATTTCATTTCATATAAATATTTCGATCATATCCTTGTTTTCCTAGTAGTGTCCTTACTACTTTCTACTAGCGTTTGAACATTTCAATAAATGCTAAATTAGTTTTGGTGATTCGTTTCTTCTACGTGGGATTCTGTCTGTTTTACATTGAATTTACGCACAGGCATTTAGGTGATGAGAATTGCTGTATCTTTATTAAAATCGAAATCAGAACCTCTTGCTCAGAAGGCAACACTTAAAACCGTGGCGTCACATTGGGTGGCTAGTAAGACTTGTGTGTGTAAAATGGCCTAAGCTCTGATAATCATAACATCAACAAGTACTTCACTAAGAACAAACACGAATTCTAATTAAAATTCGATTTTTCCTGAAAGTCAAGGAAATGTTTTCATTCTTTAGAAATAAAGAACATAATGGTATCGTAGTTGTACAAGATATTCGTTTTACATTTCATTCCAAACCTTATGGGCATAATAATAAGGTCTATAATAAGTTATGTCGTTTTAATACGTAGTGTACAAACTCTCAATCGTTTTTTGCTTAAGGATATTAAGCTCTATTTTTATGATAATAAGAGCTCTAGGGAATGATTATCGTGTGTATGTTTATTTTTTATTCCTAGTTAGAATTGTCTCACGTCTAGATATTGGGCTGACCTAAATTGGTTCTATTCGAAATTACTAAATTGCTAGCCAAGGTCTGTTTGAAGAACCAATATTGTTAGCCGAAATTCTAAATTTAAACTTTTGTTTTTTAATATTTAATTGTGGCCAGTTATAGCTTTTTTTTCTACAGCTTATTAGTACATATATAATATGTAAATGTTATTTTTCACACTCCCAATAGGGTTAAGATGGTGGTTGTAGTATAATATGATCATTTGATTTCTATAAATAAATAGTAGGAATGAAATGAAAAGAGATCTGTTAATATCATTTTATTAAACTTCTTCCATACAATTCAATCGTACATAGTTTTAAGAAGTGCAAAATACGACCAGGACCGACTTAGAATCTGAAAAAAAATGAATATTGAAGTACGTTTTTTAAACCCATATTTTGCCCATAGCAGGCCACACGTGGACATGAAATAAGAAAAAACTAGGACTGCAAGTAATTAACCAATATTTATATACAAGCTTTAAAAAAACATAGGCGCGACCACCAGTGGAAAAGGACAAGGAGATAAGCTTAGTTTGGGGTAAGCATAGCCATAAACGATAAACGATATCAGAGCTACCACGTCCACAGTTGTTAAGGGCAACGGCTCAGAACGATGTGGTCGTGAATTCGACTTCGATGAGGACAATATTTTTAGAAACGTACCTTTGTGAAAGCGCTAAGATTGATAGTAGCAAACTTGGCTGCAGTGAGAGAGCAGGGCTTTTGAGATCTGTAGTAATAAAAAATACGTTGAAAAGCCATAACAATAAATAAATAAGAAGATTAAGCAGATAAAAATTCTAAAACGGTAGAGAAGAACGATAGAGTCGGAGTAGAGAGAAACCATTGGGCATGCTACTGTCTTTATAAAGGTGATGTTTCTGAAAGAAATGAAAAGGTGAAGAAAATTTCGTTTGACTGTAATTCGTTTAATAGTTTAAGCATTATGGTGTAAAAAACATACATTCACTTGCAAAATCATAACCCATCTAGTTGACTTCATTATAATAAAAACAAAACCTATTTTAATGAGTAAAATTTTAGCTATTTTAAACTATTAAGGTAAAATTAAATTTTAATTTTACCTCAACAAGATAATGAGAAGACTCTTTCGAATCGAAAGATCTGCGTCGTACCATCGGCTCTTAAATATGGCTTCGGCTACTCGGGAGCTCTACAAACATAAGACGTAATAATTTTAAACATTATGCAAACAAAAAATAAATAAAAGACATTACTCTATTCTTATATAAGTTAAAGATTTTTTCGTATAGAAACTAAATCAATGTAGATTCAGTATATCTTCATGAAAGCATATCGGAAATGAAGTGTAACCCGCGCTGGTCTGTCTTCGTATAACTCAGTATAACATGGTATATTCACGGGTTGTTAGTCTAATGCACAATAATCAACGGGTCGTGGCTTCGTTCCACAACGGGTCTAAAATGATTCTATTCAATATTTCCTTTTTCTGAAACATGTTGGACATTTTCCGCTGTTAATTTGTCACAGCAGTTATGCTCTAACAAAAAAGATTTTTTCAATTGGAACCAGTAGTTCCTCAGATAAGCGCGTTCAAACAAACAAACTCTTCAGCTTAATATATTAGTATAGATTTCATCAATCTTGGCTTTAGGCATTTACTCTTTACGACTTTAATCACTAGACCTGGCATTAGAGATCGGTCAGAATATCGATACTAATGCTAGAAGTGTAAATAGAATCTAAGAACAGTTAATCATGAAATAAAATAGGTAAAATAAAGTCATACATTGCTTTCATTAAGGCAATGAATCTTTATGTTCGTCTTATAATATTGTTCAGTTTAAGAAAAACTCACTGATCTTCCCAGCATGTCACCAAAGAAGCAAAGCATAAATACTTGGTACAAGCACATCACCAAAAAATTGGAGAAAGCAACTATCTGGCCGAAGTCTTTGCTGAACTAAAAAAGAATTGCGTATCATAATTTCAACAGTATTATAAATTCAAAATCTGTGTTCTAACACTTGATTATTTAAATACTGTAGTTAAAACAAGTAATACACATTTAATTAAAATACTTTAACGGTTTAAAATGCGATATATAGATACGGAGAGACATGGTCGGGTGTCTCCCTGCGACCACGGCTGCTCCCAAGCATCGGAAACGTTGCGCCGTAGTTAAAATAATTTTTAATTAAGTTTAACTAATATATATCGCGTTTTAATAACTTACACCGCGAATAATTTATACTTGTTGTCGACTTACCACTATATTAAATCCACTAAGGCAAATCAGAACAGAGCTTATGAGAAAATTGAACAGAAACGCTGTCGAATACAATTGTTCCATTTGATCCACCAATCTGTTATGGACACATTAATTCTTAAGTTTATATGTAATAATAAATATCTTTTTGAGATAAAAATCAAGTAATATATAAAAAATGACTTTACTTAAATATTGATTATATTAGGTATATACATATATGGATATGTACTTTAAAAAATATAATCGACGTTTGGAGACTAGCATTTTGCATTAGTCTTAGTCACCTTTATAGAGTAAACTGATAGGACATGTTTTAAATATTACACATAATATGCAATAAAGAGTTTCATGAAGACTTAATAAAAATAAAACAAAATCGAAATTTATACCTGCAACAACAGAAAGTAACTTATAATTTTCAACTCTACTAACTAACCCCAGGATATTTGTATAAGCGAGATCTGTTGCGGGTTCGAATCCCGTGTTTACCTCCAGTGTACTTACGCGATTAGCTCTTGATGTCGCAAAACACACGCCCGTAGACGTTTGCTAGTCTCCTCAGCGGACGCTGTCACGAAGTTCTCTATTCTGTTGCACAATATCTTAAAATGCATTCTCATGTAGATGCAGAACGCGTGGAAAAATGTATCAGCTCCGAAAAGATTTGACATTACTATTAATGCTAAAAATATTTTTTTAATGGCAGAGGTCAGAGGATAGACTTGAGGAATGGGGAAGCGTGGGGTTAACTTCATGGATGGACCATATAATATCTAAACAAGATGTGCGTTCAACTAGCCGCTTGCTGGCATTTGGACATTCGGACATCCAGACTGACCGAAACACGAATTCACACATATCCCGTGGCGGAAAAAGAAAATTGACATAGAAACTTAAATACTGTCTATAGTTTACGCGAGTAGTACACATTTAAATAAAACACTTTAACGGTTTAAAACGCGATATATTAGTTAAACTTATTTGAAGTTTTCTCTCTCTATTAGTTAAACTTATTTGAAAATGGTCTCCCCGTGACCACGGCTGCTGCAAAGCATCCGAAACGTCGGGCCAAAGTTAAAAATCATTTTCAAATAAGTTTAACTAATATATCGCGTTTTAAACCGTTAAAGTGTTTTATTTAAATAAAGAAACTTCGTCTGCGTCATGAACGGTGTTGGATGGTCCATAGGTCATGGTCCATGTCCATAGATAGAAAAGCCCTGAAGTGATAATCTACGTTTCGGTTTCAGTCTGTGGATTACTGGCTGTCTAAAATCTAAAATCCCATTTTTTCAGAAGCGTTTAAGAAAGATCAAGGATAACTCTGAAAAATGGTGGACAGCTGAACAGCAACACGGGGTCAAACCAACGATATCTTATCATTGTTAATATTCCCGCATTTTTTTTATATGTGACAAATTATGCTTACAACACCTAACATAAATTCATCTTCTCTTCTCGAAGCCCAAAATATACAATTACTTACGAGAGAAAAAATGATGCAAATAAACGAGCGGCCATGTCACAGGCGTATAGGGATCGAAGAAATATTTAACCAGAAACGGCAGCTTATATTTCACCTCACCAGTTTTCCTGTAGTCCAAACCCATGATCAACAGAGGCAGAAGACAGAAAGCAAGTAAGACGGACGTATTTGCCGTAACCATGAAGTGTACAATGTTAGAAAACCACTTTACTGAGTGTGATACTATTTTGACTTCTGTATCGTTCTCTTTATCTTCTATTTCAGATTCGTTCTTTGGTTGTAGTTCACGCAATTTATTCCAAACTGCTAGAAGATTAGATCTATAAAAGAACAGTGGCGCACTTCTGATTGTGCCCAAGAAGCAAATAACGCAACACGGAACGATAATAGACAGTTCTTCGAAACCTTTGCCCATCATCACTCCATCATATAACCAGTAGAATTCTCCCAGGACATCAGTATACAGCCATATAATGTTGAAATAGTATATGGACTTTATATAGAACCTTTCTTTGTTTGCAACATCGATTCCTGATACTAGAAAAGACAGCTTTGTTAGTTTAAAGGAATTTTCGAAGTTCATATTGAACTAGGTTCACAGAAATTAACAAACTGATGGAAGTTAGCTGATAAATTCTTATTTATAAGATTAATTATAGACCTGGATGTCAAAGGGATATGTGTGTATTTAATATTCTCTTTCGTCAATAAAACGAAAGAACTGTCTTCTTGAATGGCTATTAATTAGAAGGTTCTGAGAGAGTCGTAATTAAATTGTCTCTTTATTGTTTAATAGAATGACTTTCAAAGAAATAACGCATCTTTTCCGTTTGAAAACTTAATCATATATTATAAATTGATGCATATTTGGAAACCTAATCATATATTATAAAAATAAAACACTTTTAATGGTTTAGTACGCCGCAGTTTTCTGTGCCCCTTCCGACCGAAACTATTAGGTGGAACATTTCTACACGCAATAGAGGTGGTTAATGTAACAAACTCTTCGGCTTTACAATACTATTATAGATCGATGAATCATTATAAAACGTTTTTCCAATTATTCGTGGTATTTAGCAAACGTGGAAAATTTTTGGTTGCCTCATTATTGTAACTTTATTACATTTAATTGGTTGAAAACATAATTACTCAATTTACTAGCGTCAGTTTTAATTTCATGATAATTAATTGCTATTATTTATGTATCATTATACCTCTCTTTTTGATTCAAATAATCTATCGGACGCATCAACTGCGCTTACTGGAAGAAACGGGGAAACTCGTTTACCTTAACTTTCCAAAACGGTTTAAGAAACTAAAAATATATGTATGTATATATATATATATATATATATGTCGTGAGTAACATAATAGCTAGTCTTTTATAAAGCTTGTTTGCAAAATAAATAATATGATGCCCAAAATAATTATTCCACGCAAGCACAGGTGTATTAGACAATGAGTTTTGAAATTGGCATTAATTAAAACATTTTTATGGTTAAAAATTGACTTTGTAAGACGTGTTGGATCTTTTCAGATACCGCTGTCACCATGATTCTCCATTGTTTTCACAAGAATACATATAAATAGTGCATATATTAAAAAAAACTAGCTGTGCCCGCGACTTCGTCCGCGTGTAATAGTAACTTGGGGTAGAATTTATAATAATTGAGACTGTTTATTAATTTATGTAACGGCACATTTAAGGCAGCCAATCTATGGTAAATGCTCCTTTGACGCAACACTCGCACCTCATATCACTCCTACTCTAACTACCATTCTCATTCCTACACTCACTCCCACGCCCACCCCTACTCCTACTCCCACTCCTATTCCCAAAAATCCAAAGAAGAAAGTATCATTGTTCTAGCTTCAAAAACCACGAATTTCCATACAAACTTTCATCCCCCTTTTAACCCCTTACGACCCCCTTTTTGCAATAAACAGTAGCTTATGTCCTTTCTCAGGGTCTAGACCATCTGTATACCAAATTTCATTCAAATCCGTTCAGTAGTTTTGGCGTGAAACAACAGACAGGCAGAGTTACTTTCGCATTTATAATATTAGTAAGGATACACATTTGGGCTCGTTGGTGTACCGAATCACAGATGAAAAAGCTGTGAAGTTTAATCACGTTTCGGTTTCAGTCTGTGGATTTCCGAATATCCAAAGCCAAAATAGGTCGACAGCTTGGTTAAATGCTATAGGCTGGTACCATGAGTACCATGTTTGTCTGTCCTCCTTTATATTAGTATTTTCCAATTATTTTTCAGTTTGTCGGTGTATTCTTGTTGTATTAAAGTGTGTTGGTCAGATATCTGCCCTGCTTGACTGAAGCAGACATGTTTTCACGAGATTCGCTCCTGTGTTAAATAGAAGAATATCTATTATAATGAAAATACGCCGAATAAAATGCTCTCCCATTTTGTTAAACTTGAATACTTATTATAATAATCAATAGATGAAAAAAATGGTTTCCAATTATATTAAGTACTTAATTGGGAGGAAATTGCTGCTAATTCGGGTGTAATTTACTGTTTATATAGTTAACGTTTTGGCCTATGAAAGATGTGATATAAAAATATATTATTCAAAAAGCAAAGACAAAAAATTACTTTTTTCTCTGTTATAAAGTTCCGATAGAATGTTCTAGGTTAAGCTGCAAAGGCAAGCCGCCAATAAGACAAAAATGATTATATTTTCCTAAGCTACAATTCATTCAAATTGTCAAGCCGGCAACTCTTTGATCCCAACGACGGAATGCCGACAAAAATTTCTATAATATTTGCGTGAGGCAAAAACTGTCGGTAGATTTGAAGGCCCCAAAGTGTGGGCCTTTTACCGTTAAGGGTCTCTGACAAAAAACTTCATTGTATAAATAATCCTAAAATTATAAATATGCCCTCTATATATTAGTGTTTGGTATATTATATGTCTATACTAATATATAAAGCTGAAGAGTTTGTTTGTACGTGCTAATCTCAGCAACTTAAAAAAAAAATATTTTTTTTTGTGTTGGTTAGTGTATTTATCGAGGAAGGCTATAAAACATCGCGATGCGACTTATAGGAGCGAATAAACGGCGGCAAAAGTGAAAAAACACGGGGAAAATTATTTATCCTTTTAAGAAGTCTCCTTTGCGTACGCTGCAAAAATGGTTCAAGATACCCAAATAGTATGTATGTAATAAAGATTGACTCCTCCTTAAATTATCTAAAAAAAAAGCGACAGAATATCTGTTACTTATTGTGGAGGTTTGCTGAACCAAATTTTAATGCCCAATATAATTTTTCTACGCGAAAGAAGTCGCTTACACAGCTAGTTATTTAATAAAGGTACAGCGTGGCATTATCAGTACCAGTAGAATAAAACCTAGACTTGCAACGAAAAGTATACCCCGCCGGACACCCAAACCCCAAAACCCCGCGAGACCCCCCCCCCAAAAGCCCCAAAAAGGGGAAAAAAAGGCCGGGGGGGGGGGCCCCCCCAAAACCCCCCCGGGGGGGGGGGGGGCCCCCCCCCCCCCCTGCGCCCCCCCCCCCCCCCCCAAAACCCCCCCCCCCCCCCCCCCCCTATTTTTTTTTTTTTTCCCCCCCCCCAAAAAAAAAAAAAAAAAAACCCCCCCCCCCCCCCCCCCCCCCCCCCCCCCCCCCCCCCCCCCCCCCCCCCCCCCCCCCCCCCAACAACCCCCCCCCCCAAAAAGGGGGCCCCCCCCCCCCCCCCCCCAAAAAAAAAAACCCCCCCCCCCCCCCCCCCCCCCCGGCCCCCCCCCCCCCCCCCCCCGGCCCCCCCCGGGGGCGGGGGGGGGGGGGGGGGGGGGGGGGGGGGGGGGGGGGGGGGCGGGGGCCCGGGGGGGGGGGGGGGGCGCCCCCCCCCGGCGCCCCCCGGGGGCCCCCCCCCCCCCCCCGCCCCCCCCCCCCCCCCCCCCCCCCCCCCCCCCCCCCCCCCCCCCCCCCCCCCCCCCCCCCCCCCCCCCCCCCCCCCCCCCCCCCCCCCCCCCCCCCCCCCCCCCCCCCCCCCCCCCCCCCCCCCCCCCCCCCCCCCCCCCCCCCCCCCCCCCGGGAGGGGGGGGGGGGGGGGCCCTCCGGCCCGGGGCGGGGCCCCCCCCCCCCCCCCCCCCCCCCCCCCCCCCCCCCCCCCCCCCCCCCCCCCCCCCCCCCCCCCCCCCCCCCCCCCCCCCCCCCCCCCCCCCCCCCCCCTTTCCAAAAAAAAAAAAAAAAAAAAACATTCCCATCCCCCCCCCCCCCCCCCCCCCCCCCCCCCCCCCCCCCCCCCCCCCCCCCCCCCTCTTTTTCCTCCCTCCTCCCCCCTCCCCCCCCCCCCTTTTTTTCCCCCCCCCCCCCCCCCCCCCCCCCCCCCCCCCCCCCCCCCCCCCCCCCCCCCCCCCCCCCACCCCACTTTGTGAATAAAAACATGTTTACAATTATTTACTCTGTAGTTTGTTTACATAATATACAATGACAACTCTATAATAAAGGAAATCAAGTGGTGTTTTTAACATTTTTATATTAAGACTTTAAATAGATTTGTTTTTTTTGATTTGTGAATCAATAAGTGAATATATTATTACTTATATTAAAATAGCAGTACAGTGTTTTACATAACCTATCGACCGAGAAGAAGCAAGGAATGGTGATTTAAAATAAATCACTAAATCATCGATATGTTTCGCGAATTTCGGAATACTGATCAAAATCATCTAAAAAAAGTAATAAAAACGAGTTTTCATGTAATATTGAACTTTAAAACTGCGTCATGACTAAACGCTTTATTTAAAAATTATTAATTTCCAATTTCTTTGGCAAATTTTGTCTTTTTCCCTCATTTTCATAAAAGTTTTAATATTATGGAATACAATGGAAACTCGATGACACGTGTAGCAAGGTTACCTTTCAAGTTATTAATTTCCTTAAAAGTTCCTACGTTATTAGAATAGGGTGTGATTAGGTCTAAAGAAAAGTGTAGCTCCGCTCTGTTATCTATTGTTCTGTCTGGCTTCATTGTTACCTAGAATGTACATACACACAGACAATAGCCTTTGTTTTAGGAAATGATTATTTTTTACCGTTTGTAGTGATCGTTTTCATTACTTGAACATTTTCAATTATTTTCTATGAACAAACAATAAACTAACCTACATGGATTTATAATATAAAAAAAAAAAAAATATACATAATTGGCCAACTTTGTTGGTCATGTTTTCATAAATATAAGAGAATCTTGTCTTTGTCTAATCCTTATTTAAAAATTAGATTCTTGGCGGGAATTTGAAAAAGGGCGGTCGACTATTTTTCTTTAGCACAAATTAATTTAATGTTTTAGTATTTCTTTGTTCAATATAGCATAAATACATTATTCATATAGAGTGTTATCAGTAAAAATGGAGGAGGGCGTGGATAGCCCGCCCACCTCCAAAAAAAGACCACGACGGCCTGATGATCACCAGAACGGATCTGGTCTTGGCGGCGGAGGTGGTGAGAAAGACTTTTTGCCATATTTTAAACCAAACTATAAAAGACTTTATTCTGAAAATAGTATAAACACAGAATTCAAAGTTTTTATTGAAAACAAAAACGGACAAGATAAAATAGGAAATAAAAGTCCAGTTTATTTGAACCATATATTTTCGAATATAAAAGGAGTTGTAGCGATCAGACGAATCAATGCAAACAAAATTGTAGTGATATTTAAACAACACAATACGGCAAATAATTTTTTAAACAATAACAGCTTCCTTGAAAGCCACGACTTGAAAGCATACATACCAGCAGCCCAAATAGAGAAAACAGGTATTATAAGATTTGTTCCTGCAACCATATCAAACAAAGAGTTATTTAGTAAATTGACATCTACATTTGAAATAATAGCAGTCAGGAGATTCATGAAAAAAGTTGGTCATGAATTGATAGCAACTCAAACTGTTAGCATCACATTTTTATCTAACTTTTTACCAGAAAGTGTGCAGTACGATTTATTTTCATACAGAGTTTTCGATTATGTCCCCCCTCTCCAACAATGTTACAAATGTTTTAAATTCAACCATCATGCAAAAATTTGTAATGGCAAACAGCGGTGCTCTATTTGTTCCCAAGAACATTTTTATAAGGAATGTCCTAAACCAAATGAGATTTGCTGCGTAAACTGCAGTGGACCTCATTTGGCTATCTCGAAACTATGTCCCATTAAAATGAAAAAAATTGTGGATAAGAAAAATAAAATTACATATGCAAGTGTTGCCAATTCAAAATTAAATATTGATTTTCCCCCTCTGCCAGTATGCTCCATACCTGTAAATAAAAATGATAATACTATTACTGTAAATAATACTGTATCTAAGAATATAAATAATTCTCTATCTAAAAATGTTAATAAATCTATAATAAGTAAGCCAGTTTCACAGGCTAGTAACATTAAGTCTCAAATAATTGAGAACAGTGAAGTACTTATGGCCCTGGTACATACACTTGTTCAAATTGGAAATAAAACAGACGACACTCCTATAACAACAACATTTATCAAAGATATACTTATTAAAAATTTGCCAAGTTAATGGAGAACCAATCTTGCATGTCATCCTCTTTGCGCCTTGCGCAATTTAATGTTCAAGGCGCAAACAACAAAAAACCTTTACTTACTAAATTTTTAAATGAAAATGATATTGATATTTGTTTACTAAATGAGACGTGGTTAAAGGACAATCAGTCTTTTTACATTTCGGGTTATAACTTTTACAATAAAAATTCTAAAAACCCTCGAAATGGTGTTGGAATTTTAATAAAACCAAATATAAAGCATAGTATTTTAAATACTGTGTTTTTAGAAGATATACAAACAATAGCTTTAAGTGTCAGTACCGGTAATACCTCTTTGTCAATTCTTTGTGTATATTGTCCTCCTTCTAATGGACACATAAGAATGCATAGATTACATAATATTTTAAGAGATTTGCCAAAACCGATTTTTATAAGTGGTGATTTTAATGCACACCACATTGCCTTTGGATGTTTATCCACTAAAAGTCGAGGTCAAAACTTATATGACATTATAGATGATTGTGGTTTATGCATTTTAAACGATGGTAGCTCTACAACAGTTAATTATCCTAGACATAATCCCTCAGCAATAGATGTAAGTTTTATAAGTCCCCAGTTGGCTCCATTCTGTGAATGGTCAGTATATGATGATGCTATGGGTAGTTATCACTACCCAACTATCACAAATATTACTATAAACCCTGAAAGATATACAGTAATATATGGTACAGAAAAATTTTTGTATAATAAAACAGATTGGAATAAGTATGCAGAAGTCTCTAATAATGTCTTTCAAGACATGATAGTTAGTAAAGAGAATCCAGTTGCCTCTTATGAGGAGTTTTGTAACAGACTTAATAAGCTTAAACAAATGTGTGTTCCTAAATTTACTAAAACCAACTTTAGAGGCAGACCACCAGCGCCCTGGTGGAATAGTACATGTGAAGAGGCTGTTATAAAATCTTACAACGCACTTAAACTTTATAGAAACGATCCCACGGTAGATAATTATATAAATTATAAAAGACTAGACGCGCTAAAGAAACGCACTATAAAGGAGCAAAAACGAATTAGTTGGAATAGTTACTGTAACAGCTTTAATAGAACTACTCCCATTAGTCAAATTTGGAATCTCATTAAAAAGTTTAAGGGTGTCAGAACTGGTAATAAGTCGTATAGGGATGATTTTGTGCAACCATTCTTAGACAAACTATCTGATAATACAAATTTAGTAAACTCCAATTCATTAAATGATTATTTTATATCTAACAATGAAAACCCTCAATCAAGATTTCTTTTAGAACCTTTTTCATGGTCCGAATTTATAATGAGTTTACAATCCCGTAAAAATACTAGTCCCGGTTTAGATGACTTTCCCTATTTATTAATAACATATTTACCTGAATCCATAAAATTAATATTTTTAAATGTACTTAACAGTCTCTGGCATAAGAAATTAATTCCAACATCATGGAAGACTCAATGTGTTATTCCAATTCTTAAACCAGATAAATCACCAGAAAATGCAAGTTCTTATCGTCCAATCTCACTATCATCGTGTCTTGGTAAGATATTTGAAAACATGTTGAAGACTCGCCTCGACTGGTATGCGGAATCAAATACTATCATCCCTCACATTCAATATGGATTTCGTAAAGGAAGAAGCTGTGCAGACAGCTTTATTTCTCTAACAAATGATCTGAAAAATGCGAAAAATAATAAGATACATACAGTTTGCGTATTTTTAGATGTCCAAGGGGCCTTTGATAGTGTAGATCCTGGCATACTGGTCAAGGTACTAAGTAATGCTGGGATACCAGGACAGTTGTGTAAATGGATCTATGATTTTCTAAGTAATAGAGTTCTATATGTTAGGCATAACAATGTTCTACATGGACCCAGAATTGCCTCAAAAGGTACCATGCAAGGTGCAACTTTGTCACCATTGTTATATAACTTGTACACATGTGAAATATGTAAATATGTAGATACCAAAAATGTAAATATACTTCAGTTTGCTGATGATTTAGTTTTATACAGTTCGGATTTAAACTTAACATTAGCTGTAGAAAAAGTAAATACTGGATTAAGACAATTGAATAACTATTACCAGCACAGACTAAACTTAAAAGTAAATACTATGAAAAGTAATGTCATGATATTTGGAAAAGACCTACCAATGATAAATGTTACTTATAATGGTGATGTTATACAACAAGTAAGGTCACATAAATTTTTAGGTGTTATCATTGACCAAAGACTTACCTTTGAAGAACAAATTAAATATATATCTAAACATGCATTAAATGGTCTTAATATTTTGAAATGCTTAGCAGGTGTTACATGGGGTGCAGATCCTAAAATACTTTCAGTCTTATATAAATCTATTGTTAGGAGTCATTTTGACTATAGTTATTTAGTCTATTTAAATAGTACTCATATCCAAAAATTAGATGTAATACAGAACAGAGCTTTAAGGATCATATCAGGGGCTATGTGTTCAACTCCCATAAGGGCCATGGAAGTTGAAACAAATATTATGCCTTTGGTTTTGAGAAGATTTATGCTTGCACAAAGATATTGCCTTAAATTATGCTCATCAAACAATTTACAAATTATAAATAAAATTAAACCTCACCCAATGACTACTGATAGTCCTCTTTTTTCTGCTATAAATCTTCTTAGAAACATATCTCCAACTTTATGCCAAATTTTGTTAGACATACAGTCTCAATATTCAAACATTTGTAGGTACTCCCACTGGCCATGTTACACTCATTCATACGCCAGTATAATGCATCCAATAGTAGTTTTTTCAATGATAATCAATAATAACACAGACTTTATTTCCTTCCTAGAAGAAAATAATAGTTATTATACAATGTATACTGATGGCAGCAAAGGTAATACTTATGTTAGATGTGCAATATATGATCCGCAAAAAAAATACACTCAGAGCTTTGTACTTAATGAACATTGTTCCATATATACGGCAGAGGCATATGCAGTTTTTGAGGCTTTAAAATTCATCACACATATTGATACTTGTAAACATTTTTTAATTTTAACAGATTCTTTGAGTCTTATAGAAAGCCTCAAACATATAAATCTTAATTTTAAAACCAACTATATAATTTATTATATCAAAGATTATGTGTGGCAGTTACATAATAAAGGAATAACAGTTGCCTTTATGTGGGTTCCTTCCCATAAGGGTATTTCTGGTAATGAAATAGCTGACAAGACTGCATATGAAGGAATCAATGCTAAGAACGTTAGAAATGTGGTGTCCGTTCCTATGACTGACTATTATAACGATGTAAATATCTCCTTAAAAGATATGTGGCTAAAGTTCTGGAAAGAAGATCAAAAATGTAAAGGAAAATGGTATGGAACTATACAAGAGAATTTACCAAACAAACCCTGGTATGACGAGCTCGATGTAGCTAGTCGTGAATTTATCACTACAATTAACAGATTGAGATTTGGTCACAATGCCGCACCCGCACATCTTGCGAGGTTCAATATAATAAATAGCAATATTTGCAACTACTGTGACGAAGAAGGAGACATCGAACACATATTTTTTAAGTGTCAACACCCTATGTTTATCTTTCATAGACTTATATTGGCAAGTGATATTATAGAAGCTAGTGAAACCTCCCGCCGCCAGTTGTGTAATTTACTTAAAAACAAAAAGTGTTATAGTGCGTTATACAAATACATTAAAAACACTATAGGGTCCATATAAGAAGAAAAGTGTGAAGTGAAAATAAGACTTGGCTTAAAGGTCTCGTTACCAGGCCATTAAATATTATTAAAAAAAAAAAAAATTTAAAAATTATACATTGTTCTTCCTAATTTACAGTCTAATTGTGTAACACAATGAATAATATATAAGTTATTTTATTTCGTGTTTAAAATTATAAGTATTTTGATTTTTAATCTTACCACATATTTTATTGTAAATAAATTAACTTTATAGATTAGAGTAATAGTTATAAATTATTTATAACTATTAATCTAAATGTATACGTATATGTTATTGATATATTTTTTATACTGTGTATTATTAGTGATTGTGTCCCAAGACACAGGTAGGTACAAAAAATTCTGATTTATCAATAAAAAATCATGAGAATACACAGGCTAACCTAAATAAAATCTTCTAATTACTTACGATGATTTGACAGATTATATTAATTAATAAGTCATTAACAATAATTAGTGATTTGATTTATAAGAATAACAAATGTGTATGTCTCAGCATTCTTGTCTATGTCAGGGAAAAGATGGCCGAATCAATTGAAAAGAAAGAATTTGACAACTCTTTAAAACCAATGAAAATTGCTCTCTGGATATCCGGAATAGATTTATTCGTTCGAAATGAAAAACCGTTAACGAGATCGTTGTGTAGTCGGTTTATATTCTATTTCAACTTTATCTGGTTGCATTCAGACGTCTGTGGTGAATTTTACTGCTTCTTTTATTACTTGACAACCAAGAAAAGTTTAGAAAAACCACTACTGATCGCGCCCTTTATTTTTATGTCAGTACTAGGAACTCTGAAGGTGGCAGCGATCTTTTACAATAAGCAAACCGCTGTGGGCGTATTGCAGAAGCTACGAGACTTACATCCTCAAAGGGAGGAACCGAGAGATCGTAGCAGCAATAGAAAAGAAAGGGCAAAAAGAGAAGAAAGCATAAGTTACGAGTTCAAGTTAAAGAAAAAAACAGTGAAGTTGTTGTACACATACAGTATATTTATATGCCTCGGTTATGTTGTTGCTGCGTCGTTGTTTGAGTTTTCTCCGTTAATTCTAATGGCTCGAAATCTTCACAAGTATGGACGGACGGATTTGAAACTACCTTATTTGGTTAAGTTCTTTTTCGATCCCTACGCTGCTCCGTGGTGGCAGCTGGAATACGTACATCAACTAATTTCTTGTGAGTTTTTGTCCTTCTGGCAACACAGTTAATATAAACAGTAGTCCCTGGAAGATGTAACTTCAACTTGCGAAGAATACTAGTCTTTTACCAAATACCTCGTAAAAGGCGGCCACATCCAGAGAAAAACCAAAAATCCATAAGAATTGTTTGTTGTTTACGCGAGTATTACCCACACAGATAAATAAAGCACTGAAATGTAGGAATTAATTTATTTTTAAATTATAAAAAGACTCGGTATTAAAAATAAAATTAAGGATGCGTTAACTTATGTATTTTAAACCGTTTTAAGTGTTTTATCTATTATTACAGGCGTTTTTTTAAATATCAATATACCCAAATAACCAAATTTAATAAAAAATAAAGTAAAAAATCAATGGTAGAAAAAGTTGCCTTTACCATATCTATCTGTACTAATATATAAAGCTGAAGAGTTTGTTTGTTTGAACGCACTAATCTCAGGAACTAAGGGTTCAAATTGAAAAGTTATTTTTGAGTTGGTTAGAGCATTTATTGGGGAAGGCTAAAAGCTATTAAACATCGCCCTGTGTCTACAAGCGAAGATACAGCAAAACATGTGAAAAAAATTAGGAAAATTATTCATCATTATGGGTTTCCGAGGCGTACGCTGCAAATACCCAAAAAATATGTATGAAAAAATGATTTCTGTTTAAATTATCTTTAAAAAAAAGTCCGCAACGCTATATGTCTATCTTTTAAGATTAACTTGCAAGAACAACGGAAAGGGACGCGACCGACGTCGTGGAACAGGTGAAGTTTATTAAGATGAAGGGGTTTGCAAAAACGAATTTGGATGCCGAAAATAATGATTCTAGCGGACGAATTCGCTGACACAGCTAGTATTTGATATACTGAGCTGCCTAGAATAGAAGTGAACCACTTTTATTTTCAGCTGTAATCGTGATCACAAACACTTTCGCCGCTGACTCTCTTTTCTACGCGTTCTGCCTGTACGTAAAGATGCACTTTGAAATATTGTGCCAACGGCTAGAAAAACTAACAGTTACCAAAACCAAAGACGCTTCTAATGAATTCAAAGACCTAATTAATAGGCACAGAGAGTTGATTGAGTAAGTTTATAGTAATTTTTGTTATCCACATAAATGTTGATTTAATAATTCTGCCATATTATGTTTATTACTACCTATGCATATTCTTATTATTTAAATAGAACACTTTAAGGTTTCAAAACGTGAAACCACCGCTGTTGCAAAGCAGTCGAAACGTCGGGCCGTAGTTAAAATAATTTTCAAACAAGTAACTAATATATATAGCGTTTTAACCGTTAAAGTGATTTATTTAAATGTGATGTGCTCGCGTAAACTACAGACAGTATTTTATTCTTATTATGATAAATGTACTGTCTTGTTGTATCACGACGAATTAGCATAGACAAATTGGAAATAATATTTTCACGCATGTTAAATGTTATGAATCAGTTTTTTTAAGAAAAAAAATTGAATAAGTTTAATATGTATTCGAATTATTAAATAAGAAAGACAAGCTTAATACTTTCTAGTATGTATAATTTTTAAAGAAACAAACAATATCTTGTGTTTAATTCGGCAATCCCGGGATACTTGTGTCAAAGTTCTTAAATTTAAAATACTTTTTCAAATAAGCTAATACATTTTTTTCCAGCATAGTGAATCAAATTCAGGCAATTTTTTCGTCCTCAATGCTGTTTAACATCATCCATAGCTCGTTCACAATATGTTTGTGTGGATTCAACATAACGGTAATTACGGAGTTTTAATTATGACTGTTTGAGCTGGGTTAAAAGCATCTTCCCTGTTTCAGTTCATTAAAGACATCGGTGCACTACTTGGATTCTTCAATTTTTTGTTGATTAACATGTATCAAATATTTATGATATGCTATTTTGGCGATATGATCAGGGATTCGGTAAGTTTGTAAACTTTAATCTTTTCGACATGCTCATAATGGCAAATGAAGGCACTTCTTTATTTAACTACGCAATTATTATAAGCGAAACGCATTGTAATAATGTTTTCGATAGAATAGGTTTCTATAGTCTAGTACACCTGTAAATAAAATTGATTGGTGCAACGGACACAGAAAAATGTCTGCCTTAAGCCATAAGGGAACTGGTACAAACACCGCAATGTTTTCTTTAGAGACCTAATTTTAGGTATCATTATCTGATACATCTTGACTTTCAGAGTACGAAAATTTCTGAAGCCATTTACAATACCAAGTGGTACGAAGAAGATGCAACATTGAAAAATAATGTCTTGATTTTAATTACAAGGTACCTTTTAACCTCATCACAGTTTGAAAAAATAAAACATTAAGAATGTAATAAAAAATTATCTTTTCTTTTTATTTATAGATCTCAAAAACCGTGCTCTTTATCTGCAGCTAAATTTGTCACACTTGATCTTAGAGCTTTTACAACGGTAATCATACTCATAAATAATAAGTTTACGATTTACCTATGTCTTTTTGTTTGTTATTATTTCACACAAAAACTACCTAAGTAATGCTTTTAACATGGAATTGTATCTGGTAAATCCAGGGACCATTTTTATCTTTAATTAATTGCTTTCTACAGATTCTTGGGCGATCGTGGTCCTACTTTGCTCTTTTGAGAACTATCTACCGCTGAAGTAGGCGTTTTTAATCATCATCGGATCAATAGAACTCAATTAAAGTATCGAAACAGTTAAAATATTTTTGTTAAATCACACTCTCTTTTATTTTTTATCTGTGGATTACATATTTATGCTTATCTTTTTAAATGGTAAAAAAGAAGATTCAATATTTATTGTCATCTAAGATATCACTGGTTTCACAGATTATCCTACTGCACAAAGAAAGTATAATGAGTAAGATAATCTATCAACTTTAAAACTTTAAGCTATTTTAAGTCTTACTTATTCTGTGGAACTACATTTTCATTAAGAATTAAATCCCTAATGCATCAATAAGTGTCGGCATTTAAAAGTAAATAAAACAATGCTCTTAAGAACTGTAATTAAATAAAATTACGCAGATATTGTCTTAACTAGTTTTTCGGAGAACTGTTTATTGTTTTACGATTTTGAATGAAGTTATTATGTTGTAAAAGTGAAAACGGGTAATGTCAGATAGTAAAATTGGAATTTGAGTTACAGTTAAAGATGTCTTTGTACTTACTTAAGTATCTAAAGCTTTGTCCTTTATAGTGACCATTAAGAAGTATTGAATAAATATATATATAATGTGCCCAGGTAAGTTTGTCATGTTATATTTTAATACATTATTTATATATCTATCATTTTCCTGGATAATTAGAAAATAAAAGTTCAGTTTATTAAGTTTGTAAACATAAAATTGTATATTTAGATAATTAAGGTATATGGGCATGGGGTAGATTCCAGGCGTATCTGAAAATGGAAACATGGAGCCAAGTTAGGCTATAATATGAAGCTGCTAGAGGCAGAGTGGCCTAATAACAAAAAACATGACTTTTAATAAGGAGGAAAATCACAACGCGCAATTAACTTTGGCGAAAAATGAATTTGTACTGTTATTTGTGTAAGAATTATGTTAACAATTTCCGGTCACTGTGCTGTTGTTGACATTTTCAGACTATACAAATATAAATAAGTCAAGTCATAAAGTTGCAGTTAGGCTACTCTGTCTTTAGCGGCCACATATTTCGTTATTGTTTCATATTGTCCTTTTTTATATATTTACGATCGGTTTTTCAATATATACTAATTTTGGCATAAGAATTGTGCGGCTATGATTTTTAACGGTTAAACAGCGAGAGGTCTTGGGTTCGATCTCTAGTATAACATTATAAGTAAACTACTTATAGCTTAATTTATAAGTATAATAAAATACAAAATGTCTGTCCTAGATAGGCGAAATGGCACAATTTTTAAGAAACATTTGTCTTTTAAATGTTAAGTGAGCATTTTAAATTCGGTGAAATAGATTAAACTAATACATTAGAATCAAAATAGAGAAATTGAAAACTTGTGAATAATCTTTATGATCAGGTAGACAATAATATTTATTTTTATCTGCAATTTTATTACCTCCGTGCATGTCTCCCACGACAATTTCCACAGATAATAATACCGTCTTAGTAGTTAGTTATAGTAATCTGTTAACGAGAATAACGGGATGAGCCCCATTGTTAATGTTATAACTGTAGTCTTTCGTAATACATATCTTTGTGTTATTTTATTATTTTCAGCCATTTTTTAGTGGATGTAATTTTCTATTATCTGTGGATAATTTCACCGCAAATTTGTTGAGGTATCTTTTTTAAATATCTTAATTATAACTTCATCATTGTAATTTTTGAGTCACAGTGAAAAATATTATTGATTTTCATAATACTACACCGCTGAATCATTTGTCATCCATTATATTACTAGTTACAATAACGATAATGAACGAGTAAATATCTTAGATTGTATAATTTTATTAAAGTTTCATTTAATGTCAAATGTTTGAAATTTAATATTCAAGGGTATAATAAATAGACGTTTTAATTGGCAACTTAAACGATGATTTTAATAAATTTTATCTATATTACATGAGTTTTGTACAAAACAACTTTTATTATACTTACAACAAGTTAAGATTCGAACTTTTGCGATAAAACAATAAAAATCTTACGTATTACTAGAGATCATTGTCTATTTTGTTCAAAAAAATATGAAATATAAAATAATTTTGAAATCCGGACTAGTATGTTATGTCACTATGTCACGAATTTCATTATCATCGTGTGTGGTTATAAAATAGTCAAAATTTATTAAGTACTTATTAAGTGCAATAATCACTACAACTTAGGTATTTGTTCATTATACAAAAAATAATTTTAAGGAAAACATATTTCTTAGGTAATTTTCTTCAAAGGTAAGTTAAACTGCAAACAATTTGGATTTGATTGTATTTAAGTTAAATAATACAAACAATATAGTCTGCTGAGTTTAGTAATAACCCGTAGCGACGAAATACAAAAGCAATTCAACTAACAGTTCGATAACATCCTTTCAACATTACACAAACTGGAAAAGGTTTCGCAAAAATTCGAATTAAAACTAGAAATTTGAATAATGCCTAAATATCTAACTAATGGAGCAATTAATCGGAAAACCAGACCTTTTTGCAACCACAACATTAAAATTACGTTACATTTACAATACGTATTAATGTTACAGATAAGAGTATACGCAGATAACGCGAAAAGGTCTAGTTGACACAGCGACTAGGTTATGGGGCGTCTTTCTTGAAACTTAACCGAACTAAACAGACAATTTAAATCACAGTTACAGCAAATAATCAGTCAACAAACTTATAACAATGTAATGACAAACAGAACACGAAGAAAGCGACCCCGTCTCCTAACGTTAATTCGATATCTTATAATTGGTTAATTTTATAAGTCCAGTACAACCTTGGCGGTTCCAACATGGCCGTCGCACTCACACACGCATTCGCGGCACAGATATACACTAGTTTGAGTGTGGTCACCGCACATGCCACAGACCTAAGTTGAGTACACTAAGACGGGGGAGTTTTACGATATGGTCTAAACCCTGGGGCGTTATGCACGTGCATCCATATAAGTCTATAGCCTTCAAGTTCAATAAGCCGTCGCCAAGAGCGCGCAGTCCTCTATCCGTGACGCGGGTACATTGGCCTATATTCAGGGTCTCCAGTTGCGATAGCCTAGCGACTCTTTCCAGGCCCTCGTCGCTCAGTCGGCAAGCGCTAAGCGACAATGATCGCAGACCAGAAAGACCGAGCGTAGCGTGAGATAACGCCTCATCTCCTACTTTATCACAGAACGAAACATCTAATGCTCTCAATCTACCACTCTCAGCTAAATAAGCTACTCCGGCGTCCGAAACTCCATCGCATGCCCTCAAATTAACATCCTCTAAATGCGATAGCTTCGCCAGATGCCTTAATCCAGCGTCAGTGACCGCAACACAGAAGGAGAGGTTGATAGATTTGAGCTGGGGAAGACCAGCCGCGGCATGCTTAAGAGCTTCGTCTGTTAACCTTTGGCAATCTTGTAAACCTAAATGCTCTAGCTCCGGAGTACCTCTCGCTTCTCCGCCACCGCACAGATGTGCTATACCGTCATCGCTAACATGCCAGCATGATCTGAGGTTCAGCTTACGCAGTTTTCTCAAACCCCAAGCGATTAATAACAGTCCTGTATCGGTTACATTACAGCATCCGCCGAGTTCTAATTCTTCTAAGTTCTTCAACGATTGGGCTATACGTCCGAGCGAGGAGTCGGTAACTTGCTTACATAGAGACAGATCCAGTCTTCGTAACGGTGGGAGTTCGGTTGCGAAAGCGCTCGCGAGTGCCGTGTCAGTCACGCTATAGCAACCGCTAAGGGAAAGCGACTCCAAACCTGGTAGAGAAGCAACGGCATCTCTCAGTCCACGCCGCAGCGATAGAACCTGAAGTTTGCGTACACCGCGTCTCGCCAGCGACGCGAATAACACGGGGGCCGGTCTTCGCAGATGTAGAGCTGCCTCGACACCTCTCCACACTGACCTCCTGTCTGCGGCATCACGCCAAGAGCGGCAAACTTGCGCCGCTCGACCTCTATCCCTCACTGGCAACCTTTCAAATATCAGCGCGAGTATCTCCGGGTATAGCCTCGAGATGTGCGTGCCGTGGGCCTCCGGTACCGGTTCGGGCACGTGAGCGGTCGACAAATGCGGCCTGTGCAGTCTGTACGGCGCGGTCCGGTTTTTCCTTCGGTTCACTGTGGGCAATTCGGTTAGACCGAGCCGGTCGTCGCGCCAGGACAGCACTTCCTCGGTCCACGCACTCATCACTGCACTGATAACATAACACGGGCGAACATCGGCACGATTCGAGTGCGAATGCCGGAGGTGACGTGCGTCCCGTGTGGTGTCTGAACGCGAACTGACGGTCGGGGGGGAAGCGGCCCCCGCCTGCCGCTGGGCGCGCGGCGATTGGTCGCGCTCGACGGCACGTGACGCGCGTCGTATCGATTCGGAGGCTCTGCGGCGGCATTTTTAAGTTGGCGGCCGGAGTGCCCGCCTTCGCCCCGCACAGCTCGCGACGCCCGCTACATAGATCAGGCACACTGCAGATGCGTTAGATCTAGATCAGACGGGTTTAAACAAGAGAACTAAATGTTATCTGATAAAAAAGTCAGACGTTGACAGTGGATATTCTTATCACCGTGGGAACTATATTTATTTCACTTCTTTTCTTCCTTGAATTAAAAGTAGAATTATTAGGTGATACTGACGTGATAGCTTACGTTTTGTTAGTTGGAAAAGCGAAATTGGAAACGTCATTGATCACGTTTTGAGTGCAAGTTAAATATTTTAATAAGATAAAGCTCGTACTTGCCTAATACTTTTCATCGATTATTAATAGTAAGATGTAAAATAGTAATATGCGTAATACACTATTATTTTCTTTATACTAATTGTCTTTAAGAAATCATTGTAATCGTACTATAAAAATATGGTTAATAAAGAATAAATTTAAATATAAATAATAAAATCTAGTTTTTTGCTTTTAATATGCATATTTTATATAATTTTGCTAACTCTCTGAGTCAAATGCAAAAGATGAACAATAATACTTCGCCCATTCACATAATCTGTGAACAGAACACAGTGATAAGGCGGCAAAACAACTCAGCGCGCCGTATATTTTCGTTCGCTGCACTTGCCGACCGTTTACAACCAATCCTCTGAGAGCCCTATGACGCCCGAAGACAGTTCCTATTGCTTTGAATTAGGGAAACCGCAGTACTGTGACAGGGGTCTTATAGACCGGTCGCTTGATATCAGACAACTATTACAAGGGCAACCGGTTGGGACCGCTCCGAATATGATATTCGAATTTCGAATTGAAACGTAGACGGTTTAGGAATTAACATTTTAGTGCAGTTAATATTTAAGATACTGGCCGCTTAGAAAGTGGGAATTTCGGAATAACTTATTGGCTATGACGATAAGTATAATATTTATTTCCCCGTATTGGTTGCAGCGATAATGTTCAATTAATTATGTTAATGTTAAATTAATGTAAACGATGTTTGAAATAGAAGAATAGATAACATAGATAACAAATATAACAGTTGTGCTATCCACTTTCTACGTCATACACGTCATGAACTGTTTAATACTATTTTAACGGTTTCGTCTGATGTATTAAGTACATTTTACTTGTTTAAAAACTACCTACGTTGTGATAAAGTTATTGTTTATTCTAACATACTAAAGATCTACAGCGATAAGAAATTTATATCTAGTCAATTTATTGATAATATTTTTAATAATACAATATATTCCACATATTACAAAAGAACGAAAACATACCGAATTAATATAATACACCCACATTGTTGGAACATATTGAAATGGCACAGCCATATTCAAAATTGCATTTACTGTTATAAATGGATCTCCTTTTTAATTATACACTGGCAACATACAGAGTTACAGCAACATAATGATCAATATTAATTAATCAATAAAAAATCACTAGAACGGCATTCCTAATTCGAAAAAAACACATTTTATATTCAAAAAGCGAAGAACGAGTCAAGTGGAACACTGGAGTCCACGCTTTCACGCACACATGGACAACAGCTGATTTACATTACGTATTTGTCCCGTTCGCGTTTAGTTCAATATGGACTTTGTGTTACGAAGTATAAGAGCTATTTTGCCTTTTGCAAAATTACGTAACTTATATGGGAAGTGCGATGTCATTAAAGCATTTTGATTCTTAATACGTAACAACAATGTACAATTTCGCTTACGTATGTTAATGAAAACTCGATATAAACTCTATCGCTTTATAACTAAAGTTGAATTCCATTTGTAACTATCTTTCGTACTAAAGGCATCTGCTTAGTATCGTTTGACCGAAGTTTTACCTGTGTTATTTTTAAACATTATTGTAATTACGTATTAGGTACTAATCTTTGAATTACAATGTGTGTAATTTTGAAATTAGTTTAGATTGTGATTTGATTGATTGAAATAAGTAGCTTCCTATACAAATGGCATGAGTCATGCTATTTTTTACATGTAATTGAATAATATTTTATGATAATACAACGACTATGTTAACCAAAAATAATATACGGTCAGATGTTTGAAATTGTTTATTATAAATTAGATAAAATCGGTATTTAATATTTATGAAACCCCATACGATCGATAAAATATTACCTATGTTAATAAATTTTATTGTAACTCACTCTCATGTTGGAATGATTAAAGTAAGTAGTGTAAGAAAAATCCCGTTAAATTAGAAATTCCTACAATATTAATTGTAAAGTAAAATAGCGTACTGAATAAATAAAAATGTAAAGTTATATCCGGCACACGCTTGGCCACGGCTAACCCACGATCGTGGGGACTGCAATCGCATGATTCACATTTCACGTCACGTTTTTTTTTGCTGTCAGCCGGAGGCTTTTTGTTCGAGTACCTGAGCGAGCCATATGGCCCGACGCGGTAGGTACACAATATAAACGCAGTGCTTAGTGCACTATGAGAAAACATCCTGTTAAAATAAACCTTAAGCGAGGTATTTTAAAATATGTAGATATAGTACATGAAACGCGGTGTTTCGATTTTTTATTATTTACATTTCAAGGACAACGTAAAGATAAAAAATAGAGTTTCCACTATTAGTTATAATAAGTACTTTAAAAAATAAAAACAAAGCGACTATTAAAAACATTATTATGTTCTGTCAAAATTACTTTAAGCGTCTACGTACTATTTTTAAGATTTTAAAAGCGAGAGTTTTTTGTTTAGTTTGAAATGCATTTCAAAGTATGAGATCTTTGCATTTTTTTTGTCTTTACGCCGAGTTACCCTTTTTTAATTCAAAGATTTCTTTGAAATAGAAAAAAAAATGATTGTACACTGGTTTTGTAATAATGCAAGAATAATATTATATTCAAATCGACTTACTACCATGGCTCAATGTCAAAAGTCTCGAATATTATATTCTTTATAATATATACATAAACTTATTTATTATACAGGAAATTAAAGATTTTTCATCTGTCGATTTTAATGCAGCTATTTAGTTTGATACAAATTTGACTAATGCCATCTATTGTACAGTAGGTGCAACAAATTTACATGTCATGTATGGAAAGTAATTTGATGATTCCGTAAAAGTGCCCTCTAGCGGTGAATAGAATAAACTTGACCGTGGTTATGTTAGTATAGTATTAATATAAGAGATGTCACTAAAACCAATAAATAAACGAATAAATCCGTTTTATTTGAAAAAATAAACCTTGACCAATTTTCTTCATTTCATTTCTTATTAAAGTTTCTGTATATCTGAAGTCAATCCTAAACTCGCATGATTTTAATTCTCTTACCCATAGTAAGTACATACAATTGTTAAAAAATATTAAGTACATAATTTAGTCACACTTAGAAACATTTTCCTAAGTATGTACTTTTAGGTATGTTATTGTCTTAGGACTTATATTGTAACTACTAGGGAGGTCGTCATGTATAAAATAGGCCAAGCGTGAGTCGTTCATGCGTAACAATGGTCCCATACAATGTAATAACGCGAAGAACGCGAAAATCATTTGACTAAAACCGTTTAATTTTGTAGTTGTTGTTATAACAGCAATAGAAATATTTGCATCTTCTGCGTAAAAATAACAGCCTAACAAGGTACTGTCTGTAGTTTACGCGCCGTGGTCACGCGTTTCAAACCGTTAAAGTGTTTTATTGAAACCTAACAAGGTAGATGACAAATAAACGTCATAAGATGAGATCGGTAGAATCTATTTACCATGAGAAAGAAAATTAACCAAGACGAGAAAAGGGCAATATAGACCCTCTTTTACTTTTAGTATTCACGGAACACTAAAAATGTTGGTTTATTTGCTAACTTCAGGTCGGTAATGTTGAGTACACTGCGCTTGCGTGTAGAGTGAAAATCAGGTACGGCTTGATTTCTTGAATTATAATAAGTTGCGCTGTCGACCAATTTGGCTTTGGAAATTCAGAAATCCACAGACTGACACCGAAGCGCGATTAAGCTTCACGGCTTTTTCATATGTGGAATTTTCGATGTTCCTACCACCTCTTGACATTCACATTTCCAGACCAAGTCCAATATGTTTGAGAAAAATTAGATATGAAAAAAATTTAAATATGTCGAACCCCGTGGATTGCTGCCGACGAACTAACCCGTAGAATATAATGATAATTGTTATAAAATTAGAACTGAACATTATACTTTTATATAATCAGCTAAAACCCGAGCTTTTGAAGAATCTATAAAATTGCCTTTTCATAACTTTTTTTGTTTCAATTAATGCATAATAAAAATTTGTTACCGTTGGTGATTTAAAGCGTAAACTTACGGTCATGCGTTAAATAGATTATTTTAAAAATTTATGAAACCTAGAAATTAATTTTCATTCTTGGAATTGTATAATCTTCTCCCGATTCCGTCTCTGGCGGACATATACTTAACAATAAAACGATTAGACTGGACAGAGGAACACAGCAACAATATTTATCGAATGCTTAGCACTGTTCTTATGATAACACTAATCCAATTATAATTTGTGATCCATTTTTTAGCAGTTCACTTAACGTTAATCCGTCAGACAAGTTTATTTATAAAGTTATGCCATATGTAAAAATTCAATAAAGGTTTAAATTTAAATAAAACAATTTCGACGGTTTAAAACGTGAAATATATTGGATAACTTATTTTTAATTTACTTTAACAACGGCCCGACGTTTCAGATGTTTTAATAAATTAAAAATAATTCAACTAATATATGTCGCTATACAACTATGACGTAAACTTTGTACATACCTGATATTCAATTTTAAATTAAAAAAAGATTTAATACTAATATATAAAGCTGAAGAGTTTGTTTGTTGTTTGAACTAATCTCAAGAATTAGAATTGAAATTTTCCTTTTGGTGTTGAGCATTTATCGAAGAAGGATTTCGGGTATAAAACATTAGGCTGTGACCAAAAGGAGAGAAGAAACAGTAGGAATTGAAGAAGAAACGGGGAAAATCTTTAAGGGTTTCCGTAGCGTTCGCTGCGAAAACGGTTCAAGATACCCAAAATAATATATACGCAACAATATGTCATATATTGTTGCGTATATATTATTTTGGGTATATATTTTATTTGGGTATATATATTAGTTTTCCCCTTTAATGGATCTAAAAATGTCCGCGATATTATATGTCTAATTCATTATAAAAAACAAACAAAAGAAAAAAACAAATTTTGTTGCAAAAAGTATGCGTAATAAATATTCCGCGCGGACTGAGTCGCTAGGCACAGCACAGCAATTTTATCGGATAATTTTCTGGTTAAAAAGTGGTTTAACAATAATAATTTGATGATCTTATTTACAGTTTTTTTTTCATAAGCTCAACAATTTTAATGGCTCGTTGGAGTAATGGTAGCAATGTAAGGCTAGTAATCACTCTTCATCTGGAAGTCTGGATATTAAATCACGAACTACCGTCCACAGATGAAAAAGCCGTGAAGTTTATTCACGTTTCGATTTCGGTCTGTGGATTTCCGAAGGTCGACAACTGAGGTATGTTACGTACCGAGTACATACCGTTAAAACCTTTGCTAATCTATCCTCCTCTATCATAAAAAAAATCAAAACAAAGTAGGTATAAGAAATAGTGCATAATTTCGATCAACTTTCTTCGTGGCGTACCGAGGTTCGATTCCTAAGTAAATCCAGACGCACTGCCTTTTTTATACTTGTGGTGGTTCGCAATTTGAACGAGGCTTTCGGGCTATAAATATTTCTGTCACACTCTATGTAACAACATTCCTGGACTGGAACTAGATCTATAGTAATTGCCATACTGTACATATTTATTAATATTAACCCTACATATATTTTTTTTATCTCTCTGTATCTTATTATTTTTAGGAAAAGCGTCTTCGGTATTTATATTATTCGACATAGGGTTTCGTCCACAATTTTATTTAAATGTATATGTCATGAACATAACAAGTAATAATTATAATTATAGCAGATACTTAAAAATTGAATATTAACATTTCAAGTAAGTAAATATGAGCTTTTTCAATGTTTGCGAAAAAAAAGTATTTAGTAAAAAATGTGTACTACGCCGCTGCTCTATCGACGTATCGCAGGTTTGATTCCAGGAAATGTCATTGATATTTCCTTTCTAAAAACTTTTGAAGAATATATTTCTAATTATTTTCCTAGGAACATTTTACTTATGTGACGATCGTTCAAAACTGTAGTAGTTCATTAATTTTTCAGTCCAATCAAACGAGTTGAACTTACAATAAAACAAACTCTCGGAATTCAAGAATCAAGTTCTGAATCAGTTCAATGGCGACCTTGCGCGGGAACGGTCCACAGATTATATTGTTTACGATTCAAACGATATCGGTAAATTGTGCGAATGTGGTGCAAAAATTGTGTTAGCTTTCGAGTGAAATTAGTTCCGATTGCCAACCAAAAAGTCATTTTAGCTGTCAATTCAATTTAAAATAACTTCAAGTGCGATTTCAACAATAGACAATTTTAACAATAGAAATTAACTTTGACAATATAAATATAACAAACAACTAAAAATAGATCGAGGTAAACTTACACGCGAGATTTTTACAATAACACAAGTCTGCTAATATGAAAATTAACACAAATACGCTCGTTGTATATATCTTATACCATACTATAAAAGATAATAAAGAGTGAAAACATTACAATCAAGTAAAAAAGAAATTTCAGTCTTATTAGCTAATCAAAAAAAAACAATATCGGTGAGTTAAATATAGGAAAATATCGTGCAAGTCTCCACCATTCGTGATTTTTTTTTATTATTATTTATTGTCCTCGTGAGTTACAATAGTTATACAGCTATAAAAGGTGTACTGAATAACTTTATTACACTTTAGGGATTAGGATTAGACCACAACCCTGTTTGACCTGAGAAGACACGAAAAAATTTGTTATTGAGGTAACAAATTTTTTCGTCATCCTAAACACAATTAAAAAAAACCAGAACAAAAATACAATCTTATAATTGTAATAATTTTGATACAGGATTGTTACATGTTATTTCGATAGTTCGAGTGGATATATAAGCAAAGACTAACAATAAAACATATAAAAAGGATATTCTGAGATTAATGCGTAACATGAAAGAATAAGGGTCCTATTATTATAATAACAGAAGAAGAGCGTCTTTCTGGCGACAGGAGTCAATTTAGTTCCTACGATACGACATTTTTTATATTAAATGGTTTAGTTAATGTCGTACTGACTTTCATAGAAGGGCGAATATGTCTAAAGTTAGAGTAAAATCTTTAAAATTGAAATAAAATTTCGAGTATTTGTATAATATTACAATGTTACCTAATATTTAATTCGTACGTACTATTTTGGTGTACTATAATTTCGTATAATAGTAGGTAGAACCGTATCGATGTCGTGTCGTGTGAAGTAAAGTACGAAATATTTTTTCCCATGTTGAGATTAGTTACGCCTTTGCTTTTCTATTGTAAATCGAATTGAAATTATTAGGGTCGCTTGACTTCGTTCATCATAAAAGCTCGACATTCGACATTTTTTACATAACTGGCTGGAAAACAAGTCGCATAATATAAAAATATAGACGTACCAGGTTTACATACAATCAAAGATATTCTAATCTGTATTATTCAAAGACAATAGAGTTATTAATATTATCTAAGAATAATTTACGGGTCAATCAAACTTGTTGGCGGTGACTGACCTTTTAAACAATAAAACCGTTTCATACTAATCTAATTGGTATTTGATTATTTTTTTAACGATAGCATATTAAGTGATTACCAATATCGTCTTCAAATATTATAGAAACCACAAGTAACTATCAAAATAATATTTTATGTCTACGCATAACAATTTATTCGTGAAACATCTTGGAAGGTGTTTCTTTAATTAAGCGTATCTTAGAATAAAAATATACTTTATATGACCATAGAATATTCTTCATCAAAGATCGCATCAGATAATTAATAACTTGAGATAATAACACAGCCTAGTAATTACATATCGCGACTAGAGGTTATCTTAAATCTTTTAAGTAATTTCTCTTAGAGACAAATACATAATATATATACTTCACTCTCATAATTACTTTAAGATTGTTTCCTAATCTGTAATTATGTATTGTCTATTAATTTCCTATATGTCAAAAGAGGCCGAATTAAAATGTAAAATAGAATTCGAAATATGACTTGTTCGAATATACTCTGTGGCAAGATGTGTTAAAAAAAAAATATTATGGCTACGCGTCTGTTTTGTTTCCTGATTATTTTGGCGGCACTCATTTGGATCCTTAATGCTAGCACTGTCAGGAAAAGAAGAGAACCTTGGACGAATGGAAGCTGGTTGTAAGTAATCATATTTATTATATAAAGATATCTCCAAAGTATAGATTGTTTTAAGTCGTTTGCTATATATTTAGACATTTTGTATCACATGTTTATTATTAACCAGCGACTATAATATTTATTTTGGGTATCCATTTTCGTTTTTGTAAACTTCTTCATTATAAACTGTTACCCATGACGTCGGTCGATTCCCTTCCCGTCGTTCTTGCAAGTTAATCTCAAAAGATAGACATATACCGTCACAGACTTTTTTGATATCATTTAAAGAGGAATCAATCTCTCATACATTTTAGGTATCTTGAACCGCTTTTGCAGCCTTCGCTTTGGAAACACATAATAATTAGTAATTTTCCGAAAATTCTTCACATTTCCCGCTGTATTTTCGCTTGCATTAGTCACAGGGCGATCTTTTATAGCCTATAAGCCTTCCTCGAGCCTTCCAGCCTAAAACTCTCTAACCAACAAAAAAATATTTTTTTTTAATTCGAACCCGTAGTTCCTGAGATGAGCGCGTTCAAACAACAAACTATTCAGCTTTATATATAAGTATAGATAATAAACATTAAGCTTCTTAAAAAAACAATCTTGATGTGGTAGCGTTTAAGCATCTGCAAATAACTATGTTGCAAATATGATGTAACTATTCCTTATTTAAACTATTCCTATACCTTAAAACCTATTGTTAAGAAGTATCTACTAAACTAGTAATTTGTAATAAATAAAAAATTCTTATCTTTTATCGTTTAATGAAGTTTGAAAACAATGTAACTTTTGAGTAGAAGTTTGTAAACAAATTAACAATTTTGTGTTGTTAAAATATATTTGTTAGCGACTCTTGTCGCAGGCTGTACAGCGGTCTACCGTGTATGGTATTCAAGCATTCCAAATCGGTTATCCAAACTTTGCCACCTGAGCCGTCTAGACTAGCAGAATTGCCTTAAATATTACATAGAAATCTTTCGGACTTCAAACATCTGTTTTTTATCTAAAACTCGTGAATTTAAAGTGATATTATTATTTGGTGTACGATTATTGTTCGATGATACTTTTTCTCCTTTTGATTACTCGAAGTATTTCTGAATGAATGCTATTTACAAAACTCGCTGAGTGATGAGGGCATATTGTCATCAATGTTACTTTTGTGTACCCCGACCAGCCAAAACTGATAAGCCAAGCGTGATGTTCTGCTCACAGTGAATGTCATATCTACATGGTCCTGAAAACATATTTATTATTGATAAAACCATTTTAATAATTAAATAGAGACCTTTTTATCTAAAGCTGTATGTTCCAAACATGACGCCGCCGAATCAGTTTGCGATTACGAAATTTTCTATTTTGTATATTTAAAATTCAGTTCAGTTGACCTAGTCGTTTTTTAAATAAAACACTTTAACGGTTTAAAACGCGATATATTAGTTTAACTTATTTGAAAATGATTTTTATCTTCGGCCCGACGTTTCGGATGCTTTGCAGCAGCCGTGGTCACGGGGAGACTAAAGTTTAGTCTCCTGTGACTACTTTTTCAAATAAGTTTTACTAATATATCGCGTTTTAAACCGTTAAAGTGTTTTATTTAAATGTGTACTACTCGCGTAAATCGCTATAGACAGTATTTGACCTAGTCGTTGTTAAATTGTAGCCAAAAACGCCTTGTAATATATTTTCCTGTCGCGCATGTCCTTTTAACGTTTCGAAACGATCTTACCCCTTACGGCCGATAAAGTGTGCTATTAATTTATTTTTTACTCACTTGCATTATCCCACCTCTATTGATAAATCCCTTACTCTTCGTGCCGTCTATATGTAAAATAACTGTCAAACTCGTTATTAGGAAATCTGATTGAACATTTACCTGTAAGATAATAATCGTCTTAAACAATAATTAGCATATTAGATCAAAAGCCATTTATGCAATCCGTTCATACGAAAAAGCCAAAAGATAATCAAATAAGTTAATGATAAAACCTTTTTAATATAAACTTTCTTACCATTGGATATTTTAAACTGAGATCGACATCTTGCACAGGAAACGTCCAAGCTTTAGTGCCGTACAATAATAACTTTGAATCTGCAATGAAGGCATAATTAAAATAAAGAAAATATTTACAACAAAGTTTGCTCATAACGACATCTAGTAACTAGCATAGCTGATTCCAGATTTTACTAAAATCCAAATTATATGTAAAATTTATTACGACTAAAGTTTTTCTTAAAAATGTGACTAGCATACTCTGTGGTTAGTACTTATGTATATTGGCGCGAATCGCATCTATCACTTGCTATAAATAAAACTAGTACCTACCGGGTGGATTAAAAGTTGCTTTACATTCGTACTTCTTTGACACGCTATGAAAAGTGCCGTTCAACGGTCTATTGTCAACAAAAATAGGGCCGAAATTATTTTCATTGTCGATATCTAATGGCACCTCAGGTATGGCCTCAATATAACATTTCACACTACACTGGCACAAAAGAAAAGAAAAAAGAAAAAAAATTTTAATCTGAGACATTTATATTTCGAATCCGTGAATTGTACGCGGCCATTATTGGAATGGTAATTAATGACGATTAATTATGCCTAAAATTGAAACCCGATAAGACGTTTATAATCATTGATAAAATGCGAACGGAGATAAACGGTTTTTATCATTTCCTGCAAGAGCGTGAGCGTGTATTTTTTTAAGAACTAAATATATAAACAGACCACCGTACACATTTATTCAATGTTCAATTCAATTAAAAAGTATTTTTAAAACAGCTGTAGTGAAAATGAAAATGTATTTATTTTTATTTTTTACAGCTTTACACATTATTGTAAAACATACCAAAAAGCAAAAAAATATTAGAGAAAAACGTTCTTACTATATATAGGATTTAACCAGAATTGACAGATAGTTTTCCTTTAAAAGGACAGTCAACATATAATTGTAAGAATTAATGATTAAAAATTCGGAACCCCTTAATTTTATCTATTTGAATAGAATTAAATGATTTATAAATTTTTAAATGAAGATTACTATGGCCTTCAATTATGAACAAAAATCTTCTAATGCAACCTAAATTCAGAATGTGGAAATAATTAATAATAAGGGGTTTAATAATACTGGTTGGTAAAAAGGGTTAGTGAGAGCCCTCATTAGGGCTATTTTACACTATTGTTATGGGTCATTATGTTCACGCCTGGACAATTTGAGTAGGAAATATATAGAGCTGCTACATTAGAATTGTGTCTGATCCTAATTAACTGCATGAATTTACGATTCTATCTTGTAATATTTTTGTAATTACATTGGAAATTACTTAAATAAAACCTTGCATAAAATTCCAATATAAGTCGATTAAAGCTAAGGCTAAGAGTAATCTTGCAATCTCATGATATTGTTTTAAGATAATTTGTAATTTCGATTTTTTTTATATTGTTACGTACGTTGACAGCATTTAAAGTCGTTATAAAAATCGAGATATTTATTTTTAAAATTACACAAGCATAAACAACTCTATACAAATACATAAAAAACAAAACCACAGACACTCGTACAAAACCTCTCATTCACTATCAATAGTCGTAAATATAATTCGAAACCGCGATAAATCTTTTTTACTTTACTTCACTGGACTATTCCAATTTGTTAGACCCTAGTAAAACTAGCATTAATTTATGTTGGGCTGTAAAATTTTTAATTAATTTGACTGTAATAAGCGGTAGCCCGATCTATTTATAAATCTTAAATACTTACTTATAATAATATGTCTATGGTCTTTGAAACAACAACTCAGCGTAGTGTTCTTTTAAAACATGAAACATATTCTGTTTTAATTACTGATACATCTAATTACATGAAAATTACTATGACACTAGGATCATAATTAGAAACACAATATTAATTTATTTGATGATAAGCATTGCTAACAACTTCTTGGCAGGCATTTCATAAGGATGAGACTAAAAACAATACTATGAATAGTATTGATAAAATCACGTCGTTTTATACTGCTGAAAACTCTAGTGAATACGTAAAGAATTTACACATATATGTACAGTTTATACATCGATACCATAAATATCTATAGTAAAATTAAAACCACCCCACAAAGCACTCCGTAAATGCACATTTGCATAATTAAAACCGACCCCGCCATAATCAACCTCCGCGGAGGCGCCATTTTGACTATTGTCTATTATCTCTATGGCCGTTATAATGTTGTCATCTGGTTCAAAATACTTTGGGAAAGCCACATCAGATGTGCGTATAAACAAAATTGGTGCTTTCACATGATCACTGTGATGCAACAATTTGTCATTTTTCAATCTTTCACCTTCAAACACACTATAGCCGTTAACACGGCATATTGTTGCTAACAAAAACACAACAGCTGTCACTGGTACCGTCATTTTAAAATTTTCCCGCCAATTTTATTAGCGAGTTAAGGTAATACCTCTCTAGAGTCGCGCCTAAACTAAAAAGATGTATAAACTTTATCAATTATTTAACTGTTTTTTGATAACTATAAACGCTGTCAGATAAGAAATATTTTGTAGTTTTATTATCACCTGAAAAAAATGTACAGTAGATTCTGATTAGATTTCTGCTATCCGCAACCTAAATATTTCACATATGAGCCAAAATATTTCTGTGAGTATTCAAACTTGGTATAAATTGTAGCAATAATGACACCATAAAGCAGAAAGAACCAGAAGAGAATTATATATGCTTTTAAACTAGATCCTTTTAAATAGATCAAATAAGTTACGCTATACTTATACATAGATAAGTTTAAAAACTGTGTACAATAATAGACACGATTAAAAAAGCGTTGAGTTTGTAACCATTACTTTATACTAGTTTTATTTTACCCCTATGAACAAAATATGGACTCGAATATAATTAGCTAAATTCAAATAACAGATAAAATTATTGTCATTTTATGATTTAAATTCTTAATAATCAATTAATAATCCATTGACCTAATAGCTAGAAGCGTCAATAAATACGAGAGAGCATCGAATTTCCCTCCAAAACGTTATAATAAGTCAACTGTCATGTCGTCGAAGGTAATTTTAATCTGTGCATCATTTTTGTTACTGGCAACTTTCGTTCAAGCAAGCGGGAGTCTTGTGCTTGGAAGTCCATATGGAGCTGACTTAATTTTTCATCGCGTATATAAAAAAATTGCGATTCCGTTTATTAAACGTGATAAAGTTGTTCAAGTGAACGCTACGGGTGGGGAATTAATAAGAGGTGTGGTGGTTCAAGATTTGTATGGGACCGGCGAGTGTTACCCTGTCGGTGGCGGTGTTGGTCAGAGGTCGATATCTTTGAAGTTAAAGAGTCCGAGGTCCAGGGGTTACAAATTTATGATCGATGTGTATGCAGCGTAAAAAAATCTCTTATTTGGTCTGTATTGATGTAAATCGATTTCTATAATATGAAACAATGTAATAAATATTATTTTGGATTATATTTATTGTTTGTATTTTTTTTGCCTAAAAGGTATCTGTCTGTCACCTAGAGTGAAGCCGAATATTATTAAACTGTAATTTATGTGAGTAGTAAATTTTCGTACGTTAAATAAAACGCATAACTACTGTATTGTTAAAACTATTGGTTTTCCTTTATATTGCATATTGTATTTTTTAATAGAGGGATTTATACTACAAAGTAATATTGGTACAATTTCGTTAAGACAATATTTGCTCTGATTTTACACTTGTGCTCAAAACAAACAAATTTCCATATTAAGGACAAACATTGGTCTTTTAATGTAATTAATTAATACAAACGTGGACTTTATTACAGTGCAATACAGTAGGAATTGGTATTTATTTCGCTTTGGTATCAAGTGACCTCCGGTCAGTCCATGTTGATACGACTAATGTGTATTAAACACTTTGCTGTCGGTTTACATGGCGACAATAGTACTAGCAGAAATATTACTATTTTTCTCATTTACTAACTGGAAATTGACGAATAGAACCTACCTGTCAGTAGTAGTAGTATTCTTGGCTTTAAACATAAAAAATATTAAAATAAAGAAATGATGCACATCCATTTATTACAAATATGTATATTTGATTAGTTCATATATAAGTAAGGTTACTTTAATAGTAAAAGTTCTCCAGTCATATAAACATCATCTTATCCATCTCCAAACAACCACTGATAACAATTATTTGACCTTTTACGTCTCTTTTGCTCCGGTTTGTTAAGTCACCCATCTCGCTCACACATTTGATAAACTATTTGGGAACCACACTAGTCACTTACAGTAGTAAATTTGACTCTGCTAAGATGTCCCTCAAATATTTTGTTTTGTTGTGCGTTTTAGTATCTGTGAATTGTAAGAGTGTTACGATAGGTCGAACACACAACGGCGTCCAAAAAGTATACGAAATGAATTTTGCAAAATCAGCCATCCCGTTATTCAAACGTTCGCAGGAGGTTTATTTCGATTATCCGATTAATGATAGAGAAATAAAAGGGATCGCCATTATCGATCTAGACGATGGCATGGCTGAGCCATCTATAACTAGCGGTGGTCTTGGATTTAGTTTTGCAAAGGTCAAGCTGAAGAGTGAAAGAGGTTCTGGATACAATTTCCGTATTGAAATTTACGCATAGACTTATTTAATGCCCGTTATTATCATGTTTCTTGCATGTTATTATTACCAGTATTTTGTTTAATTGCTCGCTGATTGTTATAAATAAATACTAAACCCTACCTAAACAAAAGTAAGGCCTTTTATTAAAATAAATAAACCTAACATAAAAATAAACAGTTAAAAACATTAATCTCTACAAACTATTTTAACGACGTGACCACGGTTGCTGCAAAGCATCCGAAACGTCGCGCCATAGTTAAAATAATTTGTGAAAAACGAAATATTAAATATTTCGCGTTAAAAGTGTACCTATTACTTAAATGTGTACCAATTGCTTAAATTACAGACAGAATTTAAGACGTTTTATTCTGTTTAGAAGATCTAAGGGTATGAGGGTCTTGTATGGTTGTAATGTGTAGGTATGTAAACCGCTGCTTATAGGAATCTGAATAAAAGAATAAGACGTAATCATCACTCTGTTGGCTTATCACCATGTAACCCCCTTCTTATCCTCAATGACCTCATGCCGTCTCGTTCTGACATTCCTCTTCAAGACCAAGCTTTATTCGTTCTAACTTGAAACGGCAACCATGTCGCTCAAAGCGTTGATTTTGATCTCAGCATTAATTGCAATAGTAAATTGTAAGAGTGTAATAGTCGGACAAGTTTACGATCATAATAATTACGTGAGGAAAGTGTTCGAGCAGACAGTTGAAACCACTGGTATACCTTTGTTGAAGCGAGAAGAGGAAGTGAAGTTCGAATACCCCAGTGCAGACCAGAAGATAAAGGGTATAGCTATCAAGGATTTGGAGAATGGCTTAGCTGAACCGTCCATAACGAGCGGTGGAATCGGATTCAATTTCGTCAGAATCAAGCTGAAGAGTGAAAGGGGTTCTGGGTTCAAGTTCGTGGTGGAAATCTTTGCTTAGTCTGTGATTTAGTGAATATGAACAAGAAGTTGATTATGTTACAGTGTTTGTTCTAAGTAGCACAAAAAATATGTCGACTTCAAATGTATGTATAATAGAGGCATGTTAATAAAAAAGTAATTAACTTTTTTTATTATTACTACTTTCTTTTGTTTGATAAGAGTAATTAATCTACGCAGTAGTTAAGTCTCTTTAATAGTTGTTCATCAACCAGATCTTGGAAAAATTTAACATATTTTCCGTAGAGCAATCGACTTATAGTTTCATTATTGATTACATTATGCTACCATTGAGTCATAATCTTGTTATCGATCAACTCGATTCTTAGAAGTAACAGCTTATCTGGTTAAATTTAAGATTTTACATATTAGGTATGTCTATTTAGGACTAATCTACAGAAACAACAAAGGGATCTAAAAATTTAATTATATGTCAGGCTAACAAAAATATCATACTAACAAGTAATTTTTAAATTATATAAGAAGGATTTTAATTATAAATATTATAGTATTAGGCGATGGGTTATTTATATAAAACTACTACGATGTGTTTGTCCCTTAAAAGTGAATGCCCGTTTTCCCCTTGTAGGGTATGGGGCGACCACATTTCTGTGTCCGTTTCACTGATCCGTTCATTTAATTCCCTCATTAAGGACCTCTCGCACTCAACACAATGCTAGGCAATACCATTTGGCTACAGAGGCAGTCAAACTAACTAAAAATTGTATTGTAAATATATTTTTCTATAAACAATAATTATTATGTATATGTTTGCTAAGATACTCAATGTTTATGTAAGAATAAATTCTCGGAATTACAAGTGAATACATACTCTTAATAAACAATGATAAAAGAAATGAGTCACTACAGTATTTTGAATACTGAGACAAATATTGTGCAATTAATCAAAAGAGGTTTAATTAAATTATTAATAATTATATAAATTCATACTGTGAGATTAAATTAAAGAAAAATTACGAATATATTTTTCATTTTATTGTGGTGAATATGCTGTTGCCTTTCCGTTCGAGAAAAGTTCATCATCGAAATGCGTAATTTCATTTTGCGTAAAAGAGTAACATACACACATACATATAAGAAACTTGCAAATAACTTATGGCAACATTTTTAATTAATATAACAGATAAACAAAAAAACCTTTAGTAGGTAACCAAAAAAAAAAACAAATTATAAACCAATAATTTAATTAACTATAGCAAAAATAATTATAAACACATTTACAGATCTTCACAAATCTTCTTCCAATGTAATTTATTTATTTACCATGCAAACCCATGAAGTAGCCGGTCTGTATCGCGTACACTTCTACCAGGAAGTTATAACCACGGAAGACACTAGGACTATCCAGCTCCAAAGTGACGAAGCTCTGTCCGATCCCCCCTCTCTTTATGTAAACTTCCCCCCATTTGTCATTACGCAAATCGAGTACTTTAATCGCGTTAATGACTTCTGTCTTCGAGCAATTCACTGTAAATGTGTCGGACCGCACCCAAATGGCTGGATTCTCTTGATGCACTTTTTGATAGATAAGTTTCGAGTTCAAATCCGGATAACCAAGTATCAAATCGTGCGCACATATACTTGTGACCGTGACTATCAAGAGGGATATTTGGACGAACATTTTTATTTTTTACGAGTTAACAATACAGCGGTGTCTATTGAAATAACAAAATATATCTTGGAATCATGAATGGTCACCGCTTGTTAATAAATAATGTCAATAGAAACAGTTTTTAGAAGTACGACTATAGGTACACAAGGTGTAGCAAAAACATCTATGGTAAAAAACTAGCTCTCTCACTCAGTGTTACTTGTGTTTTGAGATCGTTGAAATAAATATTATTCTGCTGATTGCTTCTGTTGCTGAGTGAGCTTTAATAAATTATAACTTTCTTCTTATTTAGAAATGTAAATACGTCATGTTAGCGGCCTTATTTATCCATAATTAACAGAGAAATAATTTGAACTTATGCTATCAATGTCAATAGACAATGTGTCAAAGTCGCCGTGCTATTCTGATCTATGTTCTGATCAATTGAGCTACCGTGTTGACTCTGTAGCTTATTTATTAGTTAGAGCACAGAACATATTTCAATCGAAAATCGAGTATTAATTTATATAATGCCATCAAGTGCAATAACATGTGAAAATATTACAGTTTTCAATTATTCAGTTCAACATTATCTATTCATAAAGTTAAAGTCTAAGACTAAGTTATTGCACAGCAAGCAACACCCTGTATATACCATACTAGGAAGATACAAACAAACGTAAAACGTGTTAATTAATGAATTATAGCAAACACCTTTAAAGCAACAAAGATGATCTAATACAACAACTATAAAAGCAAAAATACATCGAGATTCACCATTGTTGTTTAGCACTTGAGTCAAAATGTTGGTCAAATTGCTTTTTCTCAGTATCTACTTGATCAGTGAAGTAAGATCCAATGATATAAGACTGGGTTTTGTCGCGCCGAGTTCTAGAAAAATCTATGGTGAAATTAAGGAAGCTGATCCAGCACTCTGGAAAAGAACAGATGATATCATAATTAACACACCACACAATGAAGTTATTACTGCTGTCCTTGTCACCGACCTGCGGGATGATAAGGACGGAGAAGCCTTTATAGAGAGCGGTGGTGTTGGTTTAAAGAGTGTTACTATAGGTTTGAAGAGCCCAAGTATTTTGAGGGGGTATAAGTTTGAGATTGAGGTGTACGGATCGGATACTAACGAACGGTTGTACAGTAAAGGCGGTTTTGCACCGTATAGTGGTGATGTACAATATGCAAGGAAGTTTTAATAGCTCGTTCTTATTTTAGTCGATATTGTTTGAAATTATATGTATTAAATAGATAATAGATATTCTTTTTTCATATAACGAATTAGAGTGTTGGAGTATCGTTATAAAGACTACTGAGTAATTTTCTGATGTTTGTATTCTTTAAATTAAATTTGTAGAATAAAAATTTGCGTGCCCAGGCCTCACATTCCCCTATGTTGCAGGCAAATTTTAGTTGATTGTCCGATTTTATTTGAAAGTAAATAAAAATAATTTATTTGACAGAGAAATAACATTGTTTTTTAGACTATATACCTAACCGCCTCTGTAGCTACATGGTTAAACTTGTTGTATAACATTGTGTTTAGCGCGAGAGGTCCTGGGTTCGGATCCCGGGGAAACAGGCAGGACACAAAAATCTGTTCAACTTTTTGGCTGTAAATAAAAGAAAACTGACGAGTGAAACGGACACAGAAATGTGTTTGCGCCATGTCCCACAGAATCTTGTGTTCTTGTGTTTTGTCCAACCTAACTTAGTTTCTTAGGATTAGAACCCATGTCCTCTCACCCTTCATGCAAAGCGAGGCAACACAATAAACCTTAAGCTATAGTTGTATTAGGTGTGGTTTACTTGTTAATTAAGTTTTATTCTTAATTTTGGTAAACCTCCAGAAAGTATTACAACTCTTACAAAAGAGAAATTAAGTTATATCGATAAATTTGTATCGTCTTAACAATTTCCTACCTAAATATCGCTTTAGATCTCCTCAAAACCTATACATGCCTAGTAATATCATTGAAGCCACATAATATACATATATCGTTGTATACCCATAACAAGAGACGTATTGTGATTAAAATGAAGCAGCCTTGGTATTTTACCTGCTGACATCATCTACTAACTAACTCTACTTGAGGAAAGTATTTTTTGTATGCTAGAGAAGGACAGACAAGCTTGGTAAATGAAATACCCCAGCCATATAACATCTAAACAAGATGTCGACCTATTTTTGGCTTTGGAGATTCGGAAATCTACAGACTGAAACCGAAACGCGATTAAACTATCTGGCTTTTTAATCTGTGGTTCGGTAGTCGGACGGAATTTTGATATTCCTACCACCCATTAAATATCCAGATTTCCAGACGAAGATATTTATGATGAATTATAAATTGATTATAAAAACGTTGGACTCGATGGGGACCGAACCCACAACCCGTAGATTGTTAGCCATACATTACACCAACGAGCCTGTAAAATTTTCTTGAATTAAGAATTATTTTATCCACCGTTGTGGAAAGTATGTATTTTGTGGCTGCTAATATGATTGATCACTAGTTTTGTTTTATAAAAATACAGATGTTAAACCTCTATATGCCCTTCTTGGTGGAAAGTACCAAGGGGTATTCACCTTAAATACTATGGGGAAGCCCTGTTTAATGAACACAAGACATTAAAAACAAGCAACAGAGCCTGAACGAAAACGATCTTGGAGCAGTTTGTGTACTGATTCTAAGAATTTCCATCGACGATATGTATATGTCGTAGGACAATCAAAAAAATTGTATTTTTGCTAAAATCCTAGGACAGTTGCAAAAAAAACGAATAATTGAAATCTAAGAAATAAATTCGTAATTATCCGAGCTATTTTCGGGATTATTGCAAAAATTCGAGTTCGTTCGGTTTTGTTCTATGAGTATATATTATATTATAATATCTAGCCTAACCTATACCACAGCACAGTCTGAGGGTATAGAAAGGGGGCGCTGGGCCGATCCTGGCGTCATTCATCCCGGATTTGGACGCCATATATCCTGGGCCCGCTACTGGATTATGGATATATTTATAAAAGAAATAAAACGGTCCTTACATCCAAATATCCTTGAGATTGATAAATAATTAAATTATTTTCCTGTTTAAATACCAAAAGATAAAAATTTTCGAGATGTGGAAAGGCAGAAGGTGGACGCTCTAGAAATGTGGTGCTGGAGAAGAATGCTTGGGGTTTCGTGGACGAGTTTCGCACGAACGTCTCATACTTCAAAACTCGATTCAAAAGGTCTATTTCCTTAGTACAATCTCGCATTCTGACATTCTTCGGAATGTTTCCCGGCGTGACAACCAGTCCCGCGTCAGAACCCTTTGTCCAAGGAAAGGTGGAAGGCACTAGCCGCCAAGCACCACACTGACAGCAAGCACGTTGGAGGCCCTAAAGTCAGCCGGATGACCTCTACAGCTGGAATTAAACGATCACATCTGCAACTACATACTACACACGACCGCTCGTCAAAGGACCGGATTAAAAGAAAGAAAGAAGTGACGATTAAGCTCTATGTTTCTGAGAAAATACGATTTACAAATGTTACGTAAAACGGAATGTTCGTTTCACACCACGTTATATGTTTGTTTGTTAGCCGTGACACTGGCGCGTCATATGATGTGTCTCCATTTTGATGGATATATGATGCCTTTGTCGAATATTTACATGGATCGCGTTATGCAGAATTGTGCATTGTTGCAGTGCTTTAAGGAACATATGAAATGAGTAAATAATTGATTGCTTAAAGCGAAGTAAGGATTAATTTTTTGGCGTTCGTAAACCGTATGAAAGTAGAGACGATATAAAATATTGCAATGCTAAGAAGTTCGATAAAAATATTTGTACTTAATAGCTAATAATACCATACAGTTAATAGCTAACTAAAATTAATACATAGGTCTCCAATTAATACATACTGAATTTCAATAGCCAGTTAATATTTTTATTCGTAATATACACTAACTGCTATGAAAATTGATAAGATAAAGAGGGTGGATTGCTACTCTCTTGCATAAAACTCTTATTTTATATATAAAACAAAACCGTTTCATTAGCACATCAGTGCTAACGAACGAACGAAACAGAATGAAGTTCCTACACCTTGTTGTTGTGATCTGCTTGGCCGCTGCGGTGAGCAGCCAAAGCCACGACTTAATTGTTGGCCAAGCCACCTACGGAGACGTTATAGTATTCAAACAAAACGAGTACAAATACGGATTCCCTTTCATGGTGCGGACGAGTATTATTGAGTATCCGGAACCAGGACAGCACAACTTCGCATATATCAAGGCGATCTACGTCAAGGACAACGAGAGGGATGGTAGTGGTGGGTACCCAACAATCTCGTCGGGAGGCGTGGGACAGCGTTTCGTGAAAATTAAGCTGAAGACCCAGAGAGGCTACGGCATGAACTTCACTATAACAATCTACGGAAGATACTAGACGTTTCTGCTGCCTTGGTAGTTGTGAAAGTATTGCGTGCCATTCGTTTGACCTTTCAGTATTTTTTTTATTTATTCCTTTTATTATTAAGTAAATTAAATTATTTTTATATTTCACATGGCTGTGTTGATTAAATATGTTTCTAGAATTTAACCGTTGCCAAAACTTATTAGCCTTCAATTGAAAAAAAAATTACACGTCCTAAATAAAAACGTTTGTTTCCATAAATTTGTTTTTTTTTTTCAAATTCACCACACACAGGTCCATATTCAACTAGCAAGACAAATATTTAATGCTACTTACAATATTTTAATCGTGTGCATGTGCGCCTATTTCAGTAATAACATTCAGTAAGTCGCTTAACGGTTTCAAAAAAAATATGACCTGTCCTACTTACTTAATGATAAAAAATCTTGGCTCAAACAAACAAGTTCTAATTCCCAAGTAGGTACGTTCTTATCATTTCCTATAAAATAATTTTATGCTTCATTATAACTACATTATGGTTTTATTTTATCTTGATCACACCTAGCATGGTCACGTATTTGATACAAATGAGAAAATGTACATAAAAGTACCAACGCACATGACTAAGCACTGAAAAGTATTAGTATAAATAATCGATTTCAACTGAAAAGTAATTAATTTATTATGTATCTGTCTTGTCTGACGGAAATTGAATGTGTTTTTAACTCGTACTTCGTTATATAGAATACCTGAGTTTTTTTAAGATGCTTGCAATAATTGTATAATACAAGGACGCACTTGAATTTAATTTTTAATTATTTATTTTTGTTAACTTTATCACCAGCTATATATCGTTTATGTTACTACGCCTATTCAAACACGCAAAGCAAAAACGTCGCATTAAGGAATGGCTCCAACAACAATAGAACGTGAACATTATGAAAAATGGTGTAGCCGTTTATAAGGAACTAAACGTAAAAATTTGACAACACACAGAATGGTTGACACATATTTATACTTGTCAAGAGGTTGCTTTAACGGTTTTGAGAGCGCAAGCAACACGAGTTCTCAATTTAAGTATTTCTACACCATTTTATACTTTTTATGATACAAAAGGACAGACAAGCGCGGGGTCCACTCGATGGAAGGTAATACCACATCCACTATAACATCGCAACGAGATACATCAACCCATTTTGACTTGAGATTCAAAAAACCACAGTCTAAAACCGAAACACAATTAAACTTCACTGCTTTGATCTGCGGTTTGAGACCTGGTAATAGGAGAAGTTCTGACATTCCTACTACAGAATCAGCATCCAAATTTCTAGGCGAAGTCGAACATGTTTGAGAGAAATGATAAATGTTGAGAAACATGTATGATCCGGTGGGGATTGAGCTCGTAAACATACGCAATTTGTTTCGGCACCACTAGCGCCATCTAGCGTAAAGCGGAGAGAACTTTGTGCTAAATCGTTAGAAACGATGTGTACTCTTCTGGCTTATCGGATGCAGTGGTAGCTGAAGGCAGAAGCCACATTATACTTGAAGATACCGCCACATAAACTTAATCTATTAAATAATATGCGTAATAAAACCCAATCGAAAATCGCTGTATTATGTGTGTGTGTGTGTGGATGCTAATAGCTGTCGTTAAATGCCCTGGTATGATTTCAGTATTAAATCTTGGCGATACGTAAGTTTTTTAGAAGAAAGAAATAAATGTATATGCTATGTGTATGTTAAATTACTTATTAAAATCATACAGGTGGTTTCTATCTATTTGTGTAAGAACAAGTTCTTAATATTTGAACAAGTACACCATGAATTTTAACAGTTTAAAACGCGAAATATATACTTATATTATAAAGCTAAAGAGTTTGTTTTTTTGAACCAATCTCAGGAACTGCTGTTTTAAATTGAAAATTTGTATTTTGTGTTGGTTAGAGCATTTATCGCGGAACGCTTAAGGTTATAAAACATTACACTACGATATAATAAGAGCGAACAAAAGAACCGTTTTCACTGGAATCATACTCCGTCGATAAATTTCATACAGCAAAAAAACGTTTACCAGGTTAGCTAGTAAGTTATTATTGCCGTCCCCTCGTGACCACGGCTAATGCAAAGCAATTGTTGTAAGTAAGTTAAGTAATAAACTTCGAATTTTCAATCATTAATTTTTTTAGTGTCGAATACTCGTGTATTTAGTGCCCAGTACGGACATGACTTTAGTTCTGAGTATTATAATATACCTATGTGTATTTTTGACAAGATGTAACTAGTATAACATTTAAAATTGTAATATTTATGAATTCAAAAGTATTTGTCATTAATTCCTTTTACCAAGGAGTTGAAACACTTGATTTTTCAATGCTAGGCACTGCGATGTAAATATTTGTACTTAATAGTTAATAATACCTTACAGCCAACTAGTAACTTCAATTTAATAATCACTAAACTACAATTTCCACTAAATTTTTTCAACTCGTAATAAACACTAACTGCTATGAAAATTATCAACATAAAGACAGTTGATTGCTACGCTCTTGCATAAAACCTTTATGATGTATATAAAACAAAACCCTTTTATTAGCACATCAGTGTTATAGAACGAACGAAACAGAATGAAGTTCCTACCCCTTATTGCTGTGATCTGCTTGGCCGCTGCAGTGAGCACGATTAATTGTTGGCCAAGCCACCGACGAAGACGTTATACTATACAGTGATACCGAGTTGAAATACGCAATCCCAATGTTCGTACGGACCAGTGTTATTGAGTTTCCAGAAAAAGGACAGCAGAACTTAGTGAACATCAAGGCAATCTACGTCAAGGACAACGCGAGGAATGGAACCGGTGGGTACGCTACCATCTCCTCGGGAGGCGTGGGAGAGCGTTTCGTGGTAATTAATCTGAAGAGTAATAGAAGCTATGGCTTCAACTTCACAACCACAATTTACGGATGAAACTAGACCTTAATGCCTTGTTACTTGTAACGTTGAAAGTACTGCGTGCCATTAATTTGACCTTTCAGTGACCTTCATTTAGTTCATTTTATTATCACTTAAATCTACTACTTCACTACAAATGAGAAAGTAACTCTGTCTGTCTGTCCGGCTTTCACGCCGAAAGTACTGAACTTCTTCTTATTATGAATACCTGAATAAGCTCTTTCCAGTGGCACGCTGTATTTACACATGTCTTAATAAATTTATATAATAAATAAATAAACTTTTATCATTACCTAAAAAGTGTTGTTATAAAATGTTTCTACAATTTTAACTTTGCCATAACTAGTCTTGAATTTAATAAATTGCATTCTGAATTAAAAACTTTTATTTACATAAAATTGTTTTTTTCTAATAATAATTACTGATTGTTATAATATACCTAATAGACTTTACGGTTTAAATCTGTGCTGGGTGGTTCGAGACCCGGACGAAATAACGATATTCCTGTAACTGAATTAACGCCCAGATTTCTAGACTAAGTCCAACATTTTTCAGCAATATAAATTGATTAGAAAGGGTACAATAAAATCAATCTTTTGGTCTTTGACGGCAAAAATTCTTAAATTATTCCCATGGTTGAAAAACAATAAGGCAAATACCAACGTAAGTATATTTTGAATATCATAAATATGTTTTTTTTTAATTAACCCCTTTTTTTCTTTTTCTTTTTGTAGTTATAAAATTATTTCTAATTGTTACGTTTTATTTAAAAAAAAGTATAATTATAAAACAAAACTTTGATGAAATATTTCATGTATTGATTTAATTTAGGGTTAAAAACAACTGTATCAATACGGACGTTTACGTCAACCCATGTTTACGCGTTAACTTGACACAGCTGCAGACTATTCCAGCAAGGATGATAAAAATTCTACTAACAAAAAATGATGCGAAAGTAAAACTAAAATAACGGTAAACTGCACGAAACAGATGAGATGGCAATAGCATTGTGCATCCTTGTTAGAGCCATTACGCAATGTCGACCAGTCGCCGCCGACTAAGTCTCTCAGCCACCAAAACAGAGCAACTCGAACATCGTAAATAATAAAGAAAAAGCAACCAAAAGAGTATTGGGTACATCCCATGTTACAAATGGAATATTTAAAGTAGTTTATGAAGTCACAAATTGCTTTTCGGGATTTTTATTTTTAATATAAAATTCTTAGTATTGATGACTTAAGCCATTTTGTGCGCGACAGTTGCTCGAAGTATTAACGCTCCCATTTGAAGCTGCTGAATTGGTCGCCGGCGTCCGAGAGTCGTTGCCTGGGCGACAGACGACCGAGTGCGTAGGCACCCAATTAAACCGTATTAAGTTACAGTCGACAGCGTAACAGCGCTTATGGACGTGTCTTTGCGCACAAGTCGGTAAGGGATCTTACCCTGGCACACCACTTATTTTGCTGTTGGACTAAAGATCGTACTATCACTAGGTTTCTTATATTATAAAAGCGATCTAACGCTAACGAACAAACGTAGCTTAGTTTTTATCATTTGTAACAATGTGAAAGTGATATACATTTGCATTTACAAGAATATTAATTACATCGTGAGTCACTGAACACTTAACTTTTACGTGTTATCGCTATCGGGTGCTTAAATGAATAGAATTAGTTTCAAATGCAAAGAACGGAATGGTGTTAGTAAGAAGCATTGAACAGGTTCTGAGTATTTAAATAAAACATTTTTAACGGTTTAAAACGCGAAATATATCTAGACTAATATTATAAAGCCAAAGACTTTGTTTGTTTGTTTGAACGCAGTAATCTCAGGAACGGGTGGTTCGAATTGGATAATTATTTTGTGTTTGTTAGAGCATTTATCGAGAAAGGCTTTAGACTGCATCCAAAGGAGCGAAGAAACGAAGGGAAAATGTGGAAAATTATTTTATTTTATACCAACTAAAGGAAAACTCTAGCCCTCTTCCTCATTTATTAGTGGATACTATTTTTCCGTCTTAAAAATGTATAGGATTTGCATATATTATGCTAAATTAAAAATTAATTGTTATGAAAACCAATTGACGATAATTCGACAATGACTTGTAGATCACGGTAGCTCAGTTGGTTAGAGCAACAGCACGGAACGCTGTGTATGCCGGTTCTAATCTTGTCCGAGTCGTATTTTTTTTTCAATTCACAATTGACTTTTAATTTATATAATGCCAGTGCAATAACACGTGAAAAGTTTCGAACTAACTAAATCCAAGTATTTTCTTTTCTTTTTAGTTAATTTTTGAAGTTGTTCTTTTCTCTGTATTGTTGAAACAATCTTTTATTTAGTCATTCTGCCCTTGATTCTTGTAACTTATCTGTATTTCTTGTTCTTTTAACAACATATTGTCATAAAATTAAGTCAAATCCACTTTTGTTCTAGCAACATGGGTCTGCTCGAATTCGAAAAGTGGTCGAACCAACCCGATCTATTCTCGGAAAAGTCGCGTTTTTGCGCGAGGATACGGGGTTTGACGCCCGGCCAGAGAAGAATTTGCAGACGCAATAAGGACCACATGCCGGCTGTGAGTGCTGGAGTGCGCCAGGGTATTCAGGAGTGTCAATATCAGTTTCAAAGTAGAAGGTGGAACTGCACGGTGACAGAAGATGCTACTGTCTTTGGGCCCTTGACTTTAATAGGTAACGAGTTATTTTTTTAATATTTAACTTAAATAATAAAATGTTTAAACGTTTTTTGATTGTGTATTCTATTTTATAGATAACTAGCTGAGCCGGCATAAGTTGTTTTGCCATATAAATAATTTTACTAAAATGTCTATTAAAAAATTAGGGTTGATCGTAGAAGGGTGAAAATTGAGGATTGTATGTATTTTTGTAAGTTGTATCATAAAAATAAAAATTTTGTCTAAAAAATAAAAAAAAAATAAGGGTGAACAACCTTTATCACTTAGGGGAATGAAAAATAATATATAGATAGATAAAAAATAAATAGATGTTGTCCTATTCTCACACCTACAGAATACACATATCAAATTTGGTGAAAATCGGACGAGCCGTTTCGGAGGGGTTCAAGTTCGAACACCTCGACACGACACGAGAATTTTATATATTATTTCGTTAATATATATATATATATATATATTATATATATATATATATATATATATATTTATAGTTTAATAGTATTAAACACACACACTCATACTTAAATACAATTTCTGATAGCCTGTGTAGTTAATGTTGAGCTCGGGTGGTAATGGGTATCTTGGACGATAAATAAATAAATTTGCTGTAGTCGTGTAGTCAATGAAATGCTGATCGTAACGTGCTTGTAATTTATTGAAATATACCAACTAATTATGGGTCTAATGCCCTCAAAGACAATACGAGACTTCACTTTTGCAGGTATTCGTAAAAGAGGTTTGTTATCATCCAACATTTAAACCTCAATACCACCCAAAAGCCTTAATACCAGTTCATAAATAAATGTTATATGTATGTTTACGCCCACACACTAACATAGTATTAAAAAGCGCATTTTAATTTTTAAAAACGCTATCTGCGCAAGTGAAGCTGTAGCTTTATTGCGAAGAAGCATAAATCTCACTTAACAAACGTCGACACACTGTCGGCTCTAAGTGATTTATACTTTTGCCGGATTATTTAGTCTGGCAACACTAACGCGGTTTACCTGGCTTATTTATTAAAAGAGGTTCTATATTTATTTATATCTCGCTTAAAATAGATTGCCAGGATTGTGCGACCAAAATAAACTTTGCAAAATATTAAGACTTGCTTTATAAGAATTTTTATTTTAAAATCTCTTTCCTACTTGCTGTGTATACTTTTACGAGTATTGCCTTTTTCTTTATTAGTGCCTTATGCCTACCCACTTAATAAGTCCTTTCCTGAAGTATAGGAGAGCCTGTATTTCAGGTTACCTGGAAGAGATCGCTGCTTAGTGATAAGGCCACCTTTTTTATTAAGTTAGTAACATTAAGAGTCTTTTCCTTTTTTATAGTTTGGTTTGTGGTATGGATTATAAATAATAAAGCTAATAATATAAATATACTAATAACTAAATAAAACAATTTGATATTGGCGTAGTTCACATATATTTTTTTTATTTATTATCTTACCGGGAATTGAACCATCTATTTATTAAAAAACTTTTTAGGTTTAAAAGGATATATTAGTTAAGCTTATTTGAAAATGATTTTTAATTCGGCCCGATTTAACTAATATATCGCGTTTTAAACCGTTAAAGTGTTTTATTTACTATAGACAGTGTTTCATCTATTTATTTTTTTTATTTCAATGTTGCCATATTTTTTCAGCGTCACGAGAGACAGCGTTCACGCACGCTATAACGTCAGCTGGAGTTTCTTTATCAGTGTCTAGAGCGTGTCGCGATGGTCGACTAGCCTCTTGCGGATGTAGCCGAGCAACCCGGCCGCGCCATTTGCACACGGATTGGGTATGGGGCGGATGCGGGGACAACCTGGAATATGGGTATAAGTAAGTGAATTTTACCAGGATAGCATAAATTATTTGAAGTTTTTAAGGAAGATATTTTCCAAAGAAAGTTTCTGTACAGGTACGGTCGTATTAAATAAATTAATTTAAATTTATCAATAATAAAATCGTGATTGTGTTAAACTAATAAATAATTAATTAAACCTTATATGCATAATAATAATCATTTTGTTTTAAATATGCCACAAAAGTTGTACAGAAGAAACTTACCGTAAGTCATCGAAATAATAAATAAATTTCTCCTGCTTCCCGTTACCTGGGGCCTTCGTAGGTTTCACCTGTAGTACCACCTGACGCACCTCACACCTGAGTAACAGGACAATATAAAGCGGATGAAAGTACCTGTACCTGGCTCGATTCACCATAGACCTTTTCCCCAAAGCCACACAGAGGTATATGTAGGATAACTTTGTCTATCCCGCTTTCTCACACATAAAAGCTATATTTTGTCTCAAAGCTACCCCTGTCGAGGAAGTGAGACAAAACATTGCGCCCCAACCACCTGTACTACGTAGAACTTAGTTGTGTGCGTTTACCTGAATTTCACGTAAGCTCTACGTATTTTCACGTGAAAAGGTGAGCGAAGGTATCTTTCGATTTATTATATCCTGGTCTTCAGGTGAGGTATAAGACAGGTGGAATTACCTGAGCTTCCGAGGTTTTTTTACCTGTTGGTCTGCAGGAGACGTGATAATTTGACAAAGAAATTACGGGGAATTGTTATTATCCATTAAAAAAGTTTTCTTTTATAATCAATATTGGATAAATTTTGATGTTAGTAATTTGTAAACTTGAATAATTATTAAACAACGGTTTAATCAAATTAACAATTGAATGATTTCAAATCACTGTAATGAGTGAATTCCATCGTGATTCGAATAAAGCCTGTCAGTATCGTTTCACGGATGTCAAACCATGGCAGTAGACAGATTGGGTACCAGGAAATAAGAAACATTAAAGAGGCCGTATAGAATCACCTGAATATACTTCAGGGACGTATTCCATAAGAAAGTTTCACAAAACGTGATCAAATAGAACAGTATAATTGAGATTTAAGTTACATATTTTATTGAAGATCGAAAATAAATTGAATTGAGTGCCATGTAAAAAATATTAAAGTTTTGAAGTTATTTAATTTTCGAAACAAATATATTTTAATGTTTTTATCTTTAAGGGGCATTTTACACTTTTTTGTAATGGAAAATTTTAAACTTGCGTCAGAACAGAATACCTGATCGAAAATTCATAAGATGCAGCGAAGGAGGGTAGTATACATTTAATTTGTCAAAACATTGCTTTTTACAATTTTTACAAAGTGTGAATCTGTGTTTCAATAAGTTTTAGGCATTATTTAAAAATAAAAATACGTTAATTTGGAACAACACCATATTTACAATATAATAAACTTATTTTAAAAACATAATATTGGAATTACAAATATAATATTTAATCATATAACTAAGTACAATACAAAAGTTGCCTTTGAAGAGTCCTTTAGATTTGGACCAGACACTACGAATGTATTAAGATTGTTACGTAAGTACGCTACGTAATTTTACGTCACGTAGCAATCTCTTACTCGATTCTGTATGCCTTGAACGTTTTGGCGTAGAAGGGTTAGGGACTGTCAACGACGTTCTTGTTCTTTTCTTGTATTATACATTTAACGTACCGTACCGTTTTGCGTTTAAGAACGTAAATCGGTGAAATTATTTTTTTTATTTTGTAGAAATATTTGTATGGATCTTTATTGTATATTTCTTTAATTAATAAGTAATTATTAAATATTTTCAACATTTAACAGAAGTTGCGTTTTTCTTTAATATAAAAAAATAAAAACTTAATCTTTTTTTGCAAATTCCAAACTTTCTTAAAAGCTAGAAAAATACTGTCGTGCTTCGGAGGAATGAATCAATTGCAACGCAGAGACGTCACCCACTTGAGGTTATTTCACCAGGGAGACAGAAAAACTTATAGATTCAATCCAATTCCTGAAATCGGAGGGTTGTTCGCTGAAATCCTTTCAGTACCCTGCGAACTGTTCAACGGAGAGGGGTTACGCCGATATTGTCTCAGGGTATGGAAAATACGTCAAATCACCTGAAATGCTGAAAATTTCAACCCCTGTTACTAGGAGAACATAGCGTACGAGAAAAGCCTCGGAAAACTTCCGTCTGCGTAGGGGTGGAGCTCACATTGCTTACACACACTTAGACATTTAAGCATAGTGTACATCATTGTATTAAAATTTTGTTATAAAAGATGTCGTTTCGATGAAAATAAAATTACCCAATTATAATTCAAATACATAACAAAAATTCGTTTTCTTACGAAAGAACCTAACTAAAGTATTATAATATTTAAAAAGATTAATTATTAATAAGATACCTATTAAACGAATTCCATTTATGTTATAACTTTAATTTACAAACTTTGTGGAAAAAACGGAACAGCTAGTAAATATGTTTTTATATATCATTACATACAGGCTAAATGAATTATAAATTAAATAAAGGAGCTTTCGTGTAGACACACCTTTCTAAGCAGGGAAGTTTTTTACGGCACGAGTACTTTAAAAAAGCTTTTCCAATATTTTGCCCGTTTGAATTTTCCTTCTTAGGGTGTCAGAAAACGTAGGAGCTAAAGAATGCGGTATTCGAAGAATCCGAGGAGGCTCGTGGAAAATGGGGGTTGGACATATTTCGACGGCACCGTTTACTTCATAAAGGAGATTTTCCCGCATTCGAGCATTTTTGTTACTAGGCGAGGAAAAACTGACGGAGGTTCTTAAGAATGCATCTTGAAATGCCGCTTTTACTTAAAGAAAGTTTATTTTTACATTGAAAACATAAAAAAGAGGCAGTTAAATTATATAAATTTAAAATATAAAAATTATTATATTTTGTTTAAGTTATTATATTTATATATTGTTTGTTAATTACCAATCGTTGCCCTATGTTAATTAAATTAAAATTATGTTATATCGTATAGTTTTACGAACATAGTAATTAAAATAAATTAACTAACAACATAAGAATTGTAATATTATTTATTACAAGAAACAATAAAGAAAACCTAGATTTAGGATTGTTTTAGTCTCTTTGACGTGTCAACCTGTTTACTTTACGTTCGATCCGAATGATCAGAATAAACTTCATCAAAAAATTTACGAACATATACCAGGGCACAATAAGTTCTGAAAAGATTTATTATTGTTACGATGGAAATTGTATTAGGAAATGTCGCTTACTTGCAGCAAACTCCCAATTTTACTTGCTGTTAAATCTATTATGCTCCGCCTCCCGGTTCAGATTTCCGGATAAGCTAAAAAGCTCTGCGGATTACACGGTTAAACCTTTTTAAGCGAGCTTAGATCCGTCGCTTTTACCAGGCTTTTATAGACCGCGCGAAGGTATATTATAAAAAAAAGTCTAAAATACGAGAATGTGTTATAGTATTACTTATTATTTCTACAACTAACACTAGAAAAGCACTCCTTTTATTATTAAATGCTTGATAAAATGATTATTAATAATTAAGTTTCAAAAAACTTATAACTACGAAATCGATTTCCCGCGTAGGATGTAGCCGTGTAAAGGGTGCGGGGCGTGCTAAACCAAGCCACGCCCCTAGATTTTCCATTTTCTCTCTCACGGGAAAGTTTCTGCGTTTAAAGTACCAGGGCGTTCATAACAGAGTTTACTTTGTTGTGAACTTTTGCTGAGCTTATTTTGAATACAACTTTTTTATTTCATCCTGAAGCTTTTAAATCTGATCTGATCTAGACATATTTTTATAAATATACTTTTACGGTGTTGGTGCGAAATAATATAAGAATGAATGAAGTTGTAATTTTTAACCGACTTCAAAAACGAAAGTCCTTAATTTTTTTACTTAATAATTCAAATTTTACTAACTCAAAATACTTATTACTTTGAACAGCTTAAATTTATTATTTTCATTATAGTTTACTATTTGTAACGGTTATTATTATTATATATTTAAGAGACAAACAATAAATAGATGTGTATTATAATTACGATGACGTGTGTAAAATAAGCACAATTAATAGAGAAGTAGTATAGATCGTTTAGGTTAGGTTCAAGTCCTGCCCGTGTCGAATTTATATAAAAATCATTTTCGATATTGTAAACGAATCTTATTAAAACAAAGCAGTTTATACGAGTAGTATGCGGTCCAGATACGTTAATAGTACAGGGCAGCTTATAATCAAACGCAATTTACAATTTCACAGTGACCTATAAATTTCCCTTCACGTCAAAATGGGTTGTATGTACTGTGGAGAGAGCTCATTAATGAAAAAAATTGCTAATTAAAATAATGATTGTACTAGGTTCACAGAAGGCTTCGTAGATGTCCGCGAGAGGGAGAGGAAGGTGAAACGCGGCAGCCGGGAACAGGGACGCCAGCTCATGAACAGGCATAATAACGAAGCTGGGAGGCGGGTAATTGTTTTATACTTTCTCATACGATAACACACAAGATTTATAAATACCGTTTACCGGAAAAGTGTTCTAAAAAGTAAAAATACTGTTTAAATGCTGCCTGTAGTTAACGCGAGTACTACACATTTAAATAAAACACTTTAAAGGTTTAAAACGCGACATATATTAGTTAGACTTATTTGAATTTTTTTTTAATTATGGCCCGACGTTTCAGATTTGCAGCAGCCGTGGTCACGTGTAGACTCTATTTAAATAGAACACTTTCAATTCTTTTTTTATCGCCCTTTTAAAATATTTTCAAATAAATTTAACTAATATATGTCGCGTTTTAAACTGTTGAAGTGTTAAAAGCTCCTGTGCATGAAATTTATTGCTTGTGCTCAAATTGGTTTTTCGAATTTTAGTTAGTTCGATGATAGCGTTGGTACAAACAATAACATCATGTCACTATGTACCTATTCTTAAGATGTTACTAAATGAATAAATAAATTTAAACTTATTGTATTTTAAAAAGCAATAAAATGGAAAGCGCTGCGCTTATAAAAACTTCAGCTAAAAACGAAGCAGTATGAGGTCATGATAAAATTAGCTTTGTTAACAAATACATTTTAGCTTACTATAGGTTACTAGAACGATAAATAACGAGATTGAATATTTTGATTTGTTTTTGACTTCTCCTGAATGTAATCGAGACATTTATAAGGCTTCGCGTCGACATTTCGGATTACTGTCACGGCTATTTTGCATATATTACAGGATTATTTAAGTAGCTTACGGCTGCAACATATTTAGCGGTTTCAAGTGGCATTTTATCTAGGCTACGACGATATTAGCTGAGAGCATTGCCTTCACAAGCACTTTCGTAGTAAATATACAGTTTAACTATCAGTGGACCATTTATGTTATATTTACTAGCTGTGTCTTCGTCCGCGCAGAATAGTTATTTTGCAAGGTCTATCAAGCAAGTCTTTATATATTAAAACTTTACCTACGACGTCGTTCGCGTCCCGTTGTTCTTGCAAGTTAATTTTAAAAGATAGGCATATACTGCTGCCTTACCTTCCACATATTTTTTGGGTATCTTGACAACGTTTTCGCAGCGTACACATCGGATAGCTACAGAGGTTAATTTTTTCCCCCGTTTTTTCCATATTTCTCGCTATTTTTTCATTCCTATCCGTCACAGCGCACTGTTTTATAGCCTATAACCTTCCACGTTAAATGATTTAAACATCATAAAAACAATTTCGAACCAGTAGTTCCCGAGATTAGCGCGTACAAAGTAACAAACTCTTCAGCTTTATTTATTAGTATAGATAGATTATTAACGCGAGAGGTGCATTTATCAACACGCCCGCCTAAATGGTTAGAGCAACAGCACTGAATGCTGTATATGTCGGTTCAAGTCCTGTGGTATTTTTTTTAAATCTAAACTAGTTTTTTAATTAATATTAATAACTATATATAATACTTATGCCGCCTCCGTTGTTCAAGGGTTAAATTCGTTGTCACACAAGAATATTAAGCGCGAGAGGGTTCGAATCCCATATTTGTATAGCAAGAAAATGAAAACCTTACAGCATTACGAAAAAAAACTATGTATTTCTTATAAAATTAATATAATATATATAAAATGAAGAATTGCTATTCTACTATCTACTACTTACTAACTAGTACTTATTGTACTAACAATTCTCCGATATATCTTTAGGCCGTTATAAAGAAGTCCAGGGTCACTTGCAAATGCCACGGTGTCTCAGGGTCCTGCAGCCTCATCACTTGCTGGCAACAGCTAGCGACATTTCGGGAAATCGGTAAGTAGACAGGTTTATTATCTCCTATGCAGTTAACAAACAAAGGCCTGCCGCACATACTAAATTACAGTCGTCTAAAGCAAAATTAGTTTTTCCGAAGAATTAACAAAGTCGGAAAAACCTTCGTCTAATGTCGATATCGATTACAATACCCAAAGTACCAAGGCAGCATGATCTGACAGGAGGACTAATAGCGCCCATTACTTCGTGCTATCGCCCCACAATGGACGCTCGTTCAGGACTCAATCAGCTAAATGGTAGTGTTCCAGAACGTTAGCTTTGCTTGCGTTGTGCTTCCTGAGTTATGACCTGAACGGGACTGCCATTCTCATCTATAAAATGCCTTTAATGAGGCTTAGAGGAAGTTCCGAGTCCTGTACATAATGGCTTTACTCTCAATCATCAAGTTTGAAGTCTTACACCCCGTTGTTTCTAAAATATTTTTTTATTATGATAGACAAGCATGAGCTTCATTTGGTAGTAGGTGAAATACATCTAGAGATGCGCTGTCGGCCTATTTTGGTTCTGGATATTCGGAAATCCAAAGACTGAAACCGAAAGGTTTTTCGGCTTTTTCATCCGTGGATAGTGGATCGTGACTGGTATGGAATTGAGATATTCCTATCACTCATTTAACGTCCAGATTTCCAGACGAAGTCCATCATGTTTCTGAAATATTATAAATTGTTAAGAAAATGTTACGAAACAATTTAAAAATTATGTTTAAATCTTTATCATTGTCATCAGTGGAATACATATACTATAGGAGTTAGTCATTCTTAGAAAGCAATCAGGTGTGACAAGTCAAGTATTTTGCTGTATTTATCTTGGTGAACAAATTTTGTCTGTACTAGGGGACTATCTTCGTGACAAATACGAAGAAGCGACAGAGGTGAAGGTATCGAGACGCGGCAAGTTGCGAGTTGGGAATCCAAACTTCAGTCTGCCTACGTCACAAGATCTGGTTTACTTGGAGGAATCTCCTAATTATTGCGTGAAGAATGAGACCCTGGTATTGAATTTATACAGTATCTTGTAGATAACATATAATATATTAGACTTTTCTTTAAGTAATGATTCTGTGCTTGATGCTAAATTCGCAATTATTCATACATATATTATTTAATAACTTGTATAACTTCATGAAGACACAAAAAATGACTGTATTTATATTAATAATAGATAATTTTCTGGCATAAATATTTACAAAGACCATAAGTCTTGTCTTTAAGGGCATTTATAAATGTATGTATTTTATGGTTAATATTAAACAACTGATTCCAATCTAAAATATTTACCGCAGTTTTATAACTAAAAGATTCGCATGTACGTACGGAAATAATCACCCTTTTGTTTCCAGGGTTCCTTTGGGACCGCGGGTCGAGAATGTAACAGGACATCAGCGGGTATAGATGGGTGTTCGCTCCTGTGCTGCGGAAGAGGCTACAATACCAAGCGGGCTGTGATCAAAGAGCGGTGTGGTTGTAAATTCCATTGGTGTTGCCATGTCGAATGCAACACTTGCGTTAGAACGGTTGAGATACATACGTGTAAATAAGGGCAATGAAATTTTTAAATTGTTTTTAAACTTTTTAAATTGCTGCTTCTAGCTGTTCGGTTGACTGAGAAATGTTTCTTGACGTGTTAACACAAGCGCATAAAATCCATTAGATGTTAGGCGATAAAGGGAAGATTTCTTCAAACCATTTCATAACTATTAATCAATAAAGAAGTAGCAATATAATACTTTACTTATTACCTAATAGACTTAATTTTTGACTTAGATAATAATATAATACATTCATAGATATCAAAATACGATAAATTTTCATAATTTCCTTATAGATTATATTATTCGTGTACTTAATTAAATTTTAAATTTATGAACATAAATAATCATTTACACGTAAAATTTATAAATAATCTGCCTATTTAGTAGAGGCTATAATTAATACCTATAAAATACTTAATGATATAATATTTGAAGTGATTGTATGTAAGTATTTATTTGGTGTATATGAAAAGTTTTAGTATTGTTAAATAACTTAAAATAATAAAAAACTTTGTATGTACCTATTGATTGATTTTTATTAAAATGAAACTAACACAGTGTTAATCTTAAAGTAAAGTAAATCTTAGACTTCAAATCTAACGCAGTTTATGTTACTAATATTATAGTCTGTTTTGTTACAAAGTAAATAAGTAAAAAGAAAAACATATTACTAAATCAAGATAATAAACAAGAACAAAAGGGCAAAATTTTATGACGCAGAAGTTATACTTATGTCAAAGTTTTAATAAATATCGTTGCAATATCAAATATTTTCTATGTTCCAAACTAAAATCTAGAAAAATAGAACAAATGCTTTTATCGTATTTTTTTATATATACAGAATATGACGTAACGTACCTTTCCGAACTGTAGTCTGTGAGCTTAATTGACGTAATGTCACTGTCATATTCGAAATGCCATTCATGCAAATTCGTGTGTTTTCTCCGAATGTTTTTGTCTAGTTTTCTACTTTGATTTTCTACGTTATTTAAGTTTTTCTATAGCTTAATTTAAATATCTTAACTTTCAAATACATATTAAGTGATTTGACAAATCATATAATCAATTAAATTGCTGTTTGCTGGACTACGTAATGGGTAAAAGAAAATCAAAACAGTCGATCTCGACCGTGAGTTTGTTATGATCTACTTTTATTTTGAAAACAGTTACTAATTATATTATTTCATCGAATGTTAAATATAATAATAAAATTATAATGTCAAGTATGATTTTGGTAACTGCTTACAAACAGTTTTACAGAGAGACTCTACTAACGATACAATAGACCAATCCCTAAAATACTTCATTATAATATTACAGAGCGTGTGTCCAATCAAGGTAAAACAGAAGTTATCTAAAACTGGGATACACAAGAGAACGAAGAAGAATAAAAATAAACAAAATAAAAATATAAAAAAGTTATTTGATAACCTGCGCACTGAAGCTAGTTCCTCAAACAGCAGTATTAATACTGTAATAGAGATTGTCGATAATACTCAGGAAACAAATGAAAGCACTGAAAATTTACCAATTGTAATAGAAGACGACACAATAGTAAATTCACCAAGTAAAGTTGAAACACCACGTGCCAGTTTCAATCTATGTCCTATTCAGTGCTCCACACCTAAATATAAAATTTCAAATAATAATAATAATGATTGTGATTTTAGTAATGATGTTGTTAATCTTACCAGAGAGATTAATAATGATTCTTATGTAACTATAGATTTAACAGCAGATAGCACAGGCCACACAACTAAACACAACACTGTGATCGATTTAATTAATAATTCATCATTAGATTCCAATATATCTATGAGCGGTGATTTGGATGTCACCGTTATTAATACTAAAAAGCATTCAAATAGAAATCAATTGCGCAAGTTTGTAACTGGTATAGCTAATATGGACTCATCAGAAAAAGGAAAGCTGTTAGAAATGATTGCTCAAAAGATTTTCAGCGGTTGTGATGGCCCTCATAGTCTACACAGTCTTAGAGTAAGTAGGTTTCAGTAATTATGAATAAAGTACATAAAATTTCTATCATAGATTTATTGTTAAATTATAATAAGTATTTTTCAAATGATATTCTATACTTTATAGAAACTTATTGTCTGTCTGTGGAAATAAGATATTGCTAAAATGTTTAGAATTCAAAAATACAGTTATTTCATATAAAATGCATAGAAATATAAAAAAAATATTTAAATAAAACACATGTTTGAGAATTATTTTTAACTACGGCCCGGCGTTTCGGTTGCTATGCATCGGTCACGGTCTCCCCGTATAATATATCGCCGTTAGAGGTTTTTTTTTTAATGTGTACCACTCGCGTAAACTACAGACAGTATATATCTATTTTTCTACATCTTCTAGAATGGCATCAGCAGAGCAACTGAAACCATAGAAGATGCTTTTATAAGGGAAGTAATTCTTGGACAGGCGCCTTCAAGGAATAGTATCGGAAGTAACATCTACAATCCTGAAAGGGATATTAGAAATAAGACTGGGCTCCGAATGGTTGTGATAGATGGCAGCAATGTCGCGATGCAGTAATTATATTTTGTATATTGTTCAGTTTTTGGCGTCCTTTGAACAAGTTAGGGAAAAGTAAAAATCGATTTCAGATTGAAAAAAAAAAATACAACAAGGACAGGACTTAAACTGGCACATACAGTGATTCGTGCTGTTGCTCTATCCAATTGAACCACTATGCCCTTCATTAGTATAGTGCCTGCATGTGCAGTAACATGTGGAAAATTTTATAGTTTTCAAATGAGAAGTAACATCTTTGTTTCTTGACTATCTTTACATTCATTGAAAGTTTGCATTAATTAATTACAAAGGGTCGGTTGGAAAAGTTGGTTAACAAAACCTGAATATATAATGACAGCGATTCCTACTTGGCTCGTCTAGTTAATTCTCATATGTACAAACAAGATATGACAGAGATAAGATAAGACATGTACAAAGATTATTTATGTAACAATAATTGGTGATTTTCAGACACACAAAAGGCCGGATATTCTCAGTGAAAGGATTAAAAATATGTATAGACTATTTCGTGAATCGAGGCCATGTTGTGAAAGCTTTTGTGCCACACTTTAGGTAATACATCTCATCTGCATAGTGAGAGTAGCTAGTAATATGTATTAATTTCATACAACAAAATGTATAACTCCAACCTGTTTGCAACGCCATCTATATCTTCTTAATTCCTATATAATTAATTAATACAATGTATATAATATATATTGTTTTAATGTGTGCATGTATAATATTTGCCTATTATTATTTGCAGATGTAAGTTAGGGAAGAGTACCGATGGACGGTTGCTAGATCAGTTGGAGAGACAAGGTTTAGTTGTGTACACTCCATCGAGGGAGATACAGGGTCGATTTATCACTTCGTATGATGACAGGTAAAGAAATTAAACTGTTTGATGAGGGTAGTTTACCTTCACCACATCCTGTTTCCATCATATGTATAGATGGCACCACATACGAAAATTATAAAATAATTTGTATTAATGGTTCTTTTACTATATTGCTAATTAAACTTACTTACATTACATACATTACTTTGTATTTGAAAACTATTTTTATCATATATTGAAGTAAAGACACCTGAAATACCAACATTTTTGCCTAACAGTTGGGCTAACCATAGATTCCCTTTTCAGATATATTGTACAATGTGCAGCTGAGTTTGACGGCGTAATTGTCTCTGGCGACAACTACAGAGATCTAATGGCCGAGAATCCAAGATGGCGTTACATCATAGAGAATAGACTGTTACAATTCACTTGGGTTGGGGACATGATAATGTTCCCCAGGGATCCTTTAGGAAGAGACGGGCCAACGTTAGAGCAATTTCTGCGGCATCCGTTCCCTAATGAAAGAAAATAAGCATAGACAATCATAGCTTTAGATCTTGTTACCAAATCTGTGGTGTTTATATTTCTAAGTTTTTATGTCAAACAAGGAAATTGTGACAATTTTGCAAAATACATTTATCTCCATATACGCTTATAAGAGGGAATGAGAAAGATAATGTGTATTTTTATATGGAAGCCGCAATGTCTTGGTGAAAATTAAAATGAGGCACTAGTTTGGTACATTCCTATACAAAAAATGTACTAAATAATAACGTGGCCAGTCTTGATTCTAAGAAGGTAAATTTTGGCTTAGTCAAAATTACAGTAGAGTAAATATATTGAACGAAGAGAGCGTGTATTAGTGTTCAAGAAAAGGATCTCAAGACTGAGGTTTTATATATCTAGTTAGACGTTTGCATATTTTGTATTATATTATGTGTTGTTTATAAAGAACGGGCGACAGCGTTTTGTCTCTTTCATTAAAATTATGAAGGAAATTAGAGTGATAAAGATGAAAACATTGAATGCACTTACTCATATAGAGGGTAATTTTTGATACATTTATTGATGAGAGCATTGACGATAACTAAAATTTGAATCAAAATTCTGGGAATTGTCATTGTAATGTTAAGTACATTACACTTGGCATTTAATTGTCTAGTCTTTTTGGCCTCAAATATTAGTTGTCGTGATTAGATTTCATTTCAATGATAAATTGTCACATTGATGTGTTTTTATTTTTGAAAGTCATCACAAAAATTGTATAAGGGTACACCTTGTTTAAATTAAACAGAGATGTCTTCCAATTTTATTTTGTCAACATTTTTTTTCGGGTATCATTCGGTCATAACTGTTCGTATGAAAAAAAAACGTAAATACTTGTTTATGTCGGTCTAGAGCACGTAATGAAAAATCTATAAGACTTGCTTCACGCCCTGAAGTACAAATTATAGCATAATTTCTTTGTGATAAATAATAAAGCAAGGAACTATCTGTTATAATGTAAATAGTTATCATTTTGTTCATTGCTTTAAACTTTAATAAAGAAATCCTTTGTATCTTTTATTTCCACTCAAATACTAAAGAAAAAAGATTGATATTAAAATATTTTTTCAGATAAACTTTATTCAAATTAAAAGAAACAATACAAAGCTTCGTGCGTTTGGCTTCGAACAAGCGTGTAAACAATAGCTTAGAATTACAAAAATATCTCCATGGAAAAATAATATCAGGTATGGCAAATTATTAGCCATATAACCAGCAAAGTAAATTTCGTTCAGTCATACCCCATATTATTGCACCATGGTGCATCAAAACCCTACCTAGTATCACTTTTCTTCCACAAGCTCACCCTTATTCTCTAGCAGTCTTATCCAATATCTTTCCGAACATAATTTTGGGGCACCTAAATTTTAAAAGGCCACTGAAAATTTATTTAATAATTTTTATGGTGTTGCCAACATTTGCATGAGATATTGCCAGAATTGCTTGAAAATAAACAGCAAAAATTTAATTTAAGTCTGCTATTATGGCAACACCGTACTTAGAATACACTTATACTTTAAATACTATACAAGCTAACATGTAACATAGTAATATGTATATCGATACAATTAAAAAAATTGACTAAATTTCAACGTGCATGTAACTTTATATTCAAGTTTTGAATAAATACGTGCAAATACATACTAAAGATAGGAAAAAAACAACGTTTTTGGCACTACGCTAGAAGATATTTGGCTTTTCACTACGTAAAATGGATTTCACTAATATAATGCATGCTGGAAATGCTAATGCGCCATTTTAGTACCGTGTCGCCGTGAGATTGTTCATTATTTATTGAGTTACGAAACCTAGACTTAATCTTTCCAGAACACCAAAATCTCCGCCATTTTTTAAATGTTTATTTCTTCAAAATAAAACTAACGGCTTAAAACACGATATAATATGAGTTAAACGTTTTTGTTTTCGTAAAAATTATTTTACGGCCCGATGTTTCGAATGCTTGTCACAGGTAGACCTGCGACTAGGGCTACTGCATCTAAAATATATAACGCGTTTTAAACCGTTAAAGAGTTTTATTTTAAATGTGTACTACTCGATAACTACAAACAGTATTTGTTTATATCTTCATAATTCTATTATTTCTATTGTGCTATTTAATTAATGTTAGAATTATACATTTCGACAGTTTAAACTTGCTATAACATACAATTCTTTATTGGCTAATGCAATTAACAAAACTCACTATTTGTAATTGTTATTTTCTCAATTATTAATAAGATAACGCATTAGCAATATTGGTTTCTAAGTAAAATGGGAGTCCCAATATTAAGAAAAAGTCCTAATACTAGCAAGCATAATATTCTCTTTGCAAGTAGGAAATATACGCTAAGAGTATAAGATGGTATAAGTATAGTAAGAAAAGAAGATTTAGAAACTATAGGATTCAAGATTAATAATTACACATCGTTCTGATTGGCTATTAACTTTGGACGCTTTTAAAACGAATAAAAAGTGCCTTAAAAGTAAGCGTGTTTGTACATAACGTAATTAAAAAATCTTCAAAGAAACATCATTAATAACGAATAATTAAAATTTGTGAATTCAGTAAACAATAGTTATCCATCGCTCAATGAAATTTTGACGTCATCAAAATTCCTGAACGATAAAACGAACATGCTTTATTAAATTACTTATTTTAATTGCGCTTAAAATTATGTAATAAAGTATTAGTCATAGGCAAAATATATTTGGTATTTAATACTCGCAAATATTAAATAATTGAATGATTACGGACGGTTATAATTTTTCAATAAACATACATGGCTTATAGAATTCTACGGAAGGTTTTTAATTCCAAGGCGCTTTCACCAAAACAAGTCCATAGAATGTTGTCTCTTTTCCTCATTTACAAGGATAGAACATAGTATTGTGATCTAAAGAAAAAAAGGCATTGTTGCCATCTATTGCTTATCTAAAGACTTGTATTAGCAAATTAGTATTTGTTACCTACCCTCTATATGTATATAGATTGCAATTAAGATTGTCTTAATAATGAGTACGGTGTCTTGCAACAAAATTTATCTCAACACGTTTTACGTCCAAAACTATACATCGCTCTGTTTAAGCTTATCCAATTTCATTTGTTCGAGCTGCAGTTGGCGACGAATCGAACCCAACTGCGTCAAAATATTTATATTTCTACCCTCACTGTGCAAACTCTTCAAAATATTCTTCTGGACTGCGGGTACTTTCCATTTATTGTCGACCAGTTGCATTTCTTGGCTTAAGTCTTCATTGCTTTTGTATACATTCTCTTGATGCTCATCAACATTGTGTTTTGGAGAATGCCTTAAAACCGGTATGGGTAGAGCGTCGAACTTTTCATTCCTTCCATAGTCGTCTTTATACGTCTCGTGCCTCTCCGTGTTTTCATTAAAGTCGCCTCTATCGTACATTTTCATACCTTCTAGTTTGTTTTCAGTTTCATACCTGTCGTATGGCATTTTTTCGTGGATGTCATCGTGTATTTGCCTTTTTTCATACCAGTCTGACTTCTCGTTACCTCTTTCGTGCCAGCTTTTGCTCATATCGGGTTTCGTGTCCTGTCTACTGTGATATTTGCGAAAATTTAAAAGGCTTTCCTTGCTAGGGTTCAGGTTTTTCCGTAGATAGCTGTCTAGGTCGTAGTTTGGTGAGAAAATCGACGATTCCGGAACGTTCGTACTGTATGGCTTTTCCGAATAGTAATTATCGCTTTGCGGTGTGTGTGATAATTTTGAAGTCGTGAGTTTTCTCTGCTCTGTATCTATCTCTCGTTGTAAAGAGGTTCGTTTCATGTCATACTCTGCGGAGTTCCGTTTTATCTAGAAAAAGAGATATAAATAAGAACTTACAGTACACGTAATTTAACAATTGAACACGCACCTAGAGTCTCATTTGTTATTTATCATAACTGAAATAATTATTGATGTAGAATTCTATGTTTTGTTTAAATTAATCTTTACGATTTTATAGATTATAAGATGATATATTTTTTAGACTGAAAGTTGAGGAACAGTAATCTAATATAACTCTCACACAATATACCTGAGCGGAAAAATCCCTATGTCTGTCTAATTCAGTTTCTTGCGCCACCTTCAACGACCGCAGTTGTTGTTCTAGCCGTCTCATCTCCGCTTGTTCTAGCATTCTGAAAGAATTATTTTTTATATCATGTAACATGTTTTTAGATGTCTAATCCAGCGCCAGCGCATCACTATTAGATGTAATACGGTTGGGGTCATTATACAATCGATTGTATTAACCCAGCTTTCATTTTTAAAAACATATCTATAGGTGAACATATACATATATTGCACATACGATAGGAGAAAAAATTTAACTACTATAGAGTCCAATAGCCGTTAATTTTTCCAGACAAGCAAGACCAAGCATATAGGATTTAACCAACATTTATTATTGATTGAAGCGACCGTTATAAAGCAGTGATCTTTTTGTACGCCATGACGTAAAATGAACTAAGAAATAATCACTTTTACTTGAAAACACTGTAACACAAAATTTGTTTTATGTCTGGTATTATACATTATATTATGATTGTTACTAGATATATGATAAATATAAATCTTACTTCTCCCTATTTTTCCTCTCCTCTCTTATCCTCTGCTGCTCTTCTATTTGGTTACGTAATTCCTGCTGATAGAATTGTCGTCGTGCTGCTGCTTCCTGCGAAAGAATACGATTGTAATATTTTATGATACGTTCCTTTCTATAGAGGTAATTAACAAACGACGGGTTCGTCGATCTAATGGTAGCAATTAATGGCGAATGATGTCGTGGGTTCGATCCCCACCAGGTCCAACATGTTTCTGATAATGAAAAAAGCCGTGAAGCTTAATCGCCTAACTGTTCTAGCCTGTGGATTTCCGAATATCCAAAGCCAAAATAGGTCGACAACGCACCTTGTTTATATGCTATAGGTATAGATATATTACACAAATTTTACCTTTTCTGCTTGGAGGTTCCTCAAGGATATGACGTCAGCATCGAGTATAGAAGGCCTGTACGTTTGTTTGTTGTCTCTCGATATTGAGGAGGTGCGAGCTGTAATTTAAATTAATAATACATTTGTAATATATAAATATTAAAGTTAATTTTATAAGAGTTATAACTAATATATTTCGCGTTTTAAACCGTTAAAGTGTTTTATTTAAATGTGTGCTAAACTACAGACAGTATTTAACTACGGCAGTACTAATATATAAAATAAAACTGGATGCATATTGGAAAATGTATTGTAGATAGCTCTAAAAGTTACCATCGAAATCTCCATAGCTACGTCTGCGCCCTCTATCTTCGTGGACTGGCTCCTTATATGGCCAGTGCCAAGTGGCGGGCTTCACATCGGCCACAGTGCGAGGCGAAAGCTCTCGTTCAGCTTGAGTGAGAAGCTGCTTTGAGTGTAGCTGCAAATTGTATTCCGTATTTAAGAAATTAAGAATAAAGATTATAATATTTAAAAAAAACACATGCTTGGCTCAAAAAATTCTATAAAGATTATTAATATACTCTGTGAAATATAGAAAAATAATATGTTTAGCCCTCTACCACGACTGCCGTTACGTATGTGTTACGGCAGTCGTGCAGTGAAGTAATAGTGTAAAATTCATTAAATATCCTTCGTGTTTTGAACGGTTTATATTTTTTTTAATGTGTTACATAACTTATCGAACTATAGACAATACAATAGTTCTATTTAATTATCAAACCTGACAGATAATGACATATACTCTGTGCTTAGATTTCCGTCGCGTGAAATCCAAATTAATCAATTAAATAAAAACTACTCAAGATACCTACAGAGACCCGATTCCGCATAGAAAACAAATCGTTCTCGTCCGTCTGTACAGCGACTGATAGTGGTGTATGTCTGTCGTCGACTTGCACACCTGTATCCACTTTGCTGAGGAAAAAAGCAATTTAATTAATGTTAGGTTATCTTATCTGTATTATTATTTTAAAATAATTTTATGGACTGAGAACAAATCTATCGTACTCGACAAGTGTTTGCATTGCAGTTTGCATATACCTTTTATGATGGGTCTTCTGTTATAAATTTTATCACAATTCGACATTATTTTCCTTTACATTCTTAAACATTTTGAACAATTATTCGCACGACTTGCTGATAGGCAATGCGAATAGATGGAGAGGGCACGCAAGCGCAGGGTTCAATTGATGGAAAGTGATGTCCGTTCGTGTCCCGGACGGAATTTCAATATTACTACCACCCATTTAATTTCCAGATTTTCAGACGAAGTCCATCATGTTTCACACAAAAAGTTTTTTTTTTTAATTTGAAACTGTTAAGAAACATATTGTATCCACGACCCCTTTTTATCATTGCTGCCATTGGACCAATTTTGTTGTATGATTGTATCATTTTCATTTAGATTTAATAAAACGGTTACAATGAATCATTATTTGGTTCTTCAGCTTTCTAATAAAGTACAGAGGAAAGAAAGAAAAGGAAAGCTTACGTCGTATACGCATTATTAGCACCAGAAACAGTAGGATGAGTAAAACTAGCGCGACGTCTTTCTGGACTGCGTCTGTCTAACTCGAGTCGCTCACGCTCTCTTACTCGTTCCTCCGCTAGCCTCTCCTTCTCCTCTCGCTCTTTTCTCTCCCGTTCGGCCTTCTCGCGTTCTTCTTGCTTTATTTTCGCTTGCTAAAAGTTGTTGAAACTGCTTTGTATTTTTGAAAGCAAGTATTGCAAATAAACTAAAATGGAAAACTTCTTATATCTTTTTTTATAATACAAGCGGAGGAGGAGCCATATCTCAACAAGATGCGCTCTCGGAAATTTCAGTCGTAACAAACTGTAACCGAAATGCGGGTAAACTTTAAAGGTTTCATCTATTGACGGTTTAATATCTAGATTTTCAGAACCCAATGTCTTTTAGAAAATTATAAATTTATGAATCATGTGCGACCGGTGGGGTCCAAACCCATATTTACTTCCATTGGACTATCTAGCCCGTCAAATTATAGCATCTCATAGCTTGAAATGTTTATCAAGCATCACCTGATCGAGATATTCTTTGTACTGCTTTTGTCGAATCTTGCGCAGCGTGTTCCGTCGTCTCTCGTACTCGCCAAGTCCGAGAAGGACATCACCGCTTGGTCTTTCGCCGCGGATCAGAGGATTGTTCGGGGAATATTCACCCGCCTTCAACATCACTGGCAAGCCCAGGTAGCGCTGATTAATATATAAGAAAACTTAAATTGGCGGAAATAATCTTAATGAAGATAAACATTGTACGTATTTTTCTAACAAAGAAATGTACATTTGAACAATATCAGGAGCTTCCAGTTCTTTTCAGTATTGTCAAGGACATGTGATATAATGAGTATTGGAAAATTTATGAAACACCTCGTACCCATATAAGGCAGCATGTAATTCGACTTCGTCTCCCCGTGACCACGGCTGCTGCAAAGCATCCGAAACGTCGGGCCGAAGTTAAAAATCATTTTCAAATAAGATTAACTAATATAGCGTTTTAAACCGTTAAAGTCTTTTATTTAAAAGATCAGAGATTGTTGTATGTTCGCAACTTCAAGTTCTGCCGAAGTTTAGGCGAGTAGTTAAATAAAATAGGCATGTACACATCGAGACCATGGTTCGTTACTGTTTAGTTCATTGTGTAAATGATTTAATCATAAATTTCTCGTTTAAACTATTAAAAGTTTTCTTTGAATTTTATTTTATCGTTGAATTCATTTTTCTTTCTAAGCAGGTATCCAAGGGTAGTTCAAATTCGATAAGTAAAACTACCCTCTTTTAATTGCAATAATCGTCGATTGGAATGTTCATCCAATTTCACGCCCATTTCTTACTGTAGCATGTTCATTGGCCATCAATCACGTGATGAAATGGCATTAAGACCTACGCTAACCACAAAATGTTTTTTCATGCGCATTTTTTAAGCAAACATGCCTGTTTAATCAGTGCTCGTTTATTAATTAAAGATGTTTTTAAAATGATTAAGCTCAATAGGAAAATAACGGTTTAAAATAAAAACCAATTTCTTACTTTTAAGGAGGCATAACAAAAAGATGCTTAAAAGTATGTTTATTTAAATGATAAAGTGCTTGGGGTACGGAGGAACCCGTAGTTTTTCTCGTTCATTCTACGCCCTTAACTTGGGAACTGGTAGTAACTGTAAATTTAGAGTTAAAACTCTTTTTAACTTTTGAACTTCATAAGTGTCCCTTGCTAGAACCATTTTCGATTTTATTTGTCATCTGCGATAACGTCAACCACTCGTGAACGGCGAGACCAATTAATTTCTCAATAACGACGGCATTTCAAAATCGCCGCGAAAACGTTTATATTGTGTTGTTACATGTTATCCCACATGATGTCTATAAAATTAAAAATTGATTAAACTGTGAAAGAAAAATTTACGACACGCGCAGGGCTTGAATTGTATACAGCGTTCCATGCCGTTGCCCTTACCATGTGGATGCCGGTTCACGTCCTGACCGTGTCATAATTTTCTTTTTACTTTTACAGCTTTTAAAGACGTATTTATAGAATTATTCTAAAACATGTAACCCACCCTATATCATCCAAACAATCTCATCCTTACATCTCAATTAAACCGGAATACAGCGAACAGCATTTATCATTAAATTAACATTCAGTGTCGTATCGACGCGCTTGAATGCTTCAATTAGTATAATCATTAATTCCATCGAGATAATTGGAGAGAACCGCGCCGATTGTGTGCGGAAGCGGAGAAATTGCTTTTCCGAATCGATAAACTTATGTACCACAATAGTTGCAATACGGTGTCATTGGAATTATTGTGGCAAATTTGTTATTGCAATTGGAGGAATGGTATATCCTAAAAAACTAGGTCTCCCCAAAACCCAAAACATCGGGCCGTAGTTAATAATTTGTTAAAAGTTAAAGTGTTTTATTTAAATAGTTATCTATATTTTATATTATTATAGATAGAGAAGGACAGGCAAACGTTTACTTTACTAATGAAAGGTGAAACGTCCCAACCCTAAATTAATTGGTTATCCACCAGTAGGTATATATGTGTTGATTGTGTGTGTGTACGTCTCTTAAACTAACCACGAACTAATGGTTACTAACGGATGTAAAAAAAAATGTTTTATTTAACTACAGTCAGTAAAAATTTAATTCGGAATAAAAAAAATAAGAAATAAATCAAACAACTAAAACCATAAACAATAAGAAATAAGAAGAACATGTAAAAACTACTGCTATGCTGTTGCTGCAGTGCCAATTTTTAGCTAGACATAATTTAAGAGTCATACGTAAATAAAAAAAAAAAACTGCATACAAAATATAGTTACGCGGGTCTTAGATGTTAATTTTTTTTTATGAAATGCGTGAGACTGCAGAATTTTGAGTCCATAATCTGACATCGTCTTACAATACGAATTCGCAAAGGAGAAATTTTTCCAAGGTCAGCTAATGGCATTTTCACGGCTCGATTTTCCTTCGGTAAATTAAAGTGCCATTTCTGAACTTCGTGACTCGGTAGAACTTTGGAACGGGAAATTCTTACACGAAACCTTGCGAATTATTTGCGTGGCGACTTAACCTTCGCAGTGAAATGGAGGTAGGTAAAATTTATTAGACACATTAACTGGAAAACCAAGCACGGGTAAAAGCGACGAACTATTAAGTTTATGTTGAAACTATCTACTAATTTCCTTTGTATCAAATTCAGTAAACATTGCTTTAAATAGAAAGCTATGATTTAAGCTCTAATTAGTAGAAATATTTATAGATATATAGTATACACATTTTGCTGTAACTCATTTTTTTAGCTATCTAGAGACAATGAAACGAGCTGTCTAGACTCTAGACTTAAAACATCTGCAAACATACCTAGTATTTAATATGCGAGATATGATGTATGTGTTTTTAACTTACACCGAGTATTCTACGATCACAAGAACCAGTATTTTTTTGTTCTGTTATATCTTTGGTAATTAGAACCTTAGGCGTATAATCAGTAATAAAGGACTAAAGCCGAAACGTGTAAATGTCTTTTCCACATAGATTACTTTTTGAGCCAGTCGATTTTTGATTACCATTGATTTTTGACTACACGAGTTTATTTTAAATAGAGAATATTTTATAAACAAACGAATAATTTTCTAAGTACATTTACAGTACGCACTTTTAGTACTTACATCGCTTAATATCGAACAGACACGTCCGTTTCTGTTTTAATTAATCTTTTTTTTATAAGGAAGTCGAGCCGTAGTTAAAATTATTTGTAAATAAGTTCAACTCATATGTTTCGCGTTTAAAACCGTTAAAGAGTTTTATTTAAATGTGTACATGCATAAACAATAGACAGTACGTAACTACTATATTTCAAATTTAGAACCTATCGCTTACCACCACTATTAAGCCATGAGCTTTTTTGAAACAAAATAAAAAATAATAATTAATCATAGTAATTTGAAAACCAAATAAAGAGAATGTCTGCGTGGATAGAAACGGTAAACTGAGCCGTCACGGAATATGTAAATCAGCGTTTTGGGTCATTTTGATCACGCCTACACGCTATAGTTATGAATGGAGACTTGTTGATATTCATTTTACCTACCTACAGTAGCATCACGTCACATTTTATAAGTGTAGCGTATGTCTAAATAAAATACTAACTGTTCAAAACGCCAAATATACTAGTTTCAATTATTTATAATTCGGGTCGCAACCTCGGACCGTTGTTTAAAATAAATTGTAACCAAGTTTAACTAATATTTTATAACTTTTGCGTTTTAAACCGTTGTGTTTTATTTAAATGTATACCCTCGCGTAAACTAAAGACAGCAGATATTGTTTGTTTGTTATAATTTAATCACTAAAATGCTATATCAGGACTGTTTCTTAATATGTGATAAAAACTTTATTGTTGGAATTCATAATTTTAACAAAATACCCTCGTCAATTGAAAATGAATTTTATATTAAAAAACAATCTCTTGTTTGCTTATAGAATAAGATGATGACCAAAATAATTATTTTACGCAGACGAAGTCGCGGGCACAGCAGTTACCATACTTATTAAATTAGCTGGGCGGGGTTGTGTTCAGGGCGCAAACTTTGTCGTAGTTTAGGGTGTGTTCGGGGTTAAAAGGTGCGGTAGGGCGCGGTGGGATATTAGCTTAATATTAGGCTTCATATAGGCCTTTTATAGATTTAGGTTGTTGATAACCTCCAATAAGACGTAGCCTTAAGTTACTTTCAACTAAGGTAAAGTTATAGAGCCATTACAGCTTAACTTGCCTCCTTAATTCAATAATTAAATTTTTTTAGCTTAGGGTTAAGAGGACGTCAGAGGTTAAAATTTCGAGGAAATTTAATGGTTACAGTAGAGCTGGGCACAGAAGTATAATCAATACCTAGATTGTAAATAAAATTATTTTCTATATTTTACACGAATAGTACACATTTCAACTCTTTTAATATCTTTAACATGAAAAGTTACAAACAGCTGAAATTTTTCTAACTATTTAATTTAAGCTTAATAAAAAATAAGCTGAAAAAATGACATGATTTAAATCACACGAATATTTCAGTATAACTTCCGGCCGGGCCTTGACTTCGAGCCAGAATGCAGGATGAAATTATGCACTTTATCTGCAGAATATTAAATTGAGTTTGCGCCAGCTTGCGCTTAATTTCAAAGCACTTGACCTTGCAACTTTTACAATACAGTTTTAATGTCGTTTCAAACTGTTAATGTTCCATTACTATGTACAGGTCTCTATTTTCTTGCGGTCCAGAAGAGAGGGTTATAAACTCTCTCTTCAGAATTAGCTGGGGTGTTCTTCTCTCATCTTAAAGTGCTTTACAAAGCATCTGATGATACCTCCTAGTTGTTTTAAACATCGAGCTAGTATTACAATTTAACTTCCCAGACACCTAACCAACTTTGGCCGAGATTCGAATCGAATCTCGCGCTCTGTATAATAAAGTGATTATTATATATTTTAATTCATTACTGGAAGGGAAATTAAACCCTATTATGTAATGAAAGAGCAGAAATTCTTATCGTACGCTATTTAACCAAAAAAAACAAAATTATTTAATATTTAACACGTATTTTTGCTTACTTTAAGTCCTGTGCTTTACATATGCGGACACATTTTCAGCCGATATTTTTTTTAATTTCCTAATTCTGAATCCACTACCTGTCAGGATACTTTACCTCAGATCTATTACACATTATTGCGACTCTACTAGTTAATATACACTAATAAATCTACACACTATGTTCACTGGAACATGAAATCCAATAAGAACCACAAGTAGGTACAGTCGTGCACAACTTCACAAATGCAAATCGCGACCGCACCATCGGCGCTTCTTTTCTAACTAACAATGTTTACTCCGGCAGCGACTGTACGCTTCGGTGCGAAAGTGTTTTTTGCACATAAACGTTTTCACACTACGAGTTATTGGCGCAATGAATATTCAAGTATTTCTCGCTATTAATCTAGATGTTATATGTACTGTTTAGAAAATATATTATATAAACTATAAGAGATAAGAAGTTAAAGTATCATTTAAATATGTATGTCTCCAATTAATGTAACTGGCTATTGCCGCATATAAATCAGCATTGCAACTGAGGAAAGCCGGGGCGGTCTTTGTCATTTAAGATGGCTTCCCCCTTCGGATAATCTTTAGTTCATAACTAAAGAAAGACTAAGACATTTTACTAGAAATTCCTTTTTAAATAAACACTTTTAACAGTTTAAAAAGTGACCACAGCTGCTGCAAAGGATTCCAAACGTCGGGCCGTAGTTAAAATAAATTAGTTAATTAATACAATTCGCGTTTTAAACCGTTAAAATTCATTTTAATGTGCTCTACTCGCATATAGTCACTTCTTAGAAAATCCTTATTATTCGGCTACTTAAACGGGCACTAAGACTGGAACCCAAATAAACTTGTAAACGTGGTACCATAATGTAAAAAAACGTAATTAAATGATGAATCGTTTAAGTTATTTTAAGACTATTAAGAGTACCTAAAATAACAATGCAAGCATACTTTTGTAGACGATTACGTCACCTTTCGTAATTGTTACGCTTGTTGCAAACACCGAATTATTAGGTTAAAACTCACACGGTTTCAACGGCCGTGTAAAATTATCTTGTTGAGGTAAAAAATGTAAATGACTTGTGCAACTGGCTGTACACAAGTTATGAAAATATTTTAAAAAACGTTTTATATATAAGTAACCTAATGCATTTAGTCATATAATGGTGTCGATTATTCATTGTAACCTCCTATGAGAGGATTTTATCTAAAGCTTCATTCGTATAAAAAACGTAAGAATCTTCTTTTTATTCACAACGTCAGTTAAGTAATAGGTATAAAAATTTTATTTCTATTTCACTTAAAAAATTCAACTTGTCAGTACAGCCGTGAAATCTAATAGGTATACTCCAAAATTTAAATAAAACACTTTTAACGGTTTAAAACGCAAAACGAATAGGTTAAACTTATTCATGAGCAGACATGGTAATGGGGAGACGGCTGTTGCATAGCATCCGAAATGATAGGCTGTAGTTAAAACAAATAGGAAACAAGATTTACTAATACATTTCGCGTTTTAAACAGTTAAAAGTGTTTTATTTAGATGTGTACTACTTACGTAAACTAGAGTCAGTACGTAACTACAATATTGATTGACGCCACAAGAATTATTACAATGTTATACGTACGATAAACATAGTTAAAAAACTTTAAGTCTCGGGCAGGACTTGGGCCGGCATCGTCAGCGCTACGTGCTGTTGTTTTAACCAATTGAGCTACCGAGTAGGACTTGATTTTTAAGAAACCCAGTTTATACAATCCTTCTACGATGTTTTATGTACACACAGTAGTAGAAGCAAAGCCGGTACTAGTATCTATTATAATTGCAAGTGAATATTATGTGTGATGAACGGATTCACACAACAATATAACCTTGCAAAGAGAACAATGCATTGTATTCATGAGTTATTAGCGGTTATGTGTCTGGGCAGCTAGTGTTGACTATCCCATTTAAAATTAATATTTTTTTAGTATAAATTAATTATTTAGTAAGTGACAACTTAGCAGTGAAAAGTTAAGTTTCTTAGATAGTATATACTTTTGCCAATAGTGAAACACGTTGCCTATCATAACGTTAAGTACTGGGTTTGAATACCGGGGAAAAATTGTTTCGGCTACTTGCCCTTCACACATGTGTATAACTACAAATTGGTTATTTTTTAAATTAGGAAACAGGATGGAACCAAAAGCAACTTTTCCACGTCTTATATAGTTAAACAGCTAATGAATTAAATATATTTGAATAATGAATTCTCGTCAAAATATTAAACCTACTACAAGATAAGAGAAAAAAGCGTGGCTCAATAAAAATGGCTATATGTACTGAGGAAGTTTTTTTGTGGTATAGTAGGACAGTAGGCCCATGCCTGTTAGCCGTAGCCATAGCTACCATTACGCCATCGAGCCGCGATCGAGTGATGACTGCAACGAGACGTTAATCAGGCTTCTATTAGTATCTGATCAAGAACGAGGTCTGTGTTATGTGCACTTCTCTCAATAATAATAATTAGCCAAATCGTAAATCTGAAGAGAATTGGCGTTGAGGTCGAATAAGGACGAGTTTATCATTCGCAATGCCATATCAACTAAAGAGCGGTTATGCCCACGCTTGAGCAGTTACTGCTTCTATATTATGTACCTATTATGTACACATCTACACTAATATATAAAGCTGAAGCTTGCTTGGATTAAAAGTTATTTTTGTATTTGTTAGAACATTCATTGAGGAAGGATTGACGTCGTATCGTAACGGCTATAATTTTTAATGGATGGTTAAAGAAACAAATTTGGTTGCCCAAAAATTACTATTCTACGCGGACGAAGTCGCTAACACAGCTAGTGAAGGGGATCAATACAGACGACTACAATAATTGTGTGAATAAATTGTAAATCTGTACATTAAGAGGTAAGAATATCGAAACTCCGTGTTTACGGGAGGTCCGTAAGCGTCCACAGATAGATGAGAAGTAAATTGAAGTCCATGTTTCGTTTTCAGTCAGATTCCGAAATAAACCGAATAAGGTCGGTTGCACATCATAGCTATATGGTAGGTTAAGAGCATCAATTTGCACAAAAAATAATATAGTTTGTAATAAATATCTATTAAAGGTTGCCTGGAAGAAATCGCCATAGGCGACAAGGCCGCCTTAGCACAAACATGTTTTATTTTAAATAAGACACTTTAACGGTTTCAAACGCGATACATTAGTTAAAGTTATTTGGTGTTTATGTTTTATTTTGTATATATAATTGTAAGCGCTATGTTTGTGAAAAAAAAGTTTTATTATTATAATCTAGAATACGGCCTTAAAAATCTACGCCTGCGCTTTAAAATCAGCAAATTATACAGATGATTTATAACAATAGAAACTTTATCGTTTGCGGTAAGTTATTGACCACATTATATGGTCAAGTCGCACAACTATAAACAACTATTATTTTCTATACAAATACCTAGGAGCACCGTTCTTATTGAATACGCAGCGCACGATACGAATGAAGATGTTTCCTAAAATTTTAGCAATATTTTTGAAACTTCATTATTGGTCATAGCATGAGCTCAAATATTAGACCCAAAAGCCTTACCAGATGAAGACCGATTTACACCTTTTATTGAAACAATAATATTGTAACAGCTAGCCTAACCTTGACAACTTGACTACAGGACATATGACAGGTCGGATAGATGCAGGGGGATTTTTATGGATGTCTTACAGTACTATAGTATGATATGCATAAACCCCAAGGTTTCTTTACCAGTATGGATTATTATAAATAAGATATATAAAAAAGTAGACTCACCCTTATATACCTCTCTAAGTCAGGTGGAATATCTTTTTCTTCACTTTCATCCTCAGGTGTTTCATTGTTTTTGGACAGAGCTCTGGCTCGACTGAGCTGTACGCGTCGAGAAGGTTCTGTATTGTCTATTTTTTCTACATCCTGCAATGATTTGATTTAACATTGAATTAATGTCAACCGTGTATCAGCACACAAAATATATAAAAAAATTAATATATTTTGCCCTAATAAATTAAAATGTGTCATTGAATAACAATGAAATAAATATTTCAATGACAATGAGTCTATCTCGAGATGTTCTGGGTTTGAATTCTGATAAAACAAAATTGTTTCAATCAAAAAGGAATGCTGATAACTGACTTGTTGGTAAAGATTCAGTAAATAGATACAGAAGCCCCTTCAAGGGGTGTAAGAGCATTCATTATTCTCTTCATTGGGTATTCTCTAATGTACAATCAATATTCCATCCACTTTGCTTCAATAGGAAATAATGTGAAAGGTCATCAAATTCTTGGCATTATGAAAGGGTGCTTAAATATTTTATAAGTTACTTAATTACTCATAACACAAGAAATGAAGGATGGTTTGTACTGGTTGGGCAGGGCAAAGAAATAAAAATTAATCAGTGAAACAACCATACAAATATGTTAGCCCCGTGCCCCACATGGTGAAATGAAATGGGAATTTCACATGTACATATGAAAAATGCTGACTTATAAGTCATAGATTTTATTTCCTCTTTTATTTATATCTAAGACAGCTATGTGCTATAATAATATTAAGGATTTCCTTACTTAATTTATCATATTTTTAATAACGCTACATTGTGTCATATTTCAATCAGATACAATCTATTGACAACACACACTTAATAAAAGACTAACTAAGTACTGAAAGTTTGTAGATACATTTTAAACTAACAATTATAATAAACTATAGCAAATATGTCTTGGAATACTAATTCTGTGAGGTAATATTGTTAAGAGTACAGTATATCATAAATAAATGTTATAGTGGTATGCATGGACAATGTAAACCAATAAGTCATAGTTTCCTTTCCTCCTTTATACCTACTTAGACTGTAATTTAAGATATTAAATACACCAACACTACATAGTTAATTTAAATCAACTGTAGGGAGATAAAAAGTGTGTTACACATATAGTAATTGTAATTTTAACTTATATTACGTGGAAACACAAAACAGCTGAATCTAATGTTTTTAACTTTTAATTACTAAAAGTATAAAATAAAAAATATTGTTTTGTATGATTAAGAACAAGTAAAATAGTTACAATAAGACTAAAATGTATTAAAATATTAAGTACTTTCTCACCTTACTTTTTTTACGATTACGACGTGTATAAAAGGTGAGACGAAATAGTTATGCAGTAGGAACACAATACGGAGCAAAGCAGTGACTGTAGACTGAAAAGTATACCTATATGTACAATACTAGGTTTGCGATCTAGCGTCTGCGCTGTGAAATCAATACGTCGTTCAGTCAATAAGGTGGATATTACCGGCTTAGCTTGTATAACAACAAACATCTTGGAAAACTTAAACTCCATGATTTATGCGAATGTGTCTATGTGTCGAAGCTGTAATAATTAGATTTTATGAGAACTAGTTTACTCACACTATTAATTAGTCGATTGTTTTCTGACAAACCGAGAGCAGCCTTTTCATTCTCCAATTCACGGCGTTTTTGCTCAATTAAATTTTCTAAATCGTCTGATAACATTGTTTGCAGCGAGATCGGAGGTCAGCGGCGGGAAACACGATGAACAAAACTTTCTTTCAAACACATAGAAATTAAGCGTTTTCAAATTAATTAATCATGTTAATATCAACGTTTTTACGATACATTCATATTTTAGACTTAAAATTAAAGATTAAATAAAAATAAAAAATTTCAACATTCAACGGATAAGAAATTCAAATTGTTTTTAAATGACATTAACAAAAATGTCCATTGTCACAGTCGTTATTAATGACAGATCCTACCTAAGGGCGCGTTTGACATTCATGTCTTTGAGTTTGATTTAGTACTTTTGTGATAAGCTGTAGAGGTGAACTGTTGTCTGTTAACGAGCTATATTTTATTGTTTAATCGTGGTACAATAGTACTTTTAAATTTAGTTAACTTGAATAGAAAAGAATAATAATTTAAAGGTATGGATAGAGTGCGTTAACCTTTCTAGACTTTACTTAAATCCAAACTCAATTTAAAAGGAAAAACCTTTAATTACTTTAAATAATTTTAAAAATATGTATGTACGCAGTTCAAATAACCAATAAAAATAATAACATATTTTATTTTCAGTATAACATAGTGCAAACGAAAATGGCAACAGAGTATGAGAAAAAAATCTCTGAACTAGAGAAGAAAATAAAGAATTTTCCCAATTTTCCTAAACAAGGAATTCTTTTTTGGTTAGTTACGAATTCTTGCCTTGATTTTTTTTATTATTGTGATAAACATTTATTTCCTATTTAATTTAATGTATTGAGATTTTTAATATGTAATGGTAGAAAATAATTAATTACTGTTTTCACAATTACAGGGATATATTTTCAGCTATATCAGATGGTGCGGCATGTAAGCTATTACAAAGTTTGCTCATTGAGACAATAAGAACAAAATATCCAGATGCAGAAGCTGTAGTTGGCTTAGAATCTAGAGGATTCCTGTTTTCATTCTCAATAGCGGCAGAAATGGGCATAGGATGCCTGCCAGTGAGGAAAAAAGGAAAGCTGCCTGGTGATGTTATATCTTACAAATATGACCTAGAGTATGGTTCAGTGAGTTGAAATCATATCTTATAGCCACTTTAGTCTTGTTATGTTATGAAGAAGTTTTAAGTCTTGCCTTAAATTAGCGAATAAAAAAAATCTAAAAGTTTTAATTGGAACTTTGGCATTACTGGAAAAAATCTAAAAGAAGCTAATGTATTACTTCTTAGAAATATTTTTGCACTTGTAAACAAGTTAAGTAAACTTGAGCTTCCAGCAAACTATTTAGTCAATATTGTCAGCAAAAGAAATAAATAAATTTGAATTGAAATTTTTGTGTTCCATAATAACTTATCATAAACAAATATTATCTGTGTATGAGTTGCATAAAGTACTGATAATGGTGTTACAAAGATGTCTTTATCACATGCCGCGCATAAATCATGGTAATGAATTGTGATAAGGAAAATAAGCTAAGATGTACATAAATTGTCATGAGCACAGTGAATAGGAAGTCAAACAACAGATCAAGGTTGTCTTTATCCAAGCGTTATTTGATCGTACTTTATTGATACCTTAATAGGAATACAAATAGCTATTATTTAGAGTATTTGTTATATTGTAGTTTATGCTTATAAGCAAGAATACCTTTTTCTTAGCTTATTTTTTTTAGGGATGGGCCGAGGACTCGGTTGATACTCGGTATTCTGACGACTCAACGGGTTTTTTTAAATATACGTACTGATACGTACGATGGTAACGAGTATACTTTGTTTAAGAAAAGCAATATATTAAGGTAGATACAATTACAAGAACAATGTCAATCCAAAAGTATTTATTAGTAACTAGCTATGTCAGAGGCTTGCAAAACCTACTTAAGTTATTACGAACGATGTCGGTCGCGTTGCTTCTTGTCGTTCTTGCAAGATAATCTCATATAGCGTCGCAGACTTTTAGGTAGTTCCTGAGATTAGCGCGTTCAAACAAACAAACAATCTCTTCAGCTTTATTAGTATAGATTTATGAAATCTCTGAAAATCTCACTTAATAAAATCAAAACTATGCTAATGAAGAGACAAAATTACGAGAAGATACTGTATGTACTTGTTCAAGCGCGCTAATATGGGACTTTTATTGACCGCGTTACCCGTCCGAGTACTCGGTTGAAAAGGAATTGAGTCTCAGCCAAAGGGAACCTCGGCGCATCTCTAATTTTCAATCATCTACCCAAGATTTTCATGAAAATTACTTACTTTTTCTTAACTTCTTAATTGCCTGCTCAAGATATTCTTATTACTTCTCCTTACATTAACTCCAAAAAGAGAAAGAGTTACTAACATCCTTAGTAGACTTACTTCTAGAAATCAAACTAGCATTTATTACAAGTGATAAGATTTTAGATTTCATTTATTTTTCTCATTTCAGGACACTCTAGAAATTCAAAAAGACTCCATTAAGCCAGGACTAAAATGCGTTATAATAGACGACTTGATAGCTACAGGAGGTTCACTGAACGCCGCTATACAGCTGCTTTCAAACAGTGGGGCTAAAGTCTTAGGTTGTTTGGTTATCATAGAACTTGAATCGCTCAAAGGACGAAAAAATATCCCGAAAGATATACCTATTCATTCCATGATTAAGTATGATTGATATTTATTATTGATAAGTTTTTTATTTTATTTTTAAAGTGGGTAGTTTAAGAAAATATCAAGAAATAGAACCATGAATAAATAGTTATATAACTGTTTGTCTTTTAGAAAACAAACAGCCACTATTCTTTTTAATATTGAAGTGCCAGATTAGAATATAATGTAACATTTTAATAAAATGTTACATTCAAGAAGTCCTTATAAGTTACTATAAGTTAATAAGCACACAATTGCATTTATACGTAATACTTCATATACAGTTATATAATATAATAGATACCTTTAAAGGTATTATAGAACATGTCAGTAATTTTAGTTACTACTTAAAAGAAATGTATTTTCTGAGCCAAAAATATTTTTTATTACTTTGAGTTATACATTGTTATTTAAAATATAGATGAAGTGTGAGTTTATTGAGAAAGTTTAAAGTAACAGTTTGGTAAAAAAAAAAACAACTAATTTTGAACAACAAATAAGTTAGCATAATTATCTAGTTTTTCCTTTAATATCTTTGTAAGCAGGCTGTGATCTGTGTCATGAATATAAGCAATATTGTGATCTTACCAAAATATATTTTTTAATGTAACATTACTAAAGTATAGTTGGTACATTTTATTATTGTTGAAAGCAGGCTGTCAACTATGTACTAAGTCGTGCCTGAAGTACATATTTTCAGCTGTATATGTTTTTTTTTTCATTTTATTGAAATAATGTCTGGGTTTTCGTATTTTTTTTTTACAAATTATAAAATAAATCAAAATTGTCAATTGTAAAGCCTTTGTTTTAATATAGAATATATCATTCCATGATTACTAACAAAGTGGCAAATGTGATAATTTTTATACCTAATTAAATTGTATAAAATAAGTTTACAGCTTTTATTGCAATATATTAACCCGTTAATATTGTTACAAATTAAAGAACATTAACAAAAATAAATTATAACAAACAGTTATAAATTAAGTACATATTTGTAACATCATTTACAATGAAATGAAAACTAAATTTGCTTTTAACATAAAAATGGTTGAAACTTAATGTTATCTATTCTAATATTTACAGCAACAATTTACAAAGGCGAACTATCAAATTTCACATCCTTTTCCAATTTCTTATTCTCTTCGTTTCTCGTTACAACAAATGGCACCTTGAAGGAGTTTTGATCTTGTTCACCAATCTTTGAGTAATCCATGTCTTGATCCATCGGCTCTAATTTGTCATATTTATTCTCAGCCATTGTTGTAAGTTCTTGATCCAAAGTTGTGCTTTCAATATCAGAACTTTCTGTTGTTGACATATCCTCTGTAGTTCTATTGTTCAATTTTCCCATATCATCTTCCGTCAAACTTGCACTTACTAAAGCTTCCTTTGCTGAATCATTCATATCAAGAACAAAATCAACGATCTCGTGATCCTGGGCGTCTTTTGCCGTTTTCATGTTTTCTTCTTTCAGCTCTTTTTCAATAGGTATGTCGGTTGTGCAATCTGGATCGATTGTCGATTGTTCATGAACAGTCACAGTATTGTCCATATTTTTGTTTGTACCTTCATTCATTGCGTTACGAGCGGATCTAGTAAAATCGTCTTTTGATGCAAGCGTGGGCCCGTTTGAAACTTCCGTCGTGCTATCAGTATTTGATTCAGTTGTAAACTTCATATCGAGACCAATATCTTTCGGGTGCTTTACATCCATATTAACATTCATATCTTCAGGAAGGTCTTTATGAACATCGGGAGCTGCATAAACTTCAATTTTGAAATCGTAGCCTCGCAGTGCAGTTGGACTTTTAAGTTCTATTGTAACATTTTTGTGCCCTTCACCGCCTTCGACGATTTTTGCATCTCCATCCTTTTCTGGTCTTTGATCTTTGACGACAACTCTGCTTATTACTTCGCCTTCTTGTGCATTCACTGTGTCATTACTTGCTTGTCGCCAAATCGCTGGGTTGGCTTGTTTCGTTTCGTCAAAGATCTTCCTTCCATCAGTGTTAAATCCGACTGCTATGTCGTGGGTTCTAGCAAGTGCCACAAAGGCTAAGAACACTACACTTTTGATAAACATGTTCTAAATCTGTTTAACGACTGTGTGTTTTGAGAAAAGCTCATGAGTTTATATAGATAAAAGCGGTTTGAGGAAAATTTCCGAATGAACTCACGAGTTTATGAGTTGCCTTCGTAATAAGTTTAATTTTTATATTAAGATGTACTTCCTAGAGGAAAATCGTTTGTAAGTACAGTCGCGGACGCAATTTAATTTTTGTGGTCTAGTTCCTAGTTGGCGGAATAAAGAGCTCGACCTAATAACTTTTAAAATTTTATAAGTAATGCTCTATTTTTTTATTCTTATGTATCAGCCAATTTTAACACGGACAATTTTATTTTAAGCATAAGTCTCCAACAAACAATTACAACAAAACAAGCTCTTAAAAAAATATACTTTGGAAAGATATCTTAATAATCATAAAATCTCACGATTTATTTATGAGACTTATTTGGAATATAATGTTAAACACTTGTTCCTTCACAAGTACCTACGGACTACGTGTAGTGCATTTAAATTACAGATCTAGACTACGATACCTTAGATGCGCAATGTCAAGGGGAAGTATACCTATCGGGCTATAGATCTAGATATTATGTCTCCACAATAGAGTTATCAAGTCAAATATAAGAAACATCTTGGTCTAGCGACACAACCAACCGAGTTGTATTCGATTCCCAGTTGTATGAATTCGTATGTATTTTTGCCGCATATTCTCCAATAGCGGATTATTCGACCACGTGTCATCTGTATGCATTTGGCCAGGGACTTGAGTCCCAGCTGTGGGAATTGTGGGACTGAGATATCTTCTAGACGAGTGTGAGAGCCACAGATTTCTGCAAAGCCTCGATTAACGAACCCGACAGTTCCTTTATTTAAAATTAAATTGCCTTGAGACACAATTTTTATTTCTCCAAAATTATTTACAATAATCAGGCTTGGAGCAGGGACATTTTTCAGGAATCTTCAGTCCTTTTGCGATTTGCTTAGTGAACGGATGTATTTCGTCACTGAAGAACGGCCTGTCAATAATATAGTTATGTGTTACCAAGAGTCTAATAAATAATAGTTAAATTCATTTTTGCCTAAGTTAATTGCGCATTTTATTTTTCTCCATATTTTCAGTAGAACAGGGCACAGTAGTCATTAAAAACCATGAATGAATCGGATACAAAAACATATTGAAACCATGCCCATATGAGGAATTTTTTTTTATTCGTTTTAAATGTAAACATCCTTACAAACTTTTGTTTTAAGTATTACGTAGTTCCTCTAGTGAACCTTGTTTAAGTATCTTTTCCGCTCTGATTCATATCTTAGAGACAATGACATGAATAACTCAGCTTCTTTCCGAGTTTAAATCACGTATTTGTAAAGGTCATTATTAAATACTGTCTGTAGTTTATGCGAGTAGCACATATTTAAAGAAAACAACGGTACTGTCTATAGTTTACGCGAGTAGTACACATTTAAATAAAACACTTAACGGTTTAAAACGCGATATATTAGTTAAACTTATTTGAAAATGATTTTTAACTTCGGCCCGACGTTTCGGATGCTTTGCAACAGCCATGGTCAGCAGGTTGGAAATATTTTTGTGCAGTCGTGGGGAGACATAGTTAAAAATAATTTCTACATAAGTAATATTTAATATGTATAATATAATAACTAATATTTATCGAGTTTTAAACCGTTAAAGTCTTTTACTTATAATGTTTCTATTAAAAGAGCCATCATTTTTGACAATATTAGTGTCACCTTAAAAATTACAACCGATAAGAATTATTTTTTTCACGCCAATCCGTTTCGGATCGAAACAGGAGCAAACATATACAATATAAAAGACAAGAAGAAAGACAGACCGTCGGAGCATCCTCTCTATCTCCTTTTGATACTCCTCGGTCGCTATTTGACATTTCTTGATTTGATCCAACTCCTCTTGGCGTGCGCGTTTCTTGAAAACAAAATAAATGATATTTTAATTTTTAAAGTGCCATCATGTGCAATATTGATATCGATTTTCTTAAGCTCAAAGCATAAGACATTGAACCTTATACGTGAGCTTTAAGGTTGGAAATTACACTGGGCGAGAGGTGCATGTATCAATAAGTTGAAAAAAAATTCAACAATGATGTGTAGAGCATGGAACTGCTCATGCCGTTCAACTCCTGCTCGTGTCGTAGTATTTTAAATCTATAATTGATTTTAAATTTATTGTTTTTACTGTTCGACTTTGGTTGCGAGGTTAGGAGTTTGATCCAGTGTACACATAAGTGTGTCGTAAAGGAAAACTTTAAACATCTGTATGCCTAAAAATTCTTGGTCTTGGAATTTAAAATTTCAATGACTACACACCTTCAAAAGTTTATTATATTCAATCTGTTCCAACAATTGTCTCTGGTGCAGTTTCCGTCTCTGCGCGTCTGTGAATTGTTTATGGTCGACGAGTTTCTCTAGCTGTTCGAAAAGTTGTCTGTGGTACTCGTCCTGTTCGTCGAGCTTCTGTTTGAGAACTTCTCTCGCTCTTTCGCGGTCCTTTATTTGTTCCACCATGGCTTGACGTACTTCCTGTTAAAAATATTGAATGTTACTTCTAATTCAAAAGTTTAAAGTACAACAAGTAGTTTAAACTGTTGATACGGCTGCTGCAAAGCATCCGAAACGTCGGGCCAGTCAAGCCGTCGGGAAAGTTTAGCTAATATATTTCGCGTTTTAAATCGTTATAGTGTTTTCTTTAAATGTGTACTACTGGCTTGAACTACATTCAAATTTACTCAAGCACTTTTAAATTTAAAGCCTTACTCTATTAGTCTTCTGTGCCCAAGCCAAGTACTCGCATCTCTTCGTATCAATATACTCTTGTCTTCTCTGCGCCTCCTCAGCTAGCGGACCCTCAATCAACGTCTCCATGTCTTCGTACTGCTGCTTCAGCTCCATCATCTTTTTGTTGCATTCATCCAATTCTTGCTGCAAATAAAAAAATATAATAATTCCTTAAAAAATCTCATTTATATGTAGGTATATTAAAGCCTTTTCAAGATATACCTCTTTACGCCTTCTGAGTAATAACTTCGCTTTCTCATCTGCCAATCCTTGACCAGTAAGAGAGTCCCAAGTGTCCGCGATCAGTTTAGCTGCAGCGTTTTGCTTGGCCACAGTCTCCTGTCTCTCTTCAATCATCCTCTTTCTCTCTCTGGCGGTTTCTTTGCGTTGTTCGGCCCGCTGGTTTTCAGCTAAGTACCGTATAATACTTAATATTTCCTTCCAAAACATCACATGGTATTATGGTAGGAATTTCGAAATTCCGTTTCAGTTTCAATCTGTAGATTATCTAAAAACGAATATAGGTGGAGAGTACAACTTTTTGCGATGTTATATAGCTGGGGTATTTCACCTTTCAAAGTGAATCTAACCGTGCGGTTTGCTGTCTATCTGTCCTCCTCAATCAGAAAAAAAAAACATAATAAGAATATACATCAACCTTCTTGTTCCTTTTTAATATCCGCATCCCACATCGCTCTGAATCTTCTAGACTCTTCTTTTAGCATTTCCTTCTCTTTCTCGCGTTGAATCATTCTTTGCTCCAGCTGATAGTCAGTGAAGTTCTTACACTCTTGGTCGCGGCGTAATCTTTCTATTACGTCTTGTTCCATACGAGCTGCCTGATTATTTAAAAACAAACATACTCTTCAGCTTTATAATATTAGTATAGATAAATGCTGTCAAAAAATAATAAAAATATAATTTCTGGTTGAATACTTGAAATCACTTACTTATAGTTCTACATTAAAAAAATTAAGGACTTAGAGCTATTAAAAGTAAAAAGTGTTTAAAGTAAAATTAGTTTACACGTAAAGATTATACCAATGCATCTGACTCCTTCATAGCAACTTCGTGCCACATCTTGTCAAATTCCTTCTCCGCCATTCGTCTAGCTTCCTTCTCTTTTATTTGGTATAGCTGTATCTCTTGCGTCTCTTTCGCACGCAGCTTATATATACATGGTAAGACGTGCACACATTTTGATCTACAAAAATTAGTTTTTAAAAATCTCGAGATACGCTAACGGCTAATACAAAATTTGCCTATAATAATGCATCTTTTAATAAATTCAGAAAGATAAGGATCTCACAGCGGAGTATCCTTGTACTTCTCCACGTGTTCTTTCTTCCTCTTCGCCAAGAGGTAAGCAAGTCTTTCTTTTTTGTCCTCCCACACAGCTGCAGCACCAGCTTGCGCTTGCTCAACGAATTTTCGTATATTTGCCTCCTCTTCAGCCGCGTATAACGCTATTAACCTATATGAGTAAGATGTGTACATAATGGGCATTAAATAGTAACTGACACAGGGCGCTGTAAAGCTGTAGATCACTAATCATATATGAAGATTTAGCTTTGTTTATGGGGTTGTGTGGTAGTTTATATATGTGTGAAGTAGCAAACAAGGAAAGGAAAGGCAGCTTTAGGCTACATTTTGAGGGAATACCAAATGGTAAACAAAATGATACGTATACCTTTGCCTCTTTTTCTGTAGATCGTCCTCATAAGACTGCATACACAGATCGACGCGACGAGCGACGTTGTTTATGAGTGATCTAGAAAAAAAGAAAATTTAATATTTCTCTAATTCCAGTCCTGAATGTATTCCTTTCGTAAAGTTGTATCTCTTTTGAGAAACACAGATCAGTTTGATGCAAGAGTGACTAGGCGTAAGAAGACAAAGGCGATGTAAATCAATATATGAACGATAAAAATGCCACGTTTGGAAGAACTCTTAACGAGAAAGATGTGGCATGTAAACTTTAAGCGCCTAAAGACATTGAAAGGAATGGCGGCGAGTTTCTTGCCAGTTCTTCTCATTCCTCTCATGCCTTTGGTTTGAGTAATAATGACTTCGGGTCTTCATTAACTGTATTGACGTTTGTACCAAAGTACCTTCATGGATTAATCATTTTTGATTATTGATTTATTACGCAAGGTATAAACCGTCCCACCTAAGTCTTATATATCGATCTTTAGTGTAGATGAGTATATTCTATATACTTACCTTCTGTCACATCGTATGAAGAAGTCGCTGGTCTGTTTGTCCTTGAGTTCTTTGAGCTTGTTCTCTGCTCCCTTCCGCTGGTCCTCTTCTTCTGCTCGAAGCTTTTTCACAAATTTCACGTACCGAAACGTGGAATTGAGCACTCGTGAGGTCTGGACGGAATTGGTTATTAATCTTTATGTGTACTGTCGTGTACAATAGATACTAGTTACTTACATAATAACACTCTGGTACACCCCTTGGTCCGGGACCGTCTTTGGGTGGTTTTTCTTTTCGCTGTTCCATTTGGGCAAATAAAATACTATAATTAAATTTTAAAAATCCGGTTGTGGGTATATGTTATCAAGAGATATGTGAAAATGTTGTCAGATGACATTTAAAGTTTTTTTTTTTTCAGTAACAAGTCTTAAAAGTACAAAATTATAGTTGTATAAGTAGTATTTACTAGGCCCAGTCAAATAATAGTTTCAACTTATGGGACTCTTGGAAATTAATTTGACTTTTCTTACTGATACAAGAACGAGTACAATACATGTAAAAAAAGATAACTTACATCATAATATAGAAGACTAAGACTCTCCATCCTAAGGCCTAAGTCTAAATTAAAACCAGACATATTTTTCTATTGTTTAATGAACAAACGGACTCAAATATTACATAAAGTACTTGAGGTAATTTTGTAAAGAGATCAAAGCTTATATAATAATAAAAAAGATTTTACTTCCTTCCGAAGCATAAATAGTTTCCAAATATAATAGCTATTAAAAATCTATTTTAATAGTCCGATTATATTTAGGTACAAAAATATAAAAATGCCTATCTACCAATAACAAAACAGTGGCGCCAATTCTGTAGTACTTCCACTTATAATTATTTAACGAATAAAATGATGTATTAATAAATAATAATTATATCAATGTTGCTATCCCACTTAAAATAGGTCTGATGTAATCTGGCAAAGGAAATTGAATCTTAATGAAAGAGAATTAACGTCGATAGTTGCACAGATAAGTATGGCCCATGGTGTAATTGTAGGATGGCATTTGTTACCAGTACCAATAATGACTGAGACTTTTTAAGTTTTTGGTATCATATATAAATTACATGAGAGATGTCATAAACGCATTGTATAGTGAGATACTAAAGTATTAAAACGAGTCATAAATCATGGTACAACAGAATTGCTGCCACAGATTAAACTTTAAACAAAAAGATCAACAAAAGAGCGCCCATCAATAGATAGTAATAGAAATATAATTATGATTTTTTGTAAATTTCTATTCGATTCAAAACAATGGCTCTTTATTGATAGACGCTCACCCTTAAAATTATAATTTAAAAAACTGTTATAAACTCTCTAAAAGAACAAAAATGTATGCATTAAATTCACTTTTATTGCACGCATTTCTTTTTACAATTTAACACAGATTCGCCGAACTTGTGGTAAATTGTAAAATTTAACACAAGTTCGGCCGAATTTGTAAATAAAAGCGTTCATTTATTTGTTCAAAAATAAGTCCCCTTTCCCGTACTGGGTTCAGAACCAAATTTTTTGTTAGATTTACAGATCCTTTCATACAATAAATACATTTTCAACCATTTGTCGTCCTAGGAAAATAAATAAATAGGAAATGTGACTAACTATGAAATGGACATTGCATTTCGAATAGAAGAAATAGCTTGTAAATTCGTTACAGCTTAAGGCTTAAGCTGGGTAGGCAGCAGCCTACTAGCAATACATATAGTCCTTGCAAGCTGACATCCTATAACTTATCTTTTTTTAAGATCAATGTAATACTGTAACACTAAAATTAATACCACCACCAAAATGAATTTAGCTAAACAAAAATAAAAAAATAATTTAAGAGGCGTATTCTATCAGTCGAAGCTCTCAGTACATGGGGTTTTATAAACCTTTAATTTATGACAAGGCTCAATACTAAAATAGTTGCTTACAGCAGCGATAAAAGATGATTTAAAAAACTTTTTAACCGATAATATGGCTTATTAATTATAACAACGATAACAACAGAAGGTGTTTGCAAAGATATTTTGCTTACGGTGATTTTCTATGAAAATAAATATACTGTGATGTAACTATGGGATCTAACTCTGTGATGTAACTATAACCAAATGGCTTTGGATTAAAAATACCCCTTCTGCTGCCAATAATATATATAACTTCTAGAGAAATTCTGGAAACATTACAGCACTGAACAAATCAGAAACTGTTGGCGCGCTCGAAAAGAACTTCGTTACTGAGGGCGTATTTGGTAATGTAATTATGGCACTCTTTTGGTGAAGTGCATCAATAGTGTTGTGGACACAGCGCGTTTCGCTCCTTCTGTTTTATTCTGTATTCTGTGCTAGGAGCTCATCTCACCAAAGTCGAGGCCTTACGTTAATAACCTAACGAACAGAATAATGTGAACATCGTCCAATTCCGGCTGACCGACGACAATCTTGTTCGTCGTTTCGCAGACGAGCTCGCGATTAATCAACTTCAGATTCGCGCTGTTCGGCAAAAGATTCAGCTTGGAGAGGCTCAATTTTAGGCAGCTTAGATTGTTTGAATATGGCAAGTACGGCGGGGTCGGCTTTATCTCGCCTAGCCAATTGTGCGGTTCGCCTGTTACTTTGTTGTAGACGGTTATAGATGCGGTTTTCTGTATTTGGACTGCAGATGGCGACTGAAATAAAACGGAAAAATAATTAAATTTGTATGGGGTTCGGGTACAGTTTTGTTCTATTTGATAAAAAGGACGAGTGTCTCTTAAAAGAAATGTGATGAGACTACACGCACAATTTGACAAAGTAAAAAATACAATCAAATGCCCTTTAATTATTTATTACTATAAATCCACCAACAGGTGGCGCGAGCGTAGCAGTTTTAATATAGTCATTAGGGACACCATACATCTTGATTACCCTGTGGCCAAGGCATACATAACATCTCTTCCGAATTAAATTACTTCGAAAATAAGTAACACCTTTTCATATTATAAAACATTCGGTGTGTTATTTAAATAAGTACTACTCGCATGAACTACAGACGATACTTAAGACAGTAACTTTTTGTCTCCTAAGCGCAATTAATAATTCCGGGAAAGCAATGATTTTTGTCTCGGTCAAGTGGTGACTTTGCCATTGTAAATAAAACAGATTAATGAAGTAAACGCAGATGTGTGTCCACCCCATGCCCCACAGTAGCGGGAATTTGATTATCTCTTATACCCACTTTAAGAACAATGTATCGGCAGTGAAACTGTAAGTATAATGTGCATTCTATACCACTGATTTTCAGCTTGTCATGCAATAAAAAAAAAACACATACCGACAGAGTCGCCATTAAGCAATCTGGATCTTCATATTTCACGCTAAGAATATACATGTTATTGTCGTAGTCAATTACTTGATTGCACCAGAGCGATTTCTCGACTAGATTTCCCAAAGTAAATGTTATGTTCCAATCGGTTTTTTCCGGCCTTTGAATGTTGTGAGGATGCTCCTGGAAAACAAGACCGAAAGAGAATAAGTACATATGCATTATCTAAAAATCATCTTTATTTCTACCAGACCAGCAGGTATCCCACAGGTGGGCAAAAATATACAATATGGCTAATAATCAACGGGTCGTGGGTTCGAACCCCACGGGTCCAACATGTTTCCAATTTTTCTAAATCATATAGGACTTCGTCTGGATATCTGGACATTAAATCCGGGTCACGCCACACCTAACACCCTAATGACCCATAGATGAAAAAGCCGTGATGTTTAATCGCTGTTTTTTTTTCCGCAAAATAGGTCAACGCAGGCGCATCTTGTGTAGATGTTATATGGCTGGTGTATTTCACCTCCCATCGAGTGAACTTCATGCTTGCCTGTCCTTGTTTGTAATTAAGAAACAAGACTTTTTTTATAATAAGCTTTGTTGTGGGCCAATGATATATAAGAACTATAGAATCCAATCAACGCCGCATGAAAAATATAAAAATAATAATATTTACCGTGTAAATATGATAATCAAATAGAACATCGGGACCAGCCCAATCGCAGAGAAAGCAGTTGAACTTTTCCAGGTTCTGAAGTCAAGAAGACACGCTAACATAAGATTGCAAAATAAGACAACATAAGAATTTATAGTTTACATTATTTCGTGAAAAAAAACCTTCTAAATTAATCAGACGAAAATAATAAAATAACTAGGCACAATCGAACAATACAAAATTATAGATCACAATTTAAAAATTTATTTTATAAAATCCACAAAGAGATGTTATGTTAGGGTTTCATTAATAAAAAGTAAAAAATATTATTCTGTAAATAAACTAACATTAACTCTGAAGATCTAAAACTGTACACAACTGTAAATATTTTTTCGATGCAGCTGTAATTTTAAAAAACAAACATACCCCATCCTCATTTATGAATTCCAAAGCTTCGTCAATTTCAAAAACCGGTTCGTCTGAGACCAAATCGATATGGTTTGAAGCTAGAAAAAATATACCAAATTTTATTTATACACACATTACAATATTCAGAATGCATGTAAATATCATGTACCAGAGATCAATTTAAATTTATAATATTACTATATATATATATATATATATATATATATATTTTTTTTTTTTTTTTTTTTTTTATAAGAAGTACACGATGAGCTATCAAGCAAGTATAAAAATGAATTCTTTACTAAAAATACTATGCCACCTTATGTACAAATCAAACTTTGAAAGTTTTAAAATTTTTACATGTTCTTGCACATGAAGGCACTATGTAATTTAAAAATCGAAAATAAATTGAAACATTTTTCGACTCGGGCAGAACTCGAACCGCCATAGTCAGCGTTCCGTGCTGTGACTCGGTAGCTTAATTGGTAGAGCAACAAACAAAAAAACAAATCAAACTCTTAAAAAACTTGTTACGGAAAGAGCAAAAATAAAGAATATTGTAATGTGATTGATTACCTTGGACAGCTTTTGGAGTCTCCTGAAAATATTGTAAATGCTGTGCATAATTTTGCAGCTGTTCTTCTTCAGCTGCACATAGAAAAAGAAAATATTAGAATGAAAAACCTAAATGATAAAGCTTTGATTAATGACAACTTGACCTCTTTCCTATTAAGAAATAGAAGCAGACAAAGAAAAAGATATTTCTATATTATATCACATTACAAACAATTTAAACGGTTTAAATTTATTTTAACTGCGACCCGACGTATTTACCTACTTTGCAGTAATTGTGGTAATGGGAGGATAGAAGATAAAAGGTCTCCCTCATGTAGGTCCGCCGGTTAGTAGTTAAAATCAATTCTAAACGAGCCAATCAATGTATAATATTATGTACTAGTCGCGTAAACTACCGACAATGCAATTCAAGTTCCCATACCAGTACATACCCCCTCTATAGAACGAACAAGAAAAATTGGCAAGAAAATCGTCACGACTATTTTTACCACAAATTATTAGTAAGTCTTCACGTACTTACAGTTTAGCGATAGAAATATGGATAAATAGACAAAATCTGAAGAAACGAAGAAAACGGAAAATTTATAGAACTCACTCGAATAAGCATTGTGCACCATTTCTGCGGATGTAGCGTGCTCCGTTCTGAAAGGCATGCGTTAATACAATGCAAGCTTTGGAAGCAATGGTCCAGTTACAATTGGATTTTTTTTTATGGCCATGTTAAGACCCTTTGTGCCGTTTAAACTTCTTCAATATACAGCTTATCAACGTCATTACTTTCTGCGTTCATCGTAATACTTTAAATTTATATTGCACATGATGACATATAAAATGTAAAATAAGCAGAACAAAAAACTATGAATGTCTAATGATATCTATGGTGCCGCATAGTTCAAGGCTATAGATTTAGACCAATTTTATTGATAATGTATATCGATGTATAAATATTAAAATAGATTTGAAACAAGCGTTTTAAGACATTATTGCAGCCTTTCCTTTAAAAACTGTTTTAATCCAAATAATATGTTCTATGTAAGTAAAAATTACTTACGCGCTAACAATTGTTGTTGACGAATAAACAGACTTGGTACTTGCTAATTTTGAAGGCGGCGTGTGAGTACTTTGTACATAGCTGTCTTTTAAATTATAGCAACAGTCCAGAACATATTGTGAACCTTCAACTACGCGCACAACCTGGTACGGATGCGCAACATTTGCTGTAACGAAATAGGAGAATGAGGAAGCATGAAGCCGCATGAAGTATTGATATGTATCAGGAACTAAAAAAAACTTTGTGAGAATGTGCAGAAAATGAAGGAATTTGAGCATTACAAATAAAACTGTGTGATACCAAATACGCTCAAAAATCAAATACTGCATATCTTAATGTTAGGTATTTATAACTTACATCTCTTCTCCTTACTGCATCCTTGTGTAACGTCATACATTCCTTGTGCGACGTCCAGAGCTGTATTCAAGTTGGTAAACGGTTCAGATATTCTAGGTAAGTTTAAAATATCGTTGTTCACGCTTTCTGTATTTACATCCGTTGTGTTGGACATTCCGTTGCTACCTGAAGTTAAAAGAAATTTAATATCAAACCTCGAAGTGTGAGAATCTAAATCAAATTGTAAACACAGTGTTTCGTGATGTTGCTCTTATTAATTGTAATCGAATGTTTTAAATACATTTTTAATAATATGTTATAATAATTTGTTTATACGTTCTCTACTTAACAAATCTCTTAATTATAATGACAGTCGCTAAATTGGGTAGGAGTTTGTGTGATTTTTTTAACAGATAGATTATGTTGATAAAATTTACGACTACGAACTCGGAACCCTTTCGTGCAAACACACGCTACTTGTCTACTTATTACAATATATTTTAAACTAACCTTCTATCGCTAATATCTCTACATCGTTGGTATTTCTGTCCAGCTGTAAAGGACTCTCACCATCACCATAATATGCTGAGTCATCAGAAACATTTGGACAACATAGTTGATTATCATCAGTGCCTAACACATCAGCAATGTCGATACCATTCAAGAGGTCCAGTAAGTCTTTCTCTTTAGACGTTGGATTTGAAAGTAGTGGATTTTGAATGAAAGCTTTAATTGGTGATAATGTCCCATCATCATTGAGGAAATGAACCGTCGCTTTTTCTATATTCTTCGGTATCTTTGGAGTTATTCTGAGTAGTTCGCATCGGTTTGATTCGCGCATTTGTTGCGATGTTTGTGAGGAGGCCTTAAAAATAAAAAACCTTTATTCATAAAAAAAAAGGTTGCTTTTCAAATCTAAATCGAATATAATTTATTCATATAAGTCACTAGAAACACTAAAGAACGTCAATAATAAAGGACTGTAAATTTACATTTACTACAAGATTTCTAATCCAGCGAGAACTGGGGATAAGCTTGTCACCATTCTTTTACCACTATGTCCCATATATATATATTAGATCTAATCTCCGGAACTACTGGTTCGAATATAAAAAAAACATCTTTGTCTTGGTTGGAATAGATTTCGAGGAAGGCTTAAGGCTATAAAACATAAGGCTGCGATCAATAGGAGCGGAGAAACAGAGGCCAATGTGGAAACGACGTAGTGTGTAACAGCTAGTAATAGATATGTATGATGCAAAGCTTTTCCATTGGAAGTAGAAAGTGTTATCACCCCTGCACATTGGAGAGCACATTATACTGTTAGTTTGGGTCTTCAATACTAATTTAGAGGTGGTAGTGGAAGTGCACCATTCCACTCTGCAGCGGGATAGCAGATCTAACATCTCATGTGGACTTCCATGTGACGCTTGTACCCAAGAGTTCAAATATTAATAGTTTAAACAAAGACTTACTTGCTTATTTAAGAAAGAATTAATATTATTATTTCTTAAAATAATAGAGGTAGCACTTAGACGTCGTTGTATAGAATGTCTTCTCAATAGAGTATCATTGTTAGCTCCAACTATTTCTTTTGTATTGTATTGCCTTAATGTTTTTGAACTGGAACTACGGAGGCACATCATGTTTTTAGGTTCATTTTCATTAAATTTGTCTATTAAGCTCCTTCGAATATCAGCCTTTTCAATTTGTCCACAGACATTTTTCGCTTGTTTGGGAGTTGTGCCGATCGGTGGTGATAAGGCCCTTTTTCTTATTGGTTTATATTCTGCAAGCTAAAAAAGATATTACTTATTTAAGTATAACCCAGTTTTACAATTCTGTTTACAGTATGTACATAATAAGACAACTGGAACTAGAAGAAAATATTATAAAATTTAAAATAAGTATACTCTATAACTCAGAAACAATATTTGTATTTTGTGAACTGGGTCTTTAAGTTAAGCTATGATTAACAAATGGGAAAATTATATACCACTTTCTTCTGTGTTTTTTTGTGGTGTCTTTCTTTCATAACACTTTCAATAATTTCCTTTACTTTGTCCTCTCTGCCAGATTTCCTTGCGATTATCAATTCCACTTGATATTTTTTCTAAGAATATAATAATAAATTAATTTGATAATACATTGTTTTCACTTCTTGATTGTTGCTGCAGTACATTATATCAAACTTCATATTACTTATCATAAAATCACACAATACAAAGTCTAATTAAGCACATATAACTCTTTTTTTTAAACTGGTCATAGTAATGGAGTGTTTAAAATTGTATAAAAAAGCCTTTTCATTTTAACACGTAACTTGTGGGTAGATTTTAAACCTCCTCACCTGTTCAGTAGTTAAGGAAAATAAAAACGGTACCAAGTTTCCAGTTTTTATTAAACAAAAACATAACTCTTTTTAAACTTTACGCAGACAAAATCGCAAACGTTTAAACTTAAGAAATTCTTTTAAGTGAAATCTGAAAGACGAACAAGCATTTAAATAGGCAGAAGCGTTAATTAATGTTCATACCTTGAAATTACATGGCAGCTGTAAACTTTTTGACAATGCCTGTAATTGACGATAAGGACGATCCTCAACCTGTTTTCTTAGATCTTCTTCCATTTTTGTCTAGAAGCACGTTTAATTTCGAATGATCTAATTCAAGCCACCGGCTTTAGCAACGTCCAAGAAAAAAATAAAGATATTTAATTTAGAGGTTAATTTAATACCCGCAATTTGCAGCTATAGATATCTAGATAATTATGTACTTTTTATTGCATTGTGCGTTTATTCTATGCTGTGATTTATTAAATTTTTAACAGATTTTCATACGGCCAATGTTGCCATCTAGTATTGGGCAGTGTGACTAAATATTAGTAGTTTTAATTGAATGCCACTAGATGTCACCACTACGATTAAGAAGTGATTTTGCTTAAGGATGTTAATAATGTTTAATTAATACTCTAAAATAATGAAAATAATGTTTATTTGACAAAAATGTAAGATTTTTTTATTATGCATTGTTACAACACTATAATAATTTAAATGCATTTAGTAACTAATATTATTTTTTGACACCTGCCATTTGTCGTTAGATGGCAATGAAATAATACAGTTATTTCATTGCCATCTATTTAGCCGGCATACAAATAAGCCGGCCGCTAAATTTAACCACTACACTAAGTGAAAATAAAAATTGAACGTCTTCGGTGTATAATTTTATTTAAGTTATTTTTAGTTTATTTAATAAAGCGTGGGTAATGTGATTAATTTATTTTCAGATGTTTTCAGTAGAAGTCTTCGGAATGGATGTTCTGGGTTTGTACTGAAATTGTAAAAGGTATATTATTTTATTACCACCACAGATAATTTTAATATAAGCATTATTTTGTAGTATCTACAAATTATAAAAGGCATTATACAGTGAAAGATGACGCGTCTACCTATTCCTTGCTTCATTTATTTTATTCTTCATTTTGTCTTTGAACACAGACGCTCTTTTAGTAAATGGTTTTTGCTTTAGTTCCATACTTATTGATTCAACATCCTGTAACAACAATTGGAATTTATTTGTACTTAGTTTTAGCTGTAAATATTTATAATTATTAATGCATACAAAAACTTTTTTCTTGGAAAATCCTGTACATTATTAAAATGTATGGGCTTTAAATTATTTCCATAAAATTTTGGTTCCTCGTGTGTAACGGAATATTCTAATATGTAATGATGTTTTAACTATTAACTTTAAAAGTTTTGTTTTAGTTTCTTGCAAATAAATTTCAAAGTAGATTAATATTGCAAGAATATAATACCAATATGCTTTCATTTTCGCGCATTTGCCGATTCAGACTATTTCTATATTCCGTCTGCTTTTCAAATTCCTGTCTTGCTTCTTTTAGTTTTAATTCTAACTCGTTAATAGCTGTCCTTTTTACACTTTCCGTGGCTTCTCTTCTATTCTGTTGCATTTTTTCTATTTCCCTGTTCCTTTTGTGTAAGAATCGTCTGTAATCTGTTGCTAATTCCTTAAAAATAAAGACGAAGAAGATATATTTATACCAGATAAACAAACAAAGTTAAATAAGACTAGAGAAAAAATATGTGCATCATTACTTGTGCATTTCATCGAAATCGGTTTAGTCGTGACCGATCTTTTCAAATAAACAACTCTTACTGTACCTCTTTATTTTGTTGCGCCCGTCTTTCCATTGCTACTAATTTACTGTCACTCACTGTCTCCATCTCTCTCTTATATTCGTCAGCTACTCTTTCACCTTCTCTTTGCATATTCTCCACCATTGTCCTCTCCCTCTTCATGTTTTCTAGACACACCTGCTTTTCTCTTTGCAGTGATTTCTGTAGTCATTAAAAATAATATCTTTTAAAACCGATATGCTAGGCTATCCGGTTTTAACAGAATTGAAAATGAAAATCCCAAAAAAAGTAAAACATTAAATAGACTTGCAATTTCCACTAATTTCCTTTGCCGCTCTCTGCGGAGATCGCCTAAAGCAACTTCTATAGTGTTCTGGTCTATTTGCCTGTCCTTCTGTTTTTCATATCGAATCCTTAGTAGCTTTTGTTCGTGGCCTGATATGTAGTTCACTTTATTTGTTTCTTGTTGCTGCTTCTTTCTTCTTATCGCTGAAAAGGATAACCCTATCCTTAAGGATTATTTTTTCACTTCTTCTTGATTCTTTATTCAGATTAAAAAGTAATATTACCAAATTACAGTCTAAAATTTTGAAGAATTAGAAGACAAGCATTAGTAGATAATCACACAATTAAAAAGGAAATGAAAAGTTACCGTCGAAATATTCCTCTTCCATTCGTTTCTTCATTATTTCTATCCGTCTATTTTCTTCTTCTCTCTGCCTTTGTAAAGCGTCTCGTCTCTTCCTATTAGCGCTTGCGATCTGCTCATCGTAAGCACGCCTTCTTTCCTGCATCTCATATTTGAGTCTTTCAGCTTTTAATAACTCTTGTTCTTCCTTGATAAAGTAATAATTTGCCTTTAAATAGAAATGTCAGTAAATATTGTTCAGTGATTAAGATTTTTCCCACCTTGAACGTAACATCGCTAAGCAATATTTGGTGCCACATGTCTTCGATTGCAGACTCTTCTGCTTCTTTATCTTGTTTTTCCTGCATTTGCATCTTCTGCATATACCTCAATTGTATTTTATCTTCTTTTGTGCATTGCATACCTTTTGCTCTAAAAATGTAAGAGATCTTTCGTTGTTTTATTATTGTTAGTTAATGTGGATGTAAGTAATATATCAGATTTAACTATATATTTATTATATTTTACTAAGTAAGTCCGTAAAACACGATATATATTAGCTAAACTTATTTGAAAATCATTTCCGATGAATATTTTATTTTACAGCCTCCCCGTGACCGCGCCTGCTGCAAAGCATCCGAAGCGTCTCGACGTAGTCAAATAATTTCCAAATAAGTTTAACTAACATATATCGCGTTTTAAATTGTTAAAGTGTTTTATTTAAATTTGTACTATTCGCGTAAACTACAGATAAATGAGGTTAGATTAAATATTGTTCATATTTAATCTAACCTCATTTATCTGTAACAAAAACTTTTATCTTTAATTTCTTAGCAATTTTTTTAAAGACAGTATTTAAATACAATTTTGTTTTGTTTAGTTTCTTTGAAACGGCCGAAACCATTGATGGGACTTTTATTGGCTAATACGATGAGGAATGAAATGTGAAGTGATTACATGAAGTAAAAGTAAATAAAGTTTAGGTATGTAGACATCTTATTGTGACTTACATCTTCTCTCGTTCTAACGCCTTCTGACATTCCACAAGTTTCTCATGCTCTAACTCTTCTTCATATCTCACGTTTCTGTTCTGTCTATCTGTGCAGTAGGTGCATTCCTCCTTCTCTCTTTTCCTAAAGAGTTCGACACTCAAAGCCCGTTCTTCTGCTTCTAGAAGAACTCTGAGTCGTTCTCTTCTCTGTCAAAGTCTATATTCTTCTTGGTTCAGCAACTCTGTTACCTTTTCACTTGTACGGTTGATAATTGCACTAGAAAACAATAAATTATCCGTTATTAATTACTTGTACTTATTAATTGTTATTTATATTTCCTAATATTGTATTATATTAATAAAGTTAATAAATAAATAATATATGAGAAATTTTTAAATAACGTACTTTAACGGTTTAATGTGCGATATATATTAGTTAAACTAATTTGTAAATCATTTTAACTACGGTACGACGTTTCGGATGCTTTGCAGCAGTCATGGTCACGGGGAGACGCGCAGTTCGAAACGACGGGCAGTTAAATGATGTCCAAATAAGTTTAGCTAGTATATATCGTGTTTTAAACCGTTAAAGTGTGTGTACTACTCGCGTAAACTAAAGACACTAAAAGAGATATTAATTTGAAAAATTAAATGCCCTTTGCGTGAAGACACATTTCTGTTTGTTTACTGTGTACTGTTTGTTAAAACATACTTTTGTAAATGTAGACTATCATAAGCGACAATATCTGCGGTCTTCTTCACATCATCCACGTTAATGAGGGTTTCCATATCATAGCGTTGGCGTAACTGCAATGAAAAGTATTTAATTTAATTAAAAGTGCACGGAAATAAGACCAGTAAGCAGATTACCGCGAGGTATTTAATCATTGTAATGTACCACTTTTAATTATAAGGGAACACTATTGTACCGTAATTCATATTGTTATATTAGGTTTACAATATACTAGATGCAGACGGTGATAATTCAGCATAAGAGACGTAAGACGACCAGGACGGTGGGCTGATACCCAAAGAAAATAGCCGGCAGCAAATGGATAAATTGACCTTAAAAGAGGACCGAGTGGCGTGCCTTGGGGGGTCCAAGCGTGGACGCTACGGGCTGATAAAGATGACGAAGAGTTATAAATACTGCTAAAATAATCCTTTGGTTATTTCATCATCAACAGCGGATTAAATGTTTCCAAAGCCGGATCTCGGGCCTACTAAGATGGAAAGCCTTAACCGTCGTCGTTTTTTGGTTCTAGAATATGCTAGTTTCGCGACGTTGCTTTACTTCTTTGCGCGTATAACTTAAGGTACGACCCAGAATCGATCTGCCGACCTTATGATTAGATCTTAGATGCATATATGTAACTAGAAGCACTGAAATATTCGTTTACTGCCTATAATTTATTTATTCTATCACAGTCTACAGTAATTTAAATCTATTTAAGTCTACAGTATAAAAATCTGCTAGAGGCAGAGAGGCCTAATAACAAAAGAACATAATTTTCAATAAGGCAATTTGTACTATTATTTGTGTAAGAATTATGTTATCAATTTTCGGTCACTGTGTTCTTGTAGATTAACATTTTTAGATATCAAAATATAAATGACTCAAGACATAAAATTTCAGTTAGGCTACTCTGGCACTAGCGGCCTCAATTAATATTTGTTATATAAACTCTACGTGTTATTGACTAATTAACTAAAAAATTTACCCTCCAGAACGAAAACGGATGTCCAAAGTATACACTAGGAAAGTTTGTTTTTATTTTGTTTAAACTGACCATTATAATAGCGACAAGTTTCTAAAAACTATTACGCTAATCTAATCGTTCTACTTTATCGAATCAACTGTTTGCATAGTAAATCCTGTTACTATGACAACCATTTTCATATACACTAACTGCGTAAGTAACTTAACAAATACGATTAAATATTGTTTTATTATTTATAGGCTCGTTGATGTTAAGGCTCGATAGTAGTATAAAAATACAGCCAAGCTTGTCTACTTCAGTTACTTCCATAGTGTAATCTCTTATGGTATCCTTTAGTGGAGCAATGCAGCCGATATTCAAACCATAATATTTATTTTGCAGAAACGGGCTATTCGATCGATTTGTGGTCTTTCCCCACGAGAGTCTGTTTGAAATAAGTTGAAATGAAAATGTTTTGTTTGTGAGGAAAAATGTAAATACTTTTAACACAAACGGCAGCTTTCATCAGTACAATACACCCGTAATATGGACAAAATATGTGTACCAAACAAAAGGCTCCATAAAAGTAGTAATTCTTTTCAAGGGAACAGCAAACAAAATTTTTTTAAAAACCCCCCCCCCAGGGCCCCCCCCCAATTTTTTTTTTTTTTTTTTATAAAAAAAATGCTTGTAAAGGGTTATCCTAAAATAAAATGATAAAAATGCTTGGGGCTCGAGGAACCCGCCTATAGGGAAAAATAGTGGCGCACTAAAAGTATTCAAGAATGTAAAATGACACATGGGGAAAAAGGAGTAACGGCGAGTTTATTGCCAGTTCTTCTCGTTGTTCTCGCCCTTGTTTTGAGAACTGGTAGTAAATGTAAAGTTAGATTCTTTAATTATTTTGTGACGTTCATAAGTGTTCCTAGTTACCTACATGAATAAATGATTTTTGACTTTTTTTGAATTTTTTGTAGCAATTTATGTCTAATAATCAACGGGTCGCGGGTTCGACACCCACCGGGTCCAACATTTTGAGACACGTACTTTGTCTAGAAATCGGAATATTAATTGTGTGGTAGGAATATCGAAATAACGAGCCACCGTTCATGGATGAAAATGCCGTGAGGTTTTATCGCGTTTCGGTTGCCTGTGGATTTGCGAAAGCCCAAATAGGTCGACAACGCATTTTGTAGTATGGCAGGTGTATTTCACTTTCCATCAAGTGAAGTCCTGCTCTGTCCTCCTTTACTAAAAAAAATACTCCCGGGTTTCGATGCCGGAAACTACATGCAACGAATAGAAATTCTAGGGATTCATATATTGCGAGTATGTTGACCCTACGTTGTAGACAGATTTATGTCTCAATTAGTTGAATTACTTTTGAGGGTGAGTCAAGGGTAGGGCTAGATGCATTTTACTTTGAAGCTCAGCGAATGCATATACTGGGATCCAATTCTGCTATTCCAAGGAGCGCTGGAAGAGCAGAATTAGATCTTTATAGCGTGAAATTTTAAGTCTTTCAAAAGCCAGTGTTTTTAAGTTTTTTTGTGATATAGGACGATAGGTAGGTAGGTGGATAGGAGGACTTGCAACATGGTGTTTTCTTAATGGATGACATATAATTAAGATGGCACCTATTTTTTTGAGTCTGTTGATTTACAGTTCAGGTACAAGTTTTTTTTTTCAATGGATAGTAGGGTTAGGTTTAGTAGAGAAAAGATTTGTAACATGTTTGTTTGATTGAAGAAGTATTTAACTAAGATGGCCCCGTCTATTTATGTCTGTGAATTTACACTTTACAGTTCTTTCAATGGATAGCAGTGGACGGGATTCCGGTATGTCTATCCCCAGTGGAAGTCCAAATTTCAACAATCGTACTCAATCAAGTGGAATTGAATCTACGACACGTTTATTAACGACCACTCGACCGACGGGCCCGACAAAATACGCTTTGTATCATATCGATGGTTGCTGCTAACTCGAAAGCATGTCGTTTGTACGTGAATTAACAGAATTGGGTTCCAGCACAATTTCATTAGTATACAGGTGGCACGTAATGACATTGAATTGAGAAATACTGTCTCGTCGGCTTAATGGATTTCTTGGGGGTCCTAGATTTGACACCCCGAAAAGCCATTTTGATAGTGAAGCATTTTCTCCCATTTATCTTTGTCTGTGTAAATAATAGAACACTGAGAAGCATTTTGTATGAATACTTGGTCACTTATATGAAGTACTGTGTGGTGTTTACGCGAGTAGTACACATTTAAAGAAAACCCTTTTAACGGGTTAAAACGCAAAAATTAGCAATCTATTTAAAATTCATACAAAATACTGATATTCTTTAATGTGCCAAAAAAGAAATAAAACATAACAAGGGACCCAGACGGCGGCTTTATAGCTAAATAGCTATTTTTACCAAGCATCGCAGTGGGAATAAAAACACAGTAATAAAAGAGGTATTCGTGACAACAAAAATTGTGTTTGAACTTATATAATGACAATAACAAAAATAAGCCTAATCTATTTATTATTTAACTGCTAAGTGGTGGGAGTTCACAGGTATTCTTGAACCAAATGAGACTTTGGACTCTTCTAATATTAGAAAGCAAATTATTTCATTTATAGTTCTAATATATTAACTATACTTATATTCAATGTATACACGTTTCTGGGAGCATTGGAGTCGTACAAACGTGTTTCCAGGGCTCCCTCAAAGCACCGTAGGGGGCTGGTGGTGTGCTTACTGGTTCTGGTTGACTATACGATTAACCACACTCCTCATGTAAATATTGCCCGACGCGGGCGTTAGGCATTCACACCATTAGTTAAAAAAAAGGTATACCAGTTTGATGTTTGCGATTATCAAAAACAACGACGGTCAACGGTTTATTGTTGCCGATTTATGATACAGGAGTAATTAGTACTCGTATCAATAATGACGAAATGATTTGCGTATTCAAATATAAAATTGAAATTCATACTGTTTTCATTTGATGAACCTTTAAATGCAGAGATAATTTACGGCTTACGCTCGTTGCGTGGTAACCGTGTAATAAAACACACATTTAAATATACTATTTGCCGTTTAATTGGTCAATTTAAAAGTCAGATTAACTCGACCGGTACTGTTTATTAAGTACCTTTTATATAGTCTGTTTGAATATAGCTCTATGTATGTATGTAATCTCGGGAAAACGAACTCAATAATGTCTATAGTTTACACGAGCAGTACACTTTTAAACACTACTTTCAACGGTTTAAAACACGACATAATATATCTCTATGACCACAGCTGCAGAGCATCCGAAATATTGAATCGTTGAATTGTATATAAGTTATCTTATGTTTCGTGTTTTGAACTGTTGAAAGGGTTTTATTTCAATGAATTAAATATTCTAAGTTTGACTTGTAGGATATAACTTATACTTCTAAATGGTATTATTAAGATCGGAAGTATAGTTTTAATTACATTAGTCACTAAACGTGTCCGGCCGCTATCGGGTACCTTACAAGTGCTAGGGAGGATATGAAGCTACGTTCACAGTAACATTTATAGGTAACTTAGTTTTTACTTATATTATATAAATTAATTTATACTTATTTTGCTGCTTGCAAGTATTAAAAAAATTATATGAAACCCAAACTTCACTGTCATAAAAAATATATAGAATAGTGGTGAACCGCACTGTTTGTTTTCTCTCAGTCAAAAACTTTTTACTAGCGTACGTATACGTCATGAAAAATAAAACGATATGTCTTTGAAAACGACTGATATTACTATTGTTTCTCCAATTGCCGAAACTAACCAAATTTATTCGAGAAAATCCAATCCCAGTCTAAGCGTAGAAGTAACGAACATCAATTTAAAGCGGCCATTTTGGGAATAAGTTCGACAATTTAAAATGGTTTCCTTGCTTCCAATTTGACTGATCGCTTCGACCCTAATCGCGAACAATGAGAAGTGACCTTAAGGCGGCGCGGTGCGCATGCGTGAAGCCCAGGCAGAACTGTCATGGCGGGCCAGTCTTCGTATCGACGCCGTCGCGTCGCGCGTTTTTCCGACCCCTCCGCTTAATTGTTGTT